TAAACTGACACTATATAAGGAACCCAAACAAAGAAAATTTGGTCAGATATGTTCAAGGAAGAAGGCAAAATTTCTAGAATATGAGCATGCTCAAGAATCCTTCACAGAAGAGTCAAATGAGGTTTCACTTGATGTTGAAGACCTACATGTAGCCCTTAGAAGAGGTGTTAGAACTTGCACAAAGAAACCTTTATACCTTATTACGCTCTTCTTATCCTATGATCAATTGTCACCTTTCATCTCCAATGAAAATAGGGATCCAACTACTGAAAATGCATTGTCCTTGAGACCAAAGGACTGGCATGCTAGAGTTGGAGATGAAGGTGGAGTTGGCTCTAGTGCTCTAACACCATATTATGGTGACAAAACAAATGAAGGAGACCAATGGCAGCAAGGAAGAGAGAGAAAAGGGAAAACAATGAAAAAGTATCATCTTCCAACCAGCACGTGTTCTATGTCAAAAGGGCCCTTCTTCATCAGCGATACACATGAAACCCACCAACAACCTCTGCTGCCATACTCTGAAGGCACAACAGGAATCTTGACCTCCCCCATGATCATCATACACTGACAAAGGATTCCCAGCCTCCTCGAACTCCCTCCAAGACCATATCAGTCCCTTGTTTCCTCACTTAGCTCTCTTTTTGACTAAAACATAGGAGATAATTGAGGAGAGGGATCCTCTGTTGTAACCCACGGTTGACAGAGCACAACAATCATCTCCCCTCCACCCCATTGACAGTAGAGGATGTGTCGTGTAACACACATCGGTATGATGATTGGGTTGCAAGGGCAGTAGACGCTCTGCAATGCCTAGGAGCATGAGGTACAATGCCTGAGTAACTTCTTGCTGTACGGTACCCTCTTTGGCCTCTCTGAGTGCTCCAATTCCCACACGACCATTAAGAGAGAAAGAGCGAGAGAGAGAGAGAGAGAGAGAGATCAGGCCCAACCCCCATAGAAAATAACGCCAGGCTGGGCTTATAATTCCAGCTTACTTGGACGATTAACAGGCCACTGTAGTGACAGGGGAAGCAGCTCTGTTACCATCCCGTAGGATTTACTGACCTTCAAATGCACCACAATCTTCTACACGGATAAGCATGGCCCATAATCCGATTCACCATTAGAGGAAACAATTGACAGAGATACACCATCCATCAAGAGGGCTTATTTTTCTACCTTTGGCTGCCATTTCTACATGCCGATGTGAGCAATCAGTCATAGCGTGATTGCTCTTTACGCTCCAGAGCTAAAATACATCCAAAGCCACAAAGATAGAAAAGGAAGAAAAAAAGTTAGTCAATTTAATATCCACAATGAAATGAAGCTTTAAGAACACGAAAGTCAGGCTTGGCATTCTCCAAGTTGAAATCGAATTCAAGCACTGTTGGCACATCTTTCAGTACAAAAATAGACTGACAACATGGAAGCACTTGTCTAAAAAGCTATGAATTAGATCTACATATATATAGCCACATAAATTTAGATTTGCTATAAAATGGGTGTGCTCGAGGACTGCTGGCAGTCAAAATCTCCAGTAGAGGGCCCAAGTTAGGTTTAAGAGATTATGTGATAGGCTGTTTCGATTTATATGGTCTAATACTTTCCAAAACAAATTTTATACGAAGACATTCATAAGCTGCATAAGATTTTTGTAATAATTTCATCCCACTGCATAGTTTTTTTCTCGGATGCCTCCACCAGATTATCCCTTGGGTTATTTATAAGATGGCTTTCTCAAAGTAGCAATCGAACCCTTCTATACTTGCAGCCGAAGATAGAGTAAATCAAGTTATGGGACTTAAAAAATGACAAAAGAATATAAAATCGCTCATACTTCTCTAAGTTTTCCCAATCAGCTGAGCTTCTATGGCTGGGCAAATACGAATGTGGAAGCTTGGTCATCTCACATTCGAGGGGGACTTTACAGCTTCAAAGGCTAACCACATATATGATGAAAAGAGCCCACCCCCCCACGATGGCAAGAAGAGTCGTTTTTTTGTTGTTATTTCGATCAATATAGCTGCTACAACTTCTTGACATGTGGCGCCAGGTGCAGACAAATCTGACAAAGTTTAGACCCCTGTTACCTTTTACCTCTATTTTACTTGCTAATGTCAACACTTAACTATGAGGGCTTGATGAATATCACGAGATATTTTTCCTGACTATATATCCGTTCTTTTGTGTATATTCTCCCATTAGTTTGGGTGTTAGAGATTTTTTCTATTTTTTCCGTTACTTTCGGAATTAATATTTTCCCTGTTACTATTTTTTTGCTTTCTTTTTTTTCTTCGTAAGCCTTTTTCAGTTGTGCTTTATTTTAGGACCTCTAAAGATAGTAGGAGAGAGAAACTATGGCAGCTCTGCATATTTTGTAAAAGGGACGGTCAGTTTAGTTTCTTTCTTAATGGCATCAGAGCCACAGAAACGGCCTGAATATTGGTATTTGTCACCCTAGTTTTCTTTTTTTACCTATTTTCTCCATAGGTCTTCACCTTCACTTCTGTTTCTCCCTCAAATATTTTCTGGTGTTCATTGACACCGGTTTTCTTAGTAAATTAATTAATATATATATATTCTTCCTACTACTTCATGTTGCTTAATTTTTTTAATAAGTTATATTTTCTGTCACTTTTTCTTCGCTAGCGTTTATTCCTAAGCCTTTTTTGGCTGGGGTGCACTCAACTTTAGGATTCTAAAGATAGCAGGAGAGAAATTCTCCTAGCCTATATAAAAGAGCGGGAGGATTAGTACGTTATTTCTTGAGAATTCGACCCTCATAATTTTGGTGAATATTTATACACACATAAAAGTTTCCTTTTTTGCATATTTTGTCCTATTTCTTTAGGTGGATCGATTCATGCATTGTTGTCATAATTCTTAAGTCATCTATCCCCTACAGAGCCTTCATTTCTATGCCTAAAGCTTGTCCAAAATATCTACATGAAGTAGCATAAAATAATACCCATTATCATGCTCAACAATAAAAACTTAGTTAGAGCATACTACAAGCAAGTAAATTATATCTATTTGTCTCACCGGTTCCAGAATAAAAATTCATGTAGGGAAAACGACAGCCACAATGCCCGTGATTTTTGTAGGGTTTGAGTTAATTCTTCTAGTCTTTCTTTCGGCATTACAACTAGCTTTCTTCTCATTTATCATCCACCACCTAACAAAGATGCAAGCCCAAACTGCTTAAGGCCTTACCCAATGCAATGCCTATAAGCCAAGTGGGAACACTGGCAAAAGTAGTTAGATTCATGTGTCTACACTTGACTTTTATGTCTTACTAGTATCCTAGTTTTCTATTTCTCACATGTGGCAACACTCCTAATTTAAATGTCAACGCTTTGGCCTCTTGTGTTAACCCTTCATTTATTGGGGTTAAAACCTTGTCTATGGGTAGTTGACAGTTGCAACCAAAATGTTAACTCTAGTGTAGACAGCTCATTGTTTGCTTAAGTGCCAACACCTAAGATCCAAGTCCCAGGCCTTGTATAAACAGCTAACTATTTTAGTTTAGGACTTTGTGAGTGTTTTGGAGGGTGAGGGTTTAAGATGAGTTATGTGCTGATCTAAAACTTTTATTGGACACATTGACTTGCCTTCTTCAGGAACCAAGCACTTAAAACCAAGTTGATCAAATATGGAACTAAGACTATGAAATAAACTATTTTGCCTTTTCTTGCAGAACCATGAGATGACTGGCAATGGTTCAAGGTCCAATAATCACCAAACTGAAAGCCACTAAAACAGGATAGTCAACATCTGACCCGAAAAACATATCTATATATGTATCTATTTAGCAACAAGAAAATTTGAAGGAACTATGACCTGATGAACAAGCACAGGAGCCAGGCCAGAAGCCTAATTAAAACTATCCAGATTATGTCATACAGAAGAAGTTTCTGAAACATAAACTACAAAAGCATGTACCATTACAAGGTAAACTAAATACTAGGGAAAAAAGCCCGAAATTGGTATGTAGGGTAGTTTTTAGTTGAACCAATTCAAATCTCTCCATTCTGGTGTAAGACTTAATCGTCATGATGATTCGTCCCATGTGGCACTTGCTCTGGGTTCAGGTGCATAGTAAACAGATAATTTTGTACAACTAAAATTGGCATCTACAAAAATTAAGCTATTTACCTGACAGGTTCAATTATTGTCTGAACGTTTACTCTTATTTGAGGGAGTAGAAACACCTTCTTCAATACACTGATAGAAAATATGTAATGACATAATCAGCGGTAGACTCAATCAAGAAATAAAGGTAATAAAGCATCGATTTTGAAATTTTCAGTTCATATATAAGATACTAAGGCATAGAAAGAAAAAAAAATTCCAAACCCAAACTTTCCATGTTCAGTGAGTCAACTATATGTGAGCATACAAGCCAAGAGATGCAATAAATACATCCCTGAATTCGTTCATGCCATTCTCTCAACTAGACGAATTATGGGCAATAGTTCCTGAAACATATGAATCTCATGCCTAAAACTGAGCAAATCTTCAGACATTTTTAAAGGTTCATAATTACCAAAGAAAAATCAAAATAAAAAATATCATTGGAAGATGATCAATCAGTAATTGTTGAAACACGGAGAACACAATCTTATAGGAAGCAGTTTCCTTTTAGATTAGTTTAAACATAAACAATGATAGATCATCGTCATTCGCCATTGGCAAAATAATGCCTGCCTAGACCACATTGTTGGGGGGATCTGTCTAGCCCTAACTGTTTTTGATCCCCCTAACAGATCCCCCACGTTGTTAGGGGGAATCTGTCTAACCCTAACCTGCCTAGACCACATTGTAAGGGGGATCTGTTTGAGGGTTCTGGCCACAATGGTCACACCTCCAAGGTGCGCGTGCCCACACACCTGACTGCACGGCCTTATGCCAGCAGTGAGGTCCTGTGCCCAGAACCTCGTTCCTCCAAGTGACGGGTGTCACACACGTCCACTGGCCACCCATTGAAACAAAGGGAATCACTGCTGCACAAAACAACTTTTCAAAGTCCATTCTCCAAGTTCAAAACAATGATCGTGCAACTTTGGATTCTTTCCTGAAATTAGAGCCCACCCATTTACCGTATAAATATTATTCACGGTGTAATGAAACCAGTGACTTACTAGCATAGGTCTGGGTCATGGTTCAAGCTGAAAACCTATAATATGTACCTAGAGCCTATAGCATCGTAACACAACAAAATCCTTACACAGGCATCTTGAGTGTTTTCAACCTATGCCCATCAAACAGATTCCTCTTACATCACTGTCTTTCTACATTATCATAGCAAATATGCTTGAAACGCACATTGAAATATTCACTTTAAGGACAATCAAAAAAACCATTAAATAATCCACACTTAAGTGCCAGACATAAAATACGAAATATTTTTCAAACCAGGGAATTTTCGAAACTAGCAGCTTCATATCCATTCAAGATAATCAAAGTTAGTTTGCCAAAATTCAGTCTCCACCGACTAGGTATAGCTACTAGAAACAAGGGTATTAGCATGATTTTAACTAACGACTGAGGCAATCATCAAGAAAATAAAGCATCTGTGTGTATTAAAAATCATGAAAGATGAACCCAGAACCAATAAATCGGCATGCCATCTACAAATATCATCCCCATCACAACGAATGACAATCAGCTAATTAAGAGTCAATTACAATGGCATAATAAAGAAAAAAATAATTAGCTTGTCAATACCTGAAGAAGATAATTATGGAGCCGGTCCAAAGTTTGTGGAAATGTTGTTGCAGAAATATTAACAACCAGCAGACCCTGTTGCATGGAAAGTGAAAAACAAGTTAGCATACAGTCGTTATTAAATCTCCCATAAATCCATTTACTAAGCTTGTGCATGAACGAGGAATAAGGGTATTCAGCATACCCAATATGATTCATTAAACATGGAAAAAATATATTATAAATGTAACTATTTTCATGGAGTAAAGAATATTATTTAGCTGATTATACACAATTTTTTTTTGCAAAGTTGGTGGATTTACACGTAGCAGTGAGAAACGTAGTAGACTGTCTAAGAAATAGTCGCTTGTCTTCATTATGAGGTACTCCAAATCTTTTGGAGCATATACTCACACTTCTTTGGTATTCTAGTTATTTTGAGATACAGATGATGCCAAATTTTAAAAGTAGAGTAACAAGGACAAACATCATGGACAAACAACCAAACGGAGAACACTATAAACTACATCAAAAGAATATTATATTACACCGAGGATTACTTATATCCTCTCCAGGCCATCTAAAGTGCTTTAGGATTAGAGCATTAGAAGGATCAACCATATACCTGGGCGTCAAAGGAGCAAAGATAATCCTGAATTGTCTTCAGATTGCTTATTAATTTATCCTGATCCTGGAGGGACAACGAGTCAAGGTAGCACTATTGATTGAGACAGCCAACAAAGAAAGAAATCCAGATATATGGAATACAGAGAATATTGAGCTTTATATGAAAATTCATATTGACGTTATTGATGAAACAAGCCTTACCATTCTAAATATTCCCTCTAGTTCACATGTACCATGTCCATATTATTGAAAATACAATAACCAACAATCAGCAGTATCCATTGTTCTCTATATGCCTCATTTCAACTAACTATGAAGAAAAATCTTCAAGGCATACTCCTCAAATCGTTTGCAGCCGTTCTACAGTTTCTTCAAAGCCATGAACAGTTTGGTACTTTGCAATATTACATATAAGTTTTTTTTTTCAACAGCATTTTGCTCACATATAGCAACCCTACGAATCAATGATTCAATGAACTAATGACAGCGGTCAAGGGTTTATATCCTAACCCTAGAGGCAGCACAGTGGGCCACAACATGTTTGGCCCATTACTACCAGATGGCCGTCCACTAGATGGGCCGTGACATGGGAAAGCCCAATAGGAATGACTCATTCATTACATTTAACACCCCCCCCCTCAAGCTAGAGCATATATATCATATGCACCAAGCTTGGTACAAATGGCCATCACCTAAGGAACATGTAAAGATTTTGTGAAAAGAGCTACAAGCTGGTCTTCAAATGACATGTTGACAGTAGTGATGAGTATGCATATATATCATAGGCATACTCCCTTGACTGAAATAACAGTCAACTTTGATGTCCTTTACGCACTCATGGAAGATAGGATTAGATGCAATGTGGATGGCAGCTTGATTGTCACATCAAAGTTCCATACAGCCATTATGAGGAAGAAGCTTGATTTCCTCTAAGAAATGTAGAATCCAAATGAGCTCACATGTGATATGTGCCATAGCTCTAATACCATGTAGGAGGTGGAAATCTTGATTCGATGAACTAATGATGACAGTATAGGGTTTCTATCCTAGCCCTAGAGATAGCATAATGGGCCACGTCATGTTTGGCCCATTACCACTAGATGATGGTCCACTAGATGGGCCGTGACATAGGAAACACAAAAGGAATGACCCATTACATTTAACACCTACGAATCATTTTGTGGAGCTCATTTTATGATACTATAACAATGAAAACCCTTGAACTCGACATTTCTTCACCTCCTTCGGAGATACCAACGTTATTCCACAAATGACAATGCCTATGGTCTATTTCACATCATGAACGACTTTATAATATCATAAACAACTCAATACCTGATTAGATATTACTCCCACATACATGATACAGTTCATAGACCCTCCCGTGGTACTTGCAGTGATATCTTGAGTAATTAGTATGGATAGCTGGTCAATTTCTCACGACAAGGAAAGCCAATATCATATCATCTAGAAAATTCAGTGCATTGATCACAAGAAAAATAATAGAAGCCAATAATTTTATAGACTCTCCAATCTAACACGAAATAAATACCACACAATCTGGTATCTTTTCTTAAACTAAACTTCTCATTATAGACTACACCCACACTAAATTGCAATGCAAAATGACTGTACACATTTTAGGATTCAGTCATGGTCTCTTTAATGACAACATGAAAAATTCACCAAGAAGTTTGTCCACTGATGCATAAAAGTTTGGTCATATGAACCGAATAGTAAAGAGAGTCACAGACAAAAAGCACAATTACATGCATTACTTCTTTACAAGAAGATCCTACATTCTTCAATCCTCTGGCTGAACAAAAATTGTCAGATGGGGTGAAGATTGGCTGATCTTAACTCGTTTTCATTCAACTTACCTATGTTTGACCTTGATCCTGCAAACTGCGAAGGAAAAATCAAAAAGGAGAAAAAAGGAGAAGGAATAAAGAGTGGAACAATCAATGCCACAACCATTTGCCTCCACACAATGCTTGAGACTTCTCGTAAGCAAAAACAGCTTTCTATCAATAAACTTATAAAATAGGAATCTTTTCTTTGACCTTTTTCACCATTTCATTACAATATTTCTTAAACCTTCAAACTATCATTTATCCCTCCAAATTTATAACTTATAACACATTGTTATTATAAATCCATTTAAAGAGGATGTCCAAATTCACGAAAATATCAAATTTTGTGAACAAATCTCAATAGAGACAAGAAAAACGGTGCAAAAACTGTAACAGACCGGTAGATCAGTGTGGAAGCAAAGAAATAGAGCGATCACAGCTGGATTCACTCTAGAAGAAACATAGCGAAGGAGAAGATCCCTTGCCAAAAGAAGTGTACGGCGTCTGTAACACCATCAGACGATGGAGAGAATGCCGACAAAGCAACATCAACTGTGACGGTGCGGAAAAACAGGTTTTAAAAACCCTAGAATGGGTTTGTACTGTGATGGTCTGGAGCTCTTATACCAGATCCCTAGAAGGTTCTAGACATACTGATGTAACACAAAATGAAAGGTACATGAGGACATATATGTAAACATGTAAGGTATACAGGTTATTAAGTACATCTCGACAACACTTCAAAAAACAAGTTACTGAAATGAATTGTTCTATATACCTGAGCCAGACATTTACCACCAAACGTTCTGCTAGAAATCCATTCCTCTAGCAACGCCTAAATCAAGTCAATATTTGGATGTAAAGGACAAATAATGCAATTAAATCATGGAAATAAAGTATTACAGGGAAGATTCCAACAATAGTCATCATAAGCCGAAAAAATGTCTTTGAAGTCTTTATAAGTCATCAGATAGGACCAAAAGAATGTAAACGACGTGAAAACAGAAGAGACATGTACTGATCTCCTACAAAACCTACGAGAATAAAACTTAAACATTACCTTCTAGAAAAAGATAGATATATCATTTTTATAACCACAATGGATTTAAGCGCATGTGATTCTTGAATACACGCGAAATTTGTTTTAAGAGTGGGTAGTACCATATATCCATTAAATATCAATAATTTTATAAAGTTTTAAATATATCATTTTCTTTTTCAAAACCTAATTTTTACTTTTCCCACAGATTGTCCAATTTGGCCCCACCAGATCCCCAGAAGTTATATAAACTTAAGTAGCCGGATTAGTATATTGAGTTGAAGCAATTCATTCAAGATAGTCTAGAATGAGAGAAGTTAATGGATGATTAAAGATGACTAAGAGCCCTATGGCAACTCTTTTTAGTCAATTTTACAGAAGGTATGAAATTTTTAAAGTTGATTAATGCGCTAACTAGATAAAGACAATCTATGTACACTCAAGAAAATTGAGAAAAGAAATATTGGACAATAGGGGCATGATACTGAAACTTATGATGTGATTATACAAAAGAAATTAACAAGGAAGATGATTCAAGTAGACATTTGCTTACCTAAAATGTCTAGCAACTCGTTGGTTTTGGACCTCATAATATAAGGCTAATGAGACTCAAAACCAAACGTAACATGAATTAAAATTGATAGTTATGAAAAAACCCATGTCTAGCTTACCTATTTGATGATTTGAACGGATTTAACCTCAATTTTTAATTGGGACTAAGGTAATGATGAAGCATAACGAAAACCAATGTCACATTGGAATGGGAGCATTGTTGTGAATCTGTTTAAAAGTTCGTGTTGCCCAAGTGTCCTTACATTTTAGGTAGTTCCTCTTCTACTTTGGAACTTTCTACCTAGTGAACGCAGTGTCACTGCAGGAATAATGTAATCCGAACCACATAATTATATTATTCTGTGAATGATTAACCCACCCTCCCTTTCCTCTAATGTGTTGAACGGCTTCGTTTCTAATAGACCGAGACATGCCTAAATTTTAACGATAGGCATATAACTTGTCTGACTAGCTATTGTTGAAACAGTTGGAATGATACTCACCTAGTACTCACATTTTCCGAATTTTCATTAAAAAGGAAGCAAACTTTAAACATCTTTGAACGTTTTATAAGCTTTTATCCCAGTTTCGGAATTTCTGCGAACATTCTTGTTCTGGATATGCCTTTGCTTGTCACCGCTATTACCAGTAACCTCTTTTCTTTACTTCCTTTTCTGAGCCTCTGTTGTCTGCCTCATTTTTTCTCCTTGCATCAGAACTTGACCTGATCATCTGCAGAAGCAGGGGACAGCCAAGCAAGGGCATACAGGAAGAGAGACAGGGGCAGAGACAGAAAGGTGGAGGGAGGACGATGCAAGGAAAGTGAAATTATCACTAAATCGGACAATTAAAAAGGATACGATTTTTCTATATCCAAGTCCAAATAGAACCAGAGACTAGAAGATATGGCATCATGAGTGGACTCAAAAGACACCTCAGTCGTTGATCGGGATAGAGAGCAAAAAGCCATACCTTGTGATCAAACTCAGCCATCTTCAAAACTATCGGAACGATTATTGGTTCAGCTGAAAGCTTTTCCCTTTTAACAGAGCTACCCATATTTGGGTCTCTGCCCTCAGGATTATCCCCTAAAATATTTAGCCCAATATCAGTCATACAATAATTAACAAAATCCGGTTTACAAAATTAAATTCACAGTATGAAATCCGGACCATGTTGGAAGTAGAAAATTTTAAAATTAAATTAAATTAATTTATAAAATAAACTATTTGCATGAGATTACCTAGAAAATCAGTTTTTTTTTCAAACAGGCTACTAGATGCCGAAATGTCTGCTTCCACTGTAACTTTACTGCTATATATTATTCCACCGTCCGTTTCAAGTTTGTGCACATCCCCTGAACCATGCACACTTGTTGAACATGTTTCTTCAACCCCAGAGAGAACAGCACCTCTATTTTGCTCTGTGGACCTAAGAAGAGTGTTCTCCGAAGTATTTTGCAAGTCATGTGATTCTTTCTTTGTGGCAAGTAAATCAAGTGAGCCCCTATTTTCCTCATTCATCAAATATATGCTCGGATCCAGATGTATGCCCTGTCATAGACAAAAAAAAACATAAAATGCAAAGAAAATTCTCCCTGTCGAAGAGGTTTATCAATTATTAATGATCTACATTGTACATTAAGAACAAGAGAGTCCTACATTAGTTATTAATTTAGACGGTTTCTTACTCCCAAGTCGACTTCTAATCATTTCCATTCAGGCGACTGCTCAAATTTCAAGAATGCCTAATCAGACAGATTAAAAGCCACTGATTCGTACTGCCATTCCATGCAGTGCAGATTATAGCACTATTCATATGAAAAAAAATAGATACCTAAGAAGGAAAAAATGGTCACCTGTGAATCCCACAGTACTATGCTCATTTTGTTAGCATCTTTGATACTTAAAATTCAAAAGTCAACTGCAAATTCCCCAAAGGAAAGATAACAACTTAGACAGTAGGCACATCGAACCAAAGGAAAGCCATTAAAATTTAATGGTAGTCAATCCACATCGAACCAACCTAGACAGTAGGGAACAAAAGAGCACTTATCACAAAAGCATGCAAGTATAAATTTATCACATTACACAATGCATCATTAGAAGACCCACCTCACCAATTGTTCCATATACAATAGGAAGTCATAATAGAATGTAGGTGTGAATTCATTAAGCGATAGGATGTCATAATACAAGTAAGGTTCTCCAGGGTCCATTTTTCAACAAAAATGGAATCTTGAAGTCCTCTGCTACAGATATCTGAAGGATTTCTCTAACACATTAGACATTTCTAAGGGTAATTTTGCAAAAGAATTATCATTAGTACATGATCATAAAAGAAGATGTATCATTAATGGTTTTCTTTAAAAAGAAAATCTCATTCTTCTCCTCCGTTTTTATTACTTTTCTACGTACATTTATGAGTGCCCTGGGCTGTTCCTGGTAACAGGCGTAGTTGTAATTTGGACATTGTTGTTGGTTAAATAAATACTGGATAAAGGTGGCATTTTTTGAGGAAGCAAAGACCCAGCGTTCCAGTCTGTTCTTCTAACTATTCCTCGTCCTTGTTTACTCTCAATTTGTAAGGATTCCTGCATGATTTCAGACGAGGTAGCCAAGAGGAAGAATGATTTCTTTCTCTCATGAAAAACTGATCCACTCCATATACAGGTCTTCGATTTTGTCCTACAGTAGTTCTCTCACCAAGAAGGATCTGACCCAATTGAAGGTGATCATATCACGGTGTCTTCTTTGGAGGCTCATTAGGTTATGTCCATCAAGCAGAGTTGGGTTTTCAAGTTCTGGTTGAACTAAGTCGAAAACAAGAAATTATTATCAGTCATTCTCAGTATACAACTCATACACTACAAGAGTTTATTAAAAAATATCAGTTTCAATTGGGACACCCTGCTTATTATTGGATTGGACATGGACAATGCTTCTCAAAAATGACCAAGACCATAAACAACAATGGATGATTCTGAGAATCCCTGGCTGGTTCCTAGTGAAGGATGTACTTCGACCTTTTTTTGTACTGAATAGATAGGGAAGAGACAGAGCTCAACAAATTGGAAAAAAAAGTCCCAACCTCTCTGGCACTGTTTTCTGGTCAATCCTTTTCGTCTATCTTCCTTTCTTTTCCTCATTTCCAGACTTTTGGTAACTAGTAGAAAACGCAAAGGCTGAGTTAAAGAATTAGGACGTGCAAGTATTTCTCGTTGAGTTGATAAGATTCCGGAGAACAGTGGTTAGACAGATTGAGTTGATTGTCACTATCACCCCGTACATTGTATGGAACATATTTTTGCAATGCTTGTGAGATTGGTGAGATCCCGTTTTTAGCCTTTGTAGTCGGCTATTTAATCCATAATTATAACATTCTTGTTTCAGTGAGCTAAAAAATGATACCAACTATTTTCACGCAATAGAAAGTCAAATTTCAAAAAGTGATGAATGATACCTCTATAATGATAGGCTTACCATCTTTCATCGCCTTCTTCAGATCACCAGCCAAACCTGCCACATTTACCACCACATTAGCAAATAATTAGTGGATGCTGATAAATCAAATCACAGTGGAAGGATGATCAGAGAATGAGAAAGGGAAAACCTCTTTATGTGCAATAATCATGTTGTCAGATAGACCAAATATCACTGAATAAGGGAAATACAGAGCAACGTGGATAAACATCTACAGTTTACTGGAGTTGAGTTACCTTTCCAAACGATTCTACATTCCCTGTAAAACTCAGTTATGAGCTCTTCTGGGGTAGAGAATTCCCTAGCCCAAACAGGAACTGATGCAAGTGGAGCCCTGGACACAACAGAAAGAAATATTTATTTAATCCATAAAAAAGTATGTTTATCAAAGACATGGTAACATTTACATTTTCAGTCCATATGATCAATTTGTAATATCCAAAGCCACTTGTAAGTACGCAACTTACCTTGAGGTTTTACTACGACTTCTTAATGCTGTAAGTCATGATTTTCAGATTTTCTGACTTTTGGACGGTTCAAATAAAAAGTCGTGAACTTTTTTGCCGTTCCTAGGCTGTTTATGTAGCGTTTTTTATTTCTCAGGATGTGAGAAAATTACTTTTCTATACATTAATTTCTTTGTAGAAGTATAATCTTTATAACTCAAACCTAAACACAAGATATGTATCTTCCACAATTTATAGCGTGTAGCTTTTATAGCAGAAAGCAAAATGCCATCACTTTGAGGGCATTAAAATAATTCCACTAGCTGTATCATATTCGAGTGGAGACTCATAAACATTTAACCTCTATTCACAAAGATCCCATGAGAGGGTATACAAAACTTGCAGATAAAGGAAAATAAGACCATAATTTTCCCACTATATTTCAGGAGTAACCAGCTCAAAATTTTAAAGTAAATAACGACTATTACTGTATACAACAGCAAATGTTGTCATAACTAAATGATAAACAAGTGACTCTCAGGTAAAAAGCTTTTCACAATTTACGTTCATAGTGGCCATAAATTAAGACGATTAATCGCAATTTACAAACGGGATATGTTTCTTAAAATTAGGACTTTTTATTTACACTTTCATCAATGCAGCGAAACATCTCACAAGTAAACATTTTACAGTATTGAGTTCAGATAGAAAAGGACCCCGGTTCAGGTGACATAAAATCCTAAAATGTTCAGCATACCAACACACGCACATGCATACACAATAATTTCAAGATTGACGAATGAAGTAAATCATAGCCAAATCTTCACATACTGACATCACAAAAAGGGGATGATTCACATACTCTGTTGATGTGCGTAGCAGTTCATATACCATATCAGTCTGCATAATAACCCATGTCAACATGATAAAAAGATTGTGACAAGAAATCAACATGTAGCCATAACCTTTACCATGTTACCTGAAGAACATTTGGTAAGTTCAGCCTTTGAGCAAGTTGAGTAGCGATTGTGGATTTCCCCGTGCATGCAGTTCCACATACTAGAATAACTAATGGTACCCTTTGGTGGTGAAATCTAAGGTAAAAAATATAACAACATTATTAATCATTTACAATGGCAGTTATGTGCAAATAATTAAATATGATCTGCAGGCATACTAGACAGGAGTACAGTTCAGATTATAACGAAAGTGATGAAAAAAAAATTAGTCCCGCCGGGCCATTCTGTTATATTTAAAAATGGCCATCCAGAATGAAACATACTGTTAATGAAGGATGACAACAGCACTTGTTGCTTGCTTGGCGTCAGCAAGCAACAAGATGGTTCAGTTCAACAGCAAATTTGACTCAAGGAGGAGGCTAGTTTAGACGTTTATTGATACGATCCTCCTTGGAAGGATCAGATCTGAGTGAATCCGGAGAGAAAACAATTGTATTGATTCTCAAAATCGGGACAATGTTGTAGGATAGAACGTCAGGATGTCGGAATACAAGAAAAGAAAAAGAGAAAGAAGAGTAGAAGGGGTGGGGAATGAATTTGAAAGGATTCCCCTGCCTCTCCTGGTTCCGACTGTTCTCCCCCTCCTCTGTTCCCCCCCCCCTCCCTGGTTTATTTATAGTCCTCACATTTATATTTGCCAGTAATGGGGTCGTAACATTTATATATTCGAGTGGGGACTGAATCCAGACCCAACAAAAAAGTAATCAGATCAGCAAGTGCTCACCAGGCATAGAAGGCCATTTTTGTCAACGGCGGATGTAAAGCTCAGACTCAACAGCTTGAGAATATTGGTATAGGTATCTCTTCTCTTTAGCTTCAGTGGAAATAAAGGGAATAATAAAAGAACTTCTATTTTCCCATCTATGCACCAACATTTTTTTTCTCATCCTAAGGAAGTGGCTTATCCAGTTCATGTTGGTAAAATTCATAAGGCAACTAGAATGTATCCCAGTGTGAACATTTGGAAAAAGGGTCAAACTTCTGGCTCGTTGCTATCCTGGTTCCCATCAATTAAAATTTGAGAAGAGATATTCCACAAAAATGTAATAAAGCATTCAAACCTTAACCATTTTGCCAAGGTAAGAAAAATAAACTTAATTTAAATAATCTAAGGAACTTGGGAAAATTTTGAACTCACTCTAAAATACTCATGAGCCGGTGACTAAACTTAAGTATTGTTTCCAATGAAACAATAAAAGTAATTGGCCCACTGGCTATTGGAAATCCGAAACAACAAATGCACTAGTCAAGATTTACCTCCAAGTATGCTTTTATTGGGGGAGGGGAAGGATATTTCGGTTACATCTATCTGAATTATGAAAATTATGCAGTCGTCTGAAAATAGATTACAGCCAAAATGAAGAAATAACTAAGATGGATAAGCATAATTTGGAGGTATTACACGCTTATAACCCGTTTCAAAAAAGAAAATAACAAAGGACAACTCAACGAACTATAGAATATGCAAACAATAAGATATGGAACTAACTTAGTCATCATCCTATATCGATTTATGTACTCTTCTCCATAGCCCCGCCGTTCCATAAGCTGCAAATGTCAATTCGAAAATAAGTCACGTCTAATTTACTCTGTATGTTCTCCGAAGACTTAGATATTCTTCTTTAAAAAAAAAGCTACGCGCCCAGCTAGTTCAACTCAATCTTTATATCAGTTCATTGAAAAGTACTTTTTCTCATACATATTCTTTGAGAAACAGCATCAGACTTAAATCGTAAACGACCACCTTGAAAACAATAATTCTGGAACAAGCTTTAAATTTCATCATTAAGTAAGAAAATTGCCTTCATCTCAGACCTTGCAAAAGTTTTTGCCAATGGTAGTAAAGATTTTCAGTAAAAGTTTACACATAAACGACCCAGTGTTATTAATGAAATGAGTCTAGAGAAAAGCAAGAAAAAATTTAAACAAAAATGAAATAGATCGAGGAGAACTCTTACTTCCGTTTTGATTATGACATCACTCAGCATCAATTACATCAATTTTTCACGTCATCATAAAAGTAATGCAAAGTATAGCATTTTTTAGAAAAATAAGCAAATAAATAAAATAAATAGGCACTAAAATATTGCATGCCAGCACAACATCCAGTTTGAGAATAATAAATAATTGACTTACAAGAAACATGACAACCCAGAATACCTACCTCAGGTAAAGCCTTAGTTTTCTCCTCTTCTTTACTTAAAGTGGATGTTATCATGTGATTTTTTCAATTAATTTCATTTTCTAACTCGTTATCTTTTGTCTGTCTTTTATAGACTTAGAGGTAATTTGTCATTTTACATTGAGACATATTGATGAATTCGGGCTTTCTGGGTCATTTGAATGTGTATTCTCCTCAGCAATCAAATTCGGTGCTAATTATATCCTTCTGAGAAAGACACTCTCAAGTGACTATCGTGGAAATGATGCAGCAAATAAAAAAAATTCATTTTGAACTGAAATATATACAAATTTGTGTGTAAGAACAAAAACCTGCACTACCTAGGAGATATAACCCCATTTAGTATGGGAATGAAGGTTTTCATTAGTCCATGATATGAGGCATATTTGTCAACTTTCTTCATGTTTTTAGGGTCAAAGCCTTCTGGATAATTTATGTGGTGGACTATGAAATGGAAATCATTTGGCAACTTTCTGAGACAAAACGTATTCTGAGCCAAAGCCCCCATTTGATTGTCTACGGAACAAGATTTGTTGTCATTCGTTCATTCACTGGTATAAGGCTTTCAAAATTAATGATTTCATGTAGCATGACTTTGGATACTAACCACAAGACTCACATAAGATGAAATAGGCTACAGAACATTAGATCCACAGTGAACCAACGGACTCGTTCGTATCATGACATATCATTAAGCATGATGACATATTAGACCATGAGTTCGCTAAAAATTTACTTCAACATTAGACGATGTTTACAAACTAGAATATTAGGCATAGGATCTATAATACGCCTATTGGCCAACTACTATTAGAACGGATCCTTAGACATGAGGGCCAAATTATGAGCCTACTAATGATGGGTTTAACTATTAGACAACACCCACATCAGGTCCAATTGGTCATTAGACGCATGGTTCACATCAAGCTATGTTTTTATTACTATGGACTTTTCAGAGTGCACTGATCTGGGAATTAAGGATGAATTAAGTCGGACCTCATAAGCTTCTTCCAATTGTCCTATGGGTGCATGATGAGCTAAGGCTTGCCTTTTTATCAAGCAAGGTCTTTACGTTCTCCTACATGTACCCTCTCCTCTATGTCTATGTAGAGGCGAATTCAGACCCCCCCTACTGTACAGGTATTGGGGTTCGAACGAAGGAAATACGCCTATATCTTATGAATGCGTAGGAGGCATTTGAGCCCTATGGTGTTCTGTTCTCCCTTAATATAAGAGATGAAAAAAAGATGATCCCCCTAAAGACTACAATGCCCTCAAAAATAGTGTATTGAAATCCCCTTGACACATTCATAACGTATGGGGGCAGCTCCATCCTTCGGACTCCTAAGGCCTCTAAAGTAGGGGTTTTGAATTTGCCCCTACATAAAAATGGAGAGAGCACATACACACATACAAAGAATAGACAGAAAGAGAGGAAGAAGAGAGGCCTAAACAAGAAAGGAGAATGGAAAGACTTTGCTCAACAAAAAGGTGCACCCTAGCTCATCATGTACCAAACACACCTGGAAGAAGATTACGAGCCCCAATTTAGCCCATCCTCAGATTTGCAACTCAGCCCACTTTGAAAGTTTATAATATAAAAAAGCATTGCTTAATGTGAACTCTATCTCTATGGCTCATTTGGCCTATTATGAATATTGTCTCTAATAGTTAAACCTATTATTAATAGGTTTGTTGATCAAATTTGGGTCTCATGTCGAATGATCCATTATGATAGTAAATGGCCATTTGGCCTAATGTGGACCTTATCTTAATATCCCATTTGACCTCGAGTGAAAATTTGTGTTCAGTAGTCAAACAAATTGTTTATTAGATTATCTATTGTGGGCCTCGCGCCTAGTGAACAAAAAAATGAAAAAGGACTTCTATCCCATGGACTATCAGATGAGCTTCAATCGAAAAATAGACATCAAACGGGTTTTGGGCCAAAAACTATCAAATGGGCTCAGCTCATAGACTATCAAATCGACTTTATCCCATAAATTATCAAAAGAGGTTTGGCCTTGAACACTAACAAATGAGTGTCATCTCATAAAGTATCAAATATAGTTTGACCCAAAAAGTTGTAAACTGATTTTCATCCACATACTCATTAAATGGTCTTATATCCCACAAAAAATCGAAGGTATTAGATTGACATCCAAAGTTACACATGTTTTAGTAGGAAATGAAATATTGTTTATTTGTGGCATCATTTTTCATTATGGTCAATCAAGAGTGTTCCTTTGTCATAAGGATGTAAATAAAGCCAACTATGCTCGATGGAAAGGATCCATCAATTAGCTTACATGCAAAATAACAAATTATCCCCCATCCATAATAAGTAGACAAAAGAACAGAAGTAAGATATGAAAACGAAAAAACACAATAAATAACAGCAAGCCGCTATGATAAAGGATACACAAATATAGAAGAGGAGTAACACAAGAAGATCCTCTTCTCATCCGCCAACAAGGTAGAGAAAAGGAAATCAAACTAGAGCAACAGGTTTTCCCAAACAAGGCAATCAGCAAGGGGTTAGTTATCGCTAAGATTTACTCCACATTTTTTTCCAAAATGTATACTTTTATATCCTCTTTAATTCCAAAAATATTGGTAAGCACAAAAGCCAACTTATAAAAGATCGGGCCTTATGGATTATGGTAAGATTCATCCAAATACAGGCCTTACAATACCCCCGTTCTAAAAGCTCTCAGCCCAATAAAGAAGATGCTCTACATTCTTCTATGTTCTCAATGCTCACAAAATGTTAGAATCGCCTCCATACTACAAAATACTGGTTCACCTATTTAACCTTCCCAGGACAAAGAAAAACGTGCTCTCAATCAAGTAGTTCTCATATTTAAACATGGATTATTCTGCTTAATTCAAATGGCCCTAAGAGTTTCAGTGAGGATGAGTAGTCATATTTTTTTGGTCCCCTTGAAGCATCCAGTTCTACTTCCAAACTATCTCCTCCTAAGCTGCAAGGTGTCACCAAACGTCTTCAGAATGGAGATCTTATGGCATATCTGATGTAAGAAGGAATGTGCACGAAAGAAATAATCCATGTGTCGTCTTTTCCTTCATGAAGGCTGCAAAAAGTGTATTCATTATCCAAATGCATAATTAGACACATTTTGAACTGAAATCCTTCAAATCAAAATCATCACTTTCAAAGGAGATGAACACCCCCCTTCGAAAAAACAATGTTGTGACACCTTAAATTTGATTCCTTCGTCTGTAATAAGAAACATAGATATAATAGTCAACCTTCATGACTCCAAATTCTAAACAAATTGAGAAGATTTTTAAGCAGTCAAATTTCAACATCTTGAAGTTTCCTTTTGAAGTCAGGACATCACCGTTTATACCATAGAAAGTAGCCGAAATTGTTCATGAAAAGAAAAGCTCCCGCACCATCCATCACCACTGATGCTAAATGACCTTTGGTTGTGCCTCAAATAAATCTTACTAAATGCTAACACTATATATCTGGCATCATAGTATCTCTCCACACATCAGAAATATTAGTAGAGATAGTAGGCTTTAATTCTTAGAATCTTCCTCTCCACTGGTCATAATTTTCAATACATTCAATATTTGATATATCATAATGCATGAAATCTACATTATCAAATAATTTTCATGAACCAATGAATCCAGAACGTGTTGTAAGAAGATAGATGAATCAATCTCACCTTTGGAAAAAAATTAAATGGCCACCAAATTGCTTCAGAAATAGTATGATAAGATAGTTTTTAACTCAAGGACATCAATCATTGGTAAACTATGAGCAGCTCAACTGTTACCACCTGAGAATGTGGTGTGCTATGAAAATGCACCATGTTCCCTTCACTAACGGGTTACTCTTTCTAAAATAAAGACTAGTAGAGTTACTGGATTAAATTTATAAGTTACATTAGAAAGTAAAAACTAACACAGAGAGAAGCAAGCCCATCACTAAATAGTAATGGAGCTGCTGTCAGCCATATGGAGATTTGTTTTTAATCCAGTTTTTAAAGACTATGAAATAAATAATTTCACTCAAAAAAGGGTAACTTTTCATGGAAAAGCTGAGTAAATGTTGTGACCTTATGATTACGACTTATCACTGATTTGAAAATGAGATCAACTGAACAAATAACAAGATTTTTTGGAACTATTGAAGGCAGCTGTTTGGCATGAGTTATAACTGAAAAAAAAACTATTAGGAGGAAGGAAATGATTGGACAGTATGGCAGAGAAAGAATAGAAGGAACAATACAGATGAAAGGCCAAAGATAAGAAAAAAGTCGAGCACTTTTATTTTTATGTGACTACATTGTGGGCAGGTTGGGATTGTGACTTGTAGGAAGATTCATATTGTGTGCGTCAACAAATTTTTCCCCAGGTTGAAATAGAGCAAACAAGCTGAGACACTGATTTTCTAGATTCCTAATTCGAAGGCAACCAATTCATAACCGTTTAGATATCACGAGCCGTATCACATCAAGCTCGCAGCATCAATGAGACAGGTGCAAACAGCATTACAAATCACAATGCATGCTTTGATTACCTAGCAACAATAATGTCTTTCCTTCGAGTTTGGAAACTTATTTAGTGTAGTAACGTAACCCAAAAATAAAAGAGAATCGGATAAGGAACTACAAGTAATGGTTAACTAAGATAGGAAGCAAAAATGAAACAGAGAATTTTTATGACATATACCTTGAAGAGATTAGCTTCCAAATCAGACTGTGAACTGCAAAATAGTCAATCATGATAAAAATACAGTTAGATCACAAAATAATACTAGTTTAAAAAAACATTTCTTTTGACTTTGAAGAAACACTTGAAGAGCAAGCATTCTTTCTAGTAATTATTGAAAGAGCGAAATTATATGAAGATTGGAGGATGGACATGCTACTTCACTAAATAACCACAACAAAGATAGAGAAATATACTCATATGCTTTGAAAAAAAATTCATGTAAACTCAAATTGTATAATAGAGAGGGTGACAGAGAATGACGTACACATCAAGAAGACTGTTGTCTATGAGCAGCTTTTTGAGCTCAAGAGCAATTTTAATGGCAACATGATTGGGAATCTAAAAGAAAAAAATCCATAACACATTACTTCCAGCCTATTGAGAAAGCCCATCCTCTATTATTGATGATAACTAACAGATTCAATAAAGTCAAAACATACTAGGTTTCCAAGAAGCTGGAATGTCACTATAAGTCGAAAGAATGGTGAAAAGCATACAGATTTTTTTTAATATGGAGTTTTATCAATACATGAAACAAGAACGATATAAATGGAACCCCACAGTCAACAAGTGGTGATGATGAATTGGAGTTGTTGCCTGACTCTCTCTAATCATCTAAATGAGATTAAAATGGATAGAAATATCACCCAGGTAAAATCTTACCACTAATTATGATCGAAAAAGTGTACAGACGTGAATGCACACGATGAATGAAGATCTAGTCGAGCTAATACAAACTGGGGTCTATCGAAAGTACACTGAATTATAAATAAACAGAAGCACTCCTTCAGTTGAGCTCTAAACCACAATGATCTAATGCATCCATTTCAACTCTTGAATGCAGTAACCTTACTTGGGAATTAGAGCAAATTTAACTGATTGATGCTCCAAAAATTGAATTACCAAAAAAATATATTTCACAGCATTCACTTATTCACGGAAAATGATGATTTATCGAGTTGTCAAGGTATTCTTTGAGCTCCAAAACCTTAGACTCAGATATCAATATTCTCCATGTGAATGTTCCAGCGCTTACCATTTTGACAATGTGGCACAGCCAATGTAGCCAGCGGTAAACAGGGAGACGAAAAATTTATTCTACGATAACATTGCGGGAATGGTTCATTTATCATGATTTTTCGAAATTGCATCACCGTTAATTTATCTTGATAGCCAATCATGCAAAAGGAAAGGGATATTTTTTGTGGGGAGAAGAAGCAGCTACCACTGGAAAATGGTTTCCCAATAGTTGCTAAAACCCAATTACCACTCCATCACGAATGGTAAATTTCAGTCTAATATCACATGCAATCAAATGACATACACATTGGAAGATAGGTTTACTAAAACAAAAAGGACCCACGGCCCAAAATAGAAAGCCCAATTATCCGATTCAATTGAAAAGGTTTCCGAAACAATGCTAATCGAAAATTATGGCAATAAACCAGTTGAGTTTGGAAAGAGTCTAAAGGCAGAGGAAACCATGAAAAGCAATTAAACCATTACGAATCAAAATAAATATATAGGCTAGGTACCTTGGTCACAGTCAGCATTCTGCTAAGCAGAAATCTAGAAAGAACATAGTAATGATCCGCATTATCTCCAAGCCATACTTTAACCTGCCCACGAACCGTCGGCAAACAAGTACACAACAAATCCAAACAACAATCAGAAATGAGGAAGAACAGTTGCACATAGGTCTCTCCTCGTTTCTCATTTCCTTTGTGAAGAAGAAAAGATACAGGAGAGCAGAGGAGGCGAGAAGACCCACCTTGACGAAATCGTACTTCGAAGAAGCATTGCGAGACGGCATCTTGGCATAGGTCTTGACCGGCGCGGACGAATCCTCCTTCCTCCCCGCGAGGTCGACGTCCTCCGGAGGAGAAGCCATCGCAATCTCCAACACTTCCTTCCCCTTAGTGCTCTCGGCGGCCATGATCGCCTTCTCCACCCGCTCCGACCAGCAAAAACGTTGGAGGATATCTACGTGGAAGCTTTGACCAGTTCCCCACCTCCCTACGTGGCAGCTAGCCCACGTAGCCTGCCGGGAGCCCTCTTAGGCCCGGCCCGAACCGATTAGCACCAATAACAGGCCCCAACGAATCCCGGCCCAGTTTGGCCATCCTGAATAAAAGTGGGCTCAAATCTTCTCTGCTCGATCAGACAAAGCCCGTTCCGGCCCATTTGAGAATAGCCCAGGCATAGTACCCATAAATGGGCTCAAATCTTCTCACACTTGGGACACCGACTCCCCTCCCCCTCCCTCTTCTTTAATAAACATTTTTTTCTTTATTTTTTTCTATAAATGATTAAAAACTCATAATTCGCCTAAAAACGAATTCATATATTATCGTCGCCCAAAAATGTCATTTTTTTGCCCCTCGATTGGCATTTTACAGCTCTATTTTTGTAATGAGATTAGAGGAACTTAAAAATTAATAAAATAATAATAAATATTTACTTTATCTTGTAATGTATTATTAAAAATACTGGGAAATCTCCTCATGAGCCGACTAGCTAGAGCGTCGATTGTCCGGTTTTCGCCACGTGGCAGGTGGTCTGAGCCGTCGCACGTGGCAGGCTAAAAAAATTCTGTTCGGTAAGAAATTAGCGTCACCCTGGGTAAGTACGAAATGACTTGAAAACCAGCTTGCCGCGTGCTTTAATGGAAAGTAGAAAATGGGGGTATTAAGGTCATTTAGTATTATGCCTCTCGCTTTCTCTCTCTTGGTAACGGGGACCCCCTCTCCTTTGGCTTCCGACTTACTCTTTCTGCCGCCTCCCGCTTCTCCTCGTAACATCTCCATGCTGACCATTCCTTCTCCCTCCCCCTTCTCTCTCACGAAAACTCCAAGTGGAAGGGGAGTGAGCAAGTGAGGAGAGAGAAAGAGAGAGAGAATAAAAAGGGAGGCAACAGAGAGAGTGAGGAGAGAGAGAGAGAGAGAGAGAGAAGGGGGGGAGGGGAGGAGCAGCGCTAAGTGCCGGAGCTCGGAGGCGATCCATGGAGAGGCACGCCTGCAAGCTCTGCTTCCGGCGATTCCACAACGGAAGAGCTCTCGGAGGACACATGCGATCCCACGTGGCGGCCGCCGGCGGCAAGCGCGCTCTCCAGGACTCCTCCGCCTCGTCGTCGCCATCGCCGTCGCCGTACGCCGGCGGCGGCGAGTCTTCCGTTGTGCTCCCGGACGGGGAGAGCGAGACGGAGTCCTCGAAGGAGCCGCCGCTGCGTCGATCCAAGCGGCGCTCGAGACCCCCGGAGCCCCGGCCTTCCGATCCGGGGCCGGCGAGCTCCGTCTCCGACACCACGCCGGAGGACGACGTAGCGCGCTGCCTGATGATGCTCTCCCGCGACGTCTGGACGGCCCGCGGAGATCGGAGAGACCTGGACGAGCACTCGATCCGATCGGAGGAGTTCGCTGACTCGACCAGATCGAGGACGAGAGGCCGGAAGATCCACCAGTGCTCCGTCTGCTTCCGGATCTTCGGCTCCGGCCAGGCCCTCGGCGGCCACAAGAGATCCCATCCGCTGAACAATTCCACTCCGCGGCCCCTTGCCGCGGCCAGCCCCACATCCAAATTCGCCGGCGAGATCATCATAGATCTGAATCAGCCAGCTCCGCCAGACGAGGAAGGGGAGCTCTCCGCAGTCTCTTACGCTCCGCGATAGACCGCTGGAATTCAACCAACCGGCCACATCAAACTCAGATACCCTCCCTTCCTCTTCCTCTTCCTCTTCCTCTTCATCTTCATCTTCATCTTCTACGTTCGAGCGTTCATCTCGCGGGATAATTTCCTATTTTTTCATTAAATTATGCCATGTTTATTCCAACCGCGGATTTATCATCGACGGCGACGGCCCCCCCGGTCAGGCGCCGCGGTGGGATCAACGGCGTTGACAACCGCCGCCTCCGCCGGCGGCGCCACCCCCTCCCCCAGCACGTGCGCCTACTTCGGGAAGCGCCTCGCCCTCTGCAGAGATTGCCTGCCGCCGTTGACAGAGCACCCTCTGATATATCGATAAACAAGACACGTGTCGACACCCAGCTTTTTTGGAACCCGGATTATTAGCGAACCGTTATTTGGATTTGAAACTTATTCCCTCAATTATCCATTAAACAAATTTAATTATATTCTCAGTCGGACGGTTATTCTGGCCCACAGCCCCAAATTTCATATTATTTTTTTTGGAATAAAAAACAAGAATTTGCTAAAAATATTTTTTACGCATTATTTATAATAATAATAATGTGAGAGGGAGGGAGGGAGGGAGAGAGAAAGAGCCTAGTAAGCTTTGCATACTTTCCCAAAAAAGCTTTCTCAATCTATCCAACGGTCAAACATCATAGAAAGAGAGCCTAATATTTGGAGCCTTCTCATGTGTACCTTGTTAATGGGCCAATTCTCATAGTGATATGACCCATTAGCCCACGAGAGAGAGAGAGAGAGGTGGGAAATTCACAAGCCAATTATTGACCTTGATAAAAGGTCAACGCCACCGAAGATAGAAAGGAGAGTTTTGCCATTTTCCGTTGACAGGGAGCCTAGCTACACCTCCGGCGGTGCCGGCCAATCTCGGGCGGCCCTCGATCTGGAGGCGTCAATCTTGGCGTTGACCTCTGCCACAACGAGCCTCGTCAGCAGGAGGCCGGCGACGAAGGCGGCGGCCATGAGCATCTCGAACACGTCGCTCCAGCTTCTGCGGGATACGTAGCCCGCCATGAGCGGCCCCAGCGCCGCCCCCACGGAGCCGGTGCCGTCGATGATGGCGGTGACAGTGGCGAGGGCCCGGGAGTTCCCTTTCAGGGTGGCGGCGCCGCCGCCGGTGCCGAGGTCGGCGGAGACGGCGGTCGTGATGAGGGCGTAGGGGCCGATGACGAAGACGCCGGCAGCGAGCATAAGGGCGGCGTTGCAGAGGAGGGAGACGCCGCCGTAGATGCGGTAGAGGAAGAGGGCGGGGATGGCGCAGTAGGTGAAGCCGGCGGCGGTGATGGCGCGGGCCTCCAGCCGGTCGGAGATGTGGCCAGCGAGGATCCCGCCGGCGACCCCTCCGACGTCGAACAGCGTCGACAGGTTGGCGGCCACGGAGTCGGAGAGATACTCGCCGTCGATCTCTGCGAGCACCGAGGATTATCTTATCGTTAAAGGGAGAGAGAGAGGAAGAGAGAGAGAGAGAGAGAGAGAGGCTACCAGTCTGGTTGAGGTAGAAGGGGAGCCAGTAGAGGAAGGTGTAGGCTACGAGCTTAGAGAAGAAGAGGCAGAGGGCGAACTGAGCTACGCCGGGGATTTTCAAAGCTTCCATGAAACCCACCGCTCTCTCCTCTTCCTTCTCCTCCTCTCTCTCTCCCAGAAGAGCCTCCTTCCCCGGCGACTTCATCCCTTCATCTTCCCCCTCCCGAGAGGTCCTCGCAGCTTCAGGGCTCACGGGGAGAAACAGGAAGACGACCGCTGCAGCGGCGGCGATGAGGAATCCGGGGACGGCGAAGGACCACCCCCAGCCGTACTTCAGCAGCGCCGCCGCAATCAGAGACCCCATGATGTTCCCCACCGAGGTGTGGGCGTTCCAAATCCCCATGATCAGCCCTCTCTTGCTCTTCCCGCACCACCTCCCGACCACCGCCACCACCGTCGGCCACCCCGTCGACTGGAACACTCCGGCGAGCATCTGCACCACCAGGTAGTAGGAGAAGCTGTGGATGTTCAGCCAGTAGCCGGCGCCGGAGAAGAAGGTGAACAGGCCGGTGCCCGCCATTCCCACTGCCAGGAACTTCCTCAGGTCGAGACGGTCCCCCAGGTGGCCGGCGAGGAAGATCCCCAGAGAGTAGACGGAGAGGAAAGCGACGTCGATCTCGCCGAGCATGGCGGTGCCTTCGGGGAGGTCGAACGGGGCCCAGCCGCAGCCGCCGCCGCCGGCGGAGCAAGGCTCCGGCGAGTCGGGGAGAAGGACGGTCTTCACGATGCTGGTGGTCTTCCTGGCAGCGTGGTAGCAGGCGTAGGAGAGGAAGGTGAGGAAGAGGACGATGGCCTGCTGGGTTCTGAAGCTGAGCACGGAGCCACTGGCCCGCTCGAGGAAGCGGATTCCGGGTGCTTTGCTGGCATCTCCATGAGAGCCCATGGAGTCTTCTTCCTCGAGCTCTCTCTGCATGCACGACATGAAAGAAGAAGAGCATCGGATTACATTAGAGAGAGAAAAAGGAGAGAGAGAGAGAGAGAGAGAATCTGCTTCCCTTTGGGAAACTTACCAGAGCGGGAGGAGGAAGAAGAAGCAGGAAGTTTTCCTCCTCCCTCTTCCTTCTCTCTCCCGGCTTCCTCCTCCAGCTGGAAGAAAGCGAGCAGGAGAAGAAGAAGGGAAAGGGTAAGGCGGCGTGGACTTCTCGAGGAAGCAGACCCACTCCATTCGGAGTATGCGACGCCCCCCCAAAAGCTCTGTCCTTTCTGGGAGATAATCCTAATTGGATAATCGCCGTCGCCTTCCGCAGTTTTCGCATTGAATGCATGCGACTCGCGAGGTCTCATCGAACCCGACTCGGAAGCTTGCGACTCGGATTCGAACGAGTTATCGGGATCGATTAGGAGTGGAGCTCTCCGTCCGGACTCGGATAACGATGACGGGGAAGGGACAAGGACCCGCGAGTGCGGCGAGGTCAATGTCGACCCGCTAGAGTCCGTCATACGCCACGGGTGAGAGCGAACGGGGCAGCCTAGGGCGAGAGAGCGAGAGAGAGAGAGACGGGAGGGCGGGCGATGCCCGTGGACAACCGTTATTTCTGTGGTCTGAATCGTTTCTCCTTCTCAATTCAGAAAATAGTCAACCTCACCGTCTCCAATCATGACGAAGAGCCGGGAAGGATTTCAGACGACGACGAAGAATAAGGTCCAAAATAAATAAAAATCTGACTTTTCCCCAGGGGCCCAGCTGCGTCGAGCTTTTGCCGTCCCTTAGAGAGAAGCCCAAGAAAGGTACTGAAGTAAAGAGGAGAGAGACAGAGAGAGTCAAATCGCCATCAACCTGCAAATAGCCCTAAAAATCAACGAAAAATAAGTTAACCAGCGGAGAATTCTGACTAAATAGTTCGAGGGTGGAGGGGCGGCACCCGCGACTTCACAACTACCGGAATCGAAGCTCCACGGAGATCCAGGTGGTTTTCCCCGGGGGCGGCGATCACTTCTTCAGGAAATAGCCCAAGATGATCCCCACAACCGCCATCAGCGCCACGAACACGGGTGAGAAACCTCGCCCCCTCTTTCTACCTGATTCCCGCCGCAAAAACTCCTGCAACAAGCGAAGAACACGAGCTAATCAGCCCCAAAAACACCAGAACAGCTGCACGTGTACGCATATGTCACTGCGGATGGGGATTCTGATGAGATCTGAGGAGATAATTTCGGTTAATCACCCTCATTCTTTTGAGTCAGGAACTATATAGGGCATCCATCCGACAAGGTTCCCAGGATCTCGGAGGAACAGAATGACATGAGCTGCCATCTTTTGAGGCTGTCATCACCCATAATCTCTCTTCTCTCGATCCGGTCAAATGGGTAGCTGGAAATAGATGATACGGATGAGGGGAAAGCTGAAGAAACAAACACCCTAATCAGGCTCAAGGACTATAGGGCATCCATCCAACAGGGTTCCCAGGATCTTGGAGGAACAGAATGATATCAGCTGCCGTCTTTTGAGGCTGTCATCACCCACAATCTCTCTCCTCTCGATCCGGTCAAATGGGTAGCTGGAGATCATGATACGGATGAGAGGAAGACTGTACACGATAGAAGGCAAGAACAGTGTGGGGTGGTAGTCCCCTCCGCAGGCCAGGGAGAGGAGAGCCTGAGAGCAGATAAAGCCTTCTCCCATGACAGTGAGGAGGAACAAAAGGCTTACGCAGAAAAAGAGTCAACGGCGATGGCCCATAAATAGAAAAATAAATAAAAAAACAAATACATCTTTAGATATAAACAGATTGCAAGAATCCTCACCAGTTCTTGGGAAAGCTTATTATTCAGCTGGATGACGGAATTCTTCTCATCAGTCAGCTTTGAAATCAGGGCCAGAGACTGAGGCACGGATTAAACAAATATTAGCTACAAAATAACGACGTTGACTTTTCAGAGTAAATCCCGGTATTTCTAGTCAGCCAGTGAAGCATGAAATTTCGAGAAAAAAAATGGCCCGCAGCGCTAATATTTTAAATCCGTCTTCTAGCGAAGCATATGCGACTGCCACTGCATTCAAACGACGAGTTCAAGTCAAAGTTCTGGGAAGAATCGTTGGACAGGTAATGATGTAGATGACTAAACAACCGACTGCCAGCTAGCCTCTTTCCGTACGACGCCCAGACAAATTAAATTTATTTAAAATGTGAAATCATGCTATTTAAGATAAATACGTGGATTTTATTTTTTTTAGAATTTCTGTTCCATATTGGCTAGAATGTTTTCATCTTATTTTTAAATACTTTTTTTCAATATGGGAGGGAACTAAGATAGTGAGAAACAACGCAAAAATGTTGAGTTTTTAGCAGCAAAAGTCAACGTTCACAGAGATTCATCCCACTTCCTCCCCCTCCCCACCCATTCAGAATCTCACCAAAGGAATTTACCCTCGGAAGAATTACCCAGAGTCAATCCTCAATGCTGCTCCGCGAAAAGCTTTTGAGTAGGGAAAGATCGATCCAGGGAAAACGAAAGCAACAGAAACCCAAACAGGGTCAACGCAGTCATACGTTGACCAAAGCGCCAGAAATAACGAAAAAAAGTGGAGAATTTTACCTCGGTTGAGTTTTCTTGTAGATAGGATGGTGCCCTTGAAACCTGCGGCAATTCCGACAACCATCGTCAGCCACCGCTTCCTTCCCAGAAACCAACCCCAAGAAAGATGCTCACCGCAGCCTTTTCTGAAGAGCTCAGCGCGCCATTTTCAGAAAGCGAAGCCCTGGGAGAGGATTCCTCAGATCCCTCTCGAACAGGAGACGGCGGCTTAGGCGGAGGCACAAGGACCACCCTCAATTTGAACTCCTCCGCATGATTCCCCGATTCCTTCGTGAACTGCACAGAAAACCGGCCTCACGTTGGTCTCCGCCGCTGCAGATGGCATCATGCAAGCCCATGATCACAGCAAAATTAGGGCAGAAGAAGAGAAATTACCATCTCTGAGGTTATGTCCTTGACGGTGGTAACCGAGCCTGCGACGACACTTTGGACGAGGAACTTGTCCCTACACTGCATGTCGGCGGGAGCATCTTTCTGTGCCTGCATTGTCACTGGCAAGCCACCAGAACGAACAGCAATGGAAGAGATTCATTCCAGCCGTAGAAGGATCAACAGCTCTGCGAGACAGGGAAGAACAGGGAGAGAGAGAGAGAGAGAGATACCGATGATGTCGCATGTCGAACGAGGCCGCACGATCCCGGTGTTCGGCCGAACGCAGTATTTCTTCGGATTCGTCGTCTTGACCTAGACGAGCAGTGGCAAAATTTGGGAAAATGTTGCTGGATCAGAAGGCAAGAACTCCTAGGGTTTGCGAGAAGCGAGAAGGAGGGGGGGGGGGAGTCTGCAATGACCACCTTGAAGCAAACATGCTCGTCCGTCTTGTTGGAGAGCTGGAGGGAACACGAGATCTGCTTCTTCAGTTCGACTTCTCCCACACAAAGCAGGAAATCAAATCAAAACCCACACGAGGCATCAAATCTCCGAGCCCCAGATAGAGTGATGGATCAGGTAGGGGAGGAGACAGAGGGCCGAGGATCGCTTACAGGGGAACCTGAGCTCCAGGGGTTCGATTCCAAGGAGCTCTCCGGCGTCCATCTCGTTCGTCCTCGAACGGCGGCGAAAACAGCAGCCTCAGGGGGAGAACCGCGGGGGAGCTCCTGATCCAACCCACCGGGATGGGTCGCCACCGATCTCCCCCGAGAGTCGTCGGCGGAGAAGGAGAGCCTGCCTGGTTTTATTCCGAGCAAGGGAGGACGAGGAGGAGGAGGCGACGGCGGCGGCAATGGCGAAGGCATCGAACGGGGTGCGTGGGGTAGACGCCACAGATTACCTCTGGTCCTCTTCCCTCTCTCCAGAAAATACCATCTCCTTCCAAAAACGCCTACCAAAAATTTATCCAGAAATGCGCAGACTTTTTTTTCCTTCCAAGATCATAAGAACAGAGGAGGAGGATCTTCGATCTCCACAGAGTTGACCTTCTTCGGGAATTTCTCAGAGCTTTATTACTCTTCCCGAAGAGAAAAAAATAATGGAAAAAGGCATGAAAATTAGGAAGCGATCGCGTGGGCTAGAAAAGCTCGACTCTTCCAAACCCATTAATCAATTTGACTTTTTTTTTCAGATTATTCATCATTCAAGTAAAATCCGCTCACATGAAGCTGCCGAATAGATTCTCTTTTTTTATTTTTATCCACATTTCCGACCGACCGACTGGCACATTTAATGATTCTCTCTTCGGACTTTTCTCAGTGAGATCCAGCGCAATGGCTGCGACCACACACCCTCATTAATCAATGGACGGACCAAACTCTGAACCCAAGCTACACAGCGACGACCCACATCAAAAGTTTCAATTTTTATCAAATTGAAAATTTCCAGGGTGGACTTCTTGGCATCAGAATGGAGCCCGATCGCATTTCCACAGACAAAAGGGGCAAAGAACAGGCCCGACCTAGAACACACCCTTTGTGAGCTTCGATCTGGAGAGTGGAGACAACTATGAACTTACCATTATACTGCACGAAACCAGGCATATATATAGATGCAATATCCGAAGTGGGCAGATACAAGAAATTCACACCAGGAGAGGGGGAGGGGGGGGGGAAGTTGAGGAAGCTAAACATCTTCCTCATCGTTTCACACCAAGAACGATGGATCTTATCAGTAGACATCAAATGAAGCTGAATGAGACCCAGTGGGTGCACATCTGACAACATGATTCTTGTTTTTCCTCTAATTTTCTTCCCTAATTTTGTTGTGAATTCGGAAAGCAGCCAAGAGTTAGCAAAAGGAAACAATTTTCCAGAAACAGATCAAGAATGAGATCTAGCTCAGCTCCAGCATGTATGTATGTGGGGGGGAGGTTACCTTCTAAGCTGAAAACACGGGCATCATCGTGTCCCCCCGCGCAGCAACCTCACTCAAAGATTGGAAATCTTAGGTACAGCAAGAAATCATGACCGAAAGCAACTCCCAGGACATGTGGGTAAATGAAGCACAAAAATTAGGGTTCTTACTGGTTTGGGAGATCTAAAAAAAAAAAAAAAAAAAAGGAAAAGTTTGAAGGGGATAATCAAACCTACCTGAAGCTTTTTGGGGGCCTCAAGGAGTGAAAGGAAGAGGGTAGGATTTTCAAAGGAGCTGTTAAATTGCAACACCAGGGTATCTGAACATGAGAACACAGGGTGCATATACCAGCTAAGAGAAAGGAAAAGAGACTACACGGTCTACCTCTTTCTTCAAAAAGCCCAGTCATCGCGTATCAAGCCGCTCTCATATGATCAGACTGGGCTTCTTGACCCCCTCCTGTGGCCATGCCTGGCTGGGGAGCGCGACCTGCTTCGCAGCCGGCCCCTTGCTCGAGGGAGGTCCCCGTATTGGCTGCGGTGCTTCTCTCTGCTGTAGTCCCTTCCATTCCTGTAACCATCCTGCTTCCATGAGCTCCCCCCTCCATCCCTGCTGCTCCCTCTCCACTCACGGTGCCTCTCCCTCTCGTCCCTGTCTCGATACCGATCATGCTCATGATCCCTGTCCCTGTCTGGGTACCTATCCCTCCTACTCCTGTGTTCATTCTCCTTCTCCTTCAGCTTTCTGTGCTCCTCCGCTTCCCTCTCCTTGGCTAACCTCTCCTTCTCTTTTGCTTTCTCCTTTGCGGCCTGGAGATTTCATGTAAGCAAGGTTTTAGCTTCTCAAAACGGCGTCGGATATTTTACCATTAAGGGCTTTAACCAGGCAGGGCGGAGTACCTTATGCTCGCTGATAAAATCTCGCACCATGCCATATCCGATGTGTTGTTTTCCGGTCACATGCGCCTGGGTTCTCTCAGCAGCATCGTTCGCTACCAAGAAGGAGCCACATATTTCACAGAGTGCCATCTTCTTCTCTTGCGTAAGCATCAACATTTTGTCACCCGTTGACTGCTGGGTCAGAGCGTTTTTCTCAGCGTTTAACACGTCCACCTGTAAGAAAATGGCCCATTTAAAATAGCAACTCTTTCTTCCCTCAGAGATGATGATACAAAGAAAAACAATCACAGGAACAATCTGACGAAGCGGTACAGAACCTTCCGCATGAGTGCTTCGGCCTCATCAATCTTTCCAGCTTCCCCAAGGTTCTCAGCTTGTTCCAGCAACTTCTTTATCTTCTCCTCCAGAACGGATAGCTGTTCTGCTTTCTCTGTTGAGACAGGGGCGTGCGTGACAGTGACTTCTTGTGCTAACCTCTCCCGCCCACGCTTAACCTTTCTGTCCAAATCCATTACCTGCAATGGACATGTGTTTAGAGAGGCTTTCTTCTGAGAGATGAACATAATCTGAAGGAGAAGCTCACCAGCCTTTCACAAAATTGAGAAAGTTCAGCTTCAAACTTCAGCACATATTCATCGTGTCTTGGTGACTTCTCAAAGCTGAAATAACAGAAAGAAAATGCCCAAGACAAGCTATATTAGAAGAGGGCAATCATACATGTAAATTCTAGGGAATAAACCAGAAATTGGCCAAATACAGATGAGGCATAAAAAATTGGGTTATTCCTACAATGTGTTGTGGCATCATTGTTTAAACTTCTTCACAAAGATGTTTTATCAAACATCTAGACTAAGAAATGCATGTTTCAGGCCATACTAGATTAGATACGTGCAAAAACTTCAGACAAAATATCCTGTTTAATGAACCTAAGATCAGAAAATGGAAACGTTGGTTGCAAGGGGAGAGGAGCAACCTTGCGAGATCAAATTCACTATATAATGCAAATACTTGTGAAAGGAAACGTTAGTAAGATCGTCCGCAATTAGCTGTCTCTTCCTCCCCACATTTGAAGTCTCTATGCACAGGACTTTTTTGCCTTGTAATATGGGGGGCAGCATACGAATTACTTGCATAAGCCTTAGGAAGAATCTAAGATATACGAATAAATACAAGCAAAACTAATATTTGTGCATCATCAACCGTTCATTAGCAAGTGTGTGTGATGCAACCCGAGGTGTGGAGAAATATACACTGGAACATGAGTAGTTTTTACACATTTACATGGTTCAATCATGAGGTTCCACATACAGAGAAAAATGAAGAATTAATTCTGATCACTGGTACCATCAATCATGGACATGATTAGCTTAGAAAACTGGTAACGTAACCTGGTATAAATGGACGTTAAAGTAAATTTGAAACATCCAGCCATGATCCTAACACTCTATGAACATTAATGTCGGCTTGTTGCCTTTTGGTCCTTGGCCCCCTCAAATAAGAAAAACCATGCAGACGCCAAAATTCTTTAGTGCTAAAATACTTTATTGTTGGTATAAGAGGCCACCCATCAATTATGAACATTACACAAACATTTAAGAGGATGTCAAACCAATAAGAAAGATCCCGCTCAGTTTGAAAATTAAATTTCACGAAGGTGCTTCCTCAGGAGCGGCCACATCAAAATGAAAGAAAAAGCGAGTTTATCTGTAAAACTAAGATAAAAAAAAACAATAAGTTTATATTTTATAGAATCCTCAATCTTCAGCCAACAACCTAGTCAATGCATCAGATAAATATTCACTTACCTTCAGAAACAGACTGTACACCGATTCCTTAAAGAAGGGCAGTACAACATTTTGATAGCAAAAATACGTATATTAGGTTCATCTCTGGTACCAAGAAATTTCGATGTGACAGCGTCCCAAGATGGTTGAAGGGATACAGAGCAACAAAAATTCATCTCCAAAATGCTACCAATAAGATGATTGCGAACATAATTCTTAGGCCAGGATGATCAGATTTATTGATGATATATGGGTACTCTCCATAGTTTAAAGCCGGTAAAAAAGGTTCAAAAAGCAGGAATTATCTTATGTCTGCTGGTTTATGATCCTAGTTACCATTCTGCACAATTATCTTAATGATATGACTGATTACCTTTTATACCCCTTTATTGGGAGACATCAATTTCCCCCTACAGTGTGCAGAGAACATACTCTTGAAGGCACTATAGGAAGCTGCCTACATTTATCATTAATAAGGCACAACGCCCTTCAATTAAATCGAGCATTTCAACGTAAATCATCCAAAAATGCTGCCTATAAGTCAGGACTCCAACAGAGAGTAGGACGCCCAGACAGTTGGATTAACTTTCAAAAAATCTGACTTTACATAAACATACTAAGCACAGTTTTCCTAGGGTAAGAATTAAACCTCCCATAGTTACATGTTACATCTGATGAGAGCTTTAACTTAGTTACCTCGAGGGGAGGGATTGCATAACACCAGCCAGAAGAACTTTGAAAGTCTTATTTTAGCAAAGAATGCCAGAAATCCAGTTAAAATTTTCACCTAAATGAGGCAAATAAAACAACTTGCTTCAGAATATATCATCCAACAACTGATAAATAAAATAAAGTTTAGCTCAGCATTGGCTATCTTCAAGTAACGATCATTGATAGCCCTGAACACGATCCATGAAAAAGATGAAAATCGAGATTGAATGGGATAATATCCAGGAAACATCATTCCATCAAAATAATGCACGCTTAAGTGATTAAAAATCCCTTTTAACCATATCTCATTACGGTGGGATGCCACCGCTAAAAGGGTAATCTTAAATTCACTCTTCACTCTTAAAGGAATTATTTTTTCAGCAACGACTGATAAATAAGGCGAATAGTCAGGAACTGTGTGGAAACATGTCTCATGATTGATGCCTATTCCAAGACCGTCTAGTGGAGAGCAATGAAAAAATTCAATACTGATGCACCGCAGGTCGGAATCTTCTTAGTTACCTCTCTTTCAACTTCTGGTCATGAATCTTCGGGCATGGTCCTGACAAAACACGGGCATCAGAAACTACGGATACGATAAAGAAAAACAGCAGCCAACTCAAGGGAAGAACGTGATTTTTTATAAGGGACAGAGAAACCCACCGAGATCACTCTTCGTGTTCACGAACAGATCATGCGGACAGAAGCGGACCATGAAAGGGCCACACACCTCTTTGTCGTCCCAGGACACCTCCTTGAACCCTTTCTTCTCTTCCTCCGTCAGATTACGAGCTGACAGACACCATCACCAAAGCCACCAAACATATCTAAACACCTGATGGATGACAACATTCGCAACGAACAAACAGAAGAAAGAATACAATCGAAACCTCACCTGAGCCCATGAGCTCATCTAGAAGAGCTCTCTGCGCATCCATGGTCGGCAGGGTGAGAAATAACCTTACGATGAACGCTGAGTACTGCGCAGGAGGGCAAGTCGGGGTAGGGATTAGGGCTTCCGCAACCACGCCCGATCTTGGAGACTCTGGAAAGCGCCCGAGACCTCGGGTTCGTTTACAACTGTCCAGATGGTAACCTTACCGCTTTAGCTGTACGTGATACCCGGCTTGCAACTTAACGGCTGCAAAAAATATACTTCTTCATTTCACAAATTCTATAAATTAATAGTGTAACTATTAATTTTATTCATAAAAAGTGAAGATTTCGTAGTTCTTCCGCCCTCCACAATGATTACATTTTTTTTACACCTTTCAACCCATCTATCCGCTGATAGGTTTCTAGTCATTTTTAGTAATGTCCATTCAAATTTCATTTCATTTAAATAATACATAAATCATGGAAAATAAAAAAGTATCATTAGCTTATAAATATTTATTTGTCATATTAAAATTCTCTTAAATTTAAAATAATAAATATTTTATGATGGACAATTATATGTGTAACTAAGAGACATGAGGGTGACCATAGAGAGATGAGAGCAAAGGGTTGGGGGAGGGGAAACGTAAGTGTCACATAGTCAACAGAATGTCACTTCAGAACACTCACTCTTGTGCATGCGCCTTGAGTTGTCTCTTTAAAATCAAAAAATTCATATTTTTGTGCAACTTTTTAGAAGCACATAAACTCAAAGAAAGAAATGCACGATTTCACACCAAGAAGTTATATAGGAAAATAGGAATGAACAATTCATGCATTGTTCACTTTGTCCCCAACAATTAAGCAACCCACTTTTATGTTTATAGGAGAGATGACGGGGGGGGGGGAAGGCACTTAGCCTACCATAGTTAGGACATGCGCATGTGTCCATTTATGCTATGCCCATGCACTGCCTATTGGCATTCCACAAATTTGCACATTTTGTGTTGTGCCACTTTGTGCTAGTGTCATCCAAGGTTCATAGGAGACCCTCACAATCCCAGGTTCATGTCAACAAAGTTGTCCATTTGTTTTCGTTTTCAAGTGTTTACACACCCCATGCATTAAGCAACCCACCCTTATGTTTATAGGAGAGGAGGAGAAGGCACTTAGCCTACCATCGTTAGGGCATGCACATGTGTCCATTGATTCTATGCCCATGCACTTGTTGGCATTCCATAGATGTGCCCATTTTGTGTTGTCCCACTTTGTGCTAATGCCACCCAAGGTTCATAGGAGACCCCCAGGATCCTTGGTCCATGTCAATGGAGTCAGCTATTTTGTGCTTCTATGTTTGTGTGCAAGTGTCCACACTCCCATGTATTTCATCATGCATCTCCATATGTGTTGTTGTCTTTTGTGACACATTATGTTAATTGAGTGGACGATGTACATGTGTGAATAAACTATTGCCTTGCCCTCATGCCAATAATGTGGTTATGTGCACAAAACTAAGATATGATAAGCTAGGGGCATCACAATAAGGGTAAGGAGGGTTTGGGCTTTTAAGAGATGGGAATGATAGTAAAAGGAAGAATGGAGTGATAATCGTGGGATAAATTGAGAGGGAACACACCCAAAATTTGGAGAATTTTAGGTAGGGGGAAGATGACAATTGAAATTAAGGTTAACCTGGAATATAAATTAGATGGGATTTTTGGTAATGAATGTGTGTTTGACAGCATTTAAAGTAAAAAATTACCCTAAATGGTATAGATAAATTTAGATGAGGTGAGACATGGGTAAAAATTACTTTGAAATTTTTTAAGCTAGAATTGGCCTTAGAGTAATCATAAAATATTATCATATTTATTTTAAATAATAAAATAAAAAATAGTTTTCTATATAACAATTAATAAAGTTTAAGGGAGGCACATTAGTGAGTTAAAAAAAAAATTAGTCATATAAAAATAACATTTAGCTGGCCTCCAACATTGTGGCCTTTTACCTTATATCTCATCAAAAAATAAGTTCCTTATTGTAGCTTTCCTCTAAGGCCTGCAAAAAGAAAGAGCTATTAAACCCTTGCCATGGTTAAAGATGGCCCAAAAAGGAGTCAACCTATTAGGCCCTTGGTGGGCCTAACCTAAGGCACAAGGAAAGGGGGGCAATAGTTTGGCCCACCTTGATGGTAGAAGACCTAAATGCCCTAACCTCAGATGAAGAGGGTACTTAAAAGAACAAGGGTAAGAGAGTCCTTATGATGTAAGGATGTGAAGGGTATTAAGGTTGAGGGAGAGATTGGGAGGGGGTTATTGAGGATCACTATAAGGCAGCTGAGGTTGAGGGAGAGTGGGGGGTCTCTCCAACGTCCCCACAACTCTTGGGTTCTTTGGAACCCAAGACTCTCGTTAGATTTTCTCTTCTATTATTGCCAATATCTTATATTATATTTTTTTATCTTCAAACTTCCCATGTGCCATAGTAGAGTCTTAACATTTGATATCAAAGCATTAGTAAGGATGACACAAAAAATTTAGGATGGAAGGGTCGATGTTCTAGAAGAATAAATGTTGGAGATCAAGAATAGAATGACAAAAATGAGGATGGAGATGGAGGGCTTACACCTAAGGATGGCCAAGATCATCTACACCATGGATGAGTTGAAGATGACATGAAAATCTATAGTGAAGAAATAAAGGCATGAGAGAAAGCTAAAATAGGTGGAAGGCAAGTCAAGCCAAAGGCAAAGGGATTTATTTTCAGGCAATGGTAGTTGTTGACACCACCAAGCAAATGAGGGATGGCTGATGTGACTTAGTCGTTGTATAGTAAATCATATAAATTTAAAAAACTAAAAAGTATTATTTTTTAGATATTTCTGAACAAATATATCAATTATAATTCAATAAAACTTCCACAAATAGTGGTAATTTTCCAAGTTGATCACATGGATGTAATATAATATCGGGTAATTTTTCAAATTTTTTTCCAAAGAATTCAATTTTCTTATGAATTTTATATTACGAAATAAAAATAAAATATATTTAAAATTCACAAAAAAAGGAAATAAGGGTATAGACATCAAGATGACGTCAACGCCCGACAAACAATAATCGGGTGGAAATAGAGTTCCCCCTGATGATTCTTACGTAAGTGATTACAGACGATTTAATTGATCAAATTAAGATATGTAAAAGCCAGAATAATTATAATTGAATGAAATATAGCTTGGTAAATTAAAATCACACAAATTATCACTAAATGAAGCAGAAATTAAATTGAAAGTAAGAAAATAGAGTTCTGGTGTTACAACAGTAATGCGTCGGTAATGCACCAGAATCTTGAATGTTCAGGAAGATCATTATACAATGTCCATAGTTTTGAAGGCTCTCCTTAGATAAGGATGACGTGGGCAATCTCTAGATCTCCTTGTGAAGTCTAGAGATCAATGAAATGAGTTGTCGAATCATTTCTAGCAGCTGTCAACCGACGAAGTGGAAAAACAACGACTTTGCAACTCTCTAGCAACTATCACCCGACAAAGAGGAGCTAGATGGAGGTGGGGCATATGTCAGGGAACTTCATCCTCAGGTCTACACAGCAAGAGGAGGCTTTTCATCGCATCCGATATGCTCTCAGGAGGTGGCGACTCATCTCTCGGCGGATCATCCTCTTCCCGATGACGGCTTGTTCGTCGATCAATTAGAGATGATTTACTTGATGGATTTACAATCCTTTTATCGCGAATCGTTCAATAATTTTAGTAACAATACTCTGTGAATCGCATTGACAAGATTTTTGCCAATGATCTAATGATTTTGACAGCTTAATCTTTCACCGATGATCTACAAGAAAGTCACAATAATTAGATAAAAAAATATGAGTTTTTACTTTGAGAGGATTCGAACCCACGTCAGTTGTTTGCCTACATGAGAGAGATTGAAATAAGTACTCTAATACTCTTATCAAGTGACGTCATTGTTAAGTCTTCATTATCATGAGTTAATAATTAGTAAATAATATAGTTTTAGCCTTAACTCATGATAAATAGACTTATATTTGTGTTAAAGTGTGAAAAGAGTTTTCAGTTGATTAACATGAATTTTTGGGTAATTATGTAATTTTATATGAATTTATATGATTTTTATAGTCTTACTTTTGAGATAAATGAAGAAAAATAAATAAAAATAAATAAAAATAAATAAAAATAAAATAAAATGAGGGGGACCCGCCAGCCAGCCAGGCCCGCAAGCAGGTCAGAAGCTCAGTTTTGGAGTAGCCGCAAGTAGGGGCTCGAGCGGCTTGGACTGATAGGGCATGTGTGCGTCACTCCCCTTCCACGTCACTGGTGGCCAGCCGGCTGTGGAGCAAGGAATGGTCGTACACGCGCGAGAAAGGGACTTGATCGGAAATGTAATATTACTATATATTCGTCAGAAACTTCAGCGCACAACCAATGTGGGACTAAACCCACGTCACACCTTCCCCAGAAAGGGGGGGGCAATCGGCATGGGTTTGAATCCTCCTAGAGCTAAAACTCATCTTTTTTATCTGATTATCGCGACTTTCTTGTAAATTGTCAGTGAAGGATTAAGCAACTAGAATCACTAGATCATCGATGAAAATCTCGTCAACACGATTCGCGGAGCATTGTTACTAAAATTGCTGAATGATTCACGATAAAAGGATTATGAATCCATCAAGTAAAGCATCTCTAATTGATCGACGAACAAGCCGTCATCGAGAAGAGAACGATCCGCTAGGAGACGAGTCGCCACCTCTTGAGAACATACTAGATGCGATGAAGAGCCTCATCTTGCTGCGTGGACCTGAGGATGAAGCTCCCTGATACGTGCCCCACCTTTATCCAGCTCCTCTCTGTCGGGTGACAATCACTAGAGAGCTGCAAAGTCGTCATTTTTCCGCTCCGCCGGGTGACAGTCGCCGGAGACTATTTGACAACCCATTTCATTGATCTCTAGACTTTGCAAAGAGATCTAGAGATTGCCCACGTCGTCCTTGTTTAAAGAGAGCCTTCGAAATCGTGGACAGTGCATGACGATCCTCCCGAACCCTCAGGATTCCGGTGCATCGTTGACGTATTGCTGCTGCGACGTCAGAACTCTATTTTCTTGCTTTCAACTTAATTTCTGCTTCATTTAGTGATAATTTGTTGATTTTAAATTTACCAAGATATACTTCATTCTATTACGATTCTTCAAGCTTTTACAGATCTTAATTTGATCAATTAAATCGTCTGTAATCGCTTACGTAAGGATCGTCGGGCGTAACTCTGTTTCCACCTGATTCGCATTCATCGCGCATTGACATCATCTTGACGACCACAGCCTTATTTCCCTTTTTCGTGAATTTTAATTATATTTTATTTTCATTTCCTAATATATAATTCATAAAAAATAATATTCTTTGAGGAAAATTCTGAATAATTACTAGATATTAAATTACATCTCTGTGATCGACTTGGAAAATTAGTGCTATTTTTAGAAGTTTTATTGAATTATAATTGATATATTTGTTCAGAAATACTTCTAAATATCCAAAAATTCGTATTTTCTAATTTTATAAATTTTAAATTTGCGTGATTTACTATACAACGACTAAGTCACGTCAAATTTTGATGTAGTTGCCGAGAATGTATTGCATAATATTTAGTATTTTTCTATTTTTCTCTTAGAGTACACAAAAAAAAAATTAACTCTTATTTTATTTTCTTCTCGCTGATTTTTTTTTATTAAAAAAAAGGGAACGAAGAGAAGTAAGGCAAGGACTGGAGCATACTGAAGGAGGGTAACAATTACTAAACTTTTTCCCTCGAATTTATTGATTTTTTATGCATGGTAGAAGATCCTTACATCCAAAGCTAGAAAATTCTTTCATTATTTCAGTCAAAGCTAAAAATCTGATAGAAAAATTAATTTTGATGGATCTTGAAGGAAGTATAGGTCAAACTGAGAACAACCCTATGGCCATGAAAAATTATTATATCCCTGATTCATTTCAAAGAGCATCCAATATTAGAGTCCCATTAACACCCATTATTAAATTCGAAATAAATCTAGGAATTTTTCAAATGCTCCTTAATTTTCATGGATTGCTTTTAAAGAAACCTCATCAGCACTTAAAAAAATTTCATATGGTCTGTGATTTAGTTAATCTCCCTCAAGTTACACCGAAAATTATTAAGATGAAATTATTTCCTCATACACTTAGGGACAAAGTTAGTCATTGGCTATCCACATTAGATATAAAATTAACTAGTTGGAAAAACATAGAACAAGCCTTTCTTTGCAAATTTTATCCTTTAGGAAAAACTCAAAATATGAGAAAATATATATAGAGTTTTTCTCAAAGACCCGGAAAAACTTTGCATGAGACATGGGAAAAATTCAAAGATTTACTTAGAATGTGTCCTCATCATGCTATACCCAAGTGGCAGCTCAATAGAATTTTTTATGATAAATTATTAGAACAACATAGAAATATGGTTGATTCTATATGTGGAGGAGCTTTTATGGAGAAAACCCCTGATGAGATTTATAGTCTTTATAAGAATTTAAGTGAAAATTCTAGAGATCAAGCCTCTTTTGAATTATATGACAGAGATAAGAAGAGAGGAATTTATGAATTACATCATGATGATGATTCTAAATTTAGAAATGAGATTAATCAGATTAATCAAAGATTAAAAAACCTTGATTTACTTATTGACAATATTAGAAAGCCTCTTAACCATCAATTTAATTCAAATAGTACATATCCTATGTATGGTGAAAATGATTATTTCGAATTTCAATATCATCCTAGGCAAGAACAAGTGCAGGTACCCCACAATTTTAGTAAAATAGGGAATATTTTTCTAATTCTTATAATCCTAATTGGGGGAATAATTTTTCGTGGAGAAACCTAAATAATATTCAAAATCCAAAAGCACTTAGATCTAATTCAAATTTTGAATTTCGTCCAAAATAGGAACACAGATTTCAAAAAAATCAGCCCTCTTAAATTTAACTTGATGCTATAGAAATGATACAGCAAATGAGCCAAATGATGCAACAAACTATGAATCAAATGATGTTGCACTAAAAACAAATTATAGAGGCTTTTGAGAATAGGAGAGAAGAGTGACAGCCACCTAGTCAGCCCATAGAAAATTTAGGAAACTATCTAACAATAGGATTTCAGCAAGGAGAGTATAGCTGAATAAATTTAGAAAAAAACCCACGAAATAAAAATATTGGGACAATGAATACATTGAGTGAGAATATTTTACATGATCCTTATTTTCAATTATTAGAGGAAATTGATGAGCCATTAGAAGTAAATGAGAATATTAACACTGAAAATATAATAGCGGAAAATTTGAATAAAATCATTTATTGCTCACAATTGATGAATGAATATAGTGAGGATGATGAGGAGAAATAACTCTTAGATGAAGAAACAACAGTTGATCATAGAAAAATCATCCAAATTTTAGTAGAAGAGAGTAAGGACAAAAATGAAGAAACACATATTTCAAGTGAGAAAAAATCAGTTGATTTAGGAGATCTAGGAGACGAAATTAATAAATCTAATCATAATTTTGCAGCCATAGATGTTGATAGTAAGAATGATGATGTATATCATATACCGAAATTAAAAGATAGCTCTTGAGAAGATGAAGAATTTGATGAGTTGAGAAACGAAAAGCTAGAAAAAGAGTTGATTCAACTAATGGGGAGAAATACAAATAATGAATATGAATATAGAGATAATTTTAGAGGAGAAAATTTGAATTTTATTGAATTCATTAGATCTGAGATTAAAGAAGACAATCTTTCCATCCTTCAAAACCCATGGCCCATTAGAATTATTTCTAAGCTTGAAATATTTCACTCCTCACAAATTGAACAAATATGTATGGAAGATAAAATGGAGCAGGGGAAGATTATGCAGATAAAAGAACACATTAAGAAATAAGTGAGTGGAAGAATTAGAGATATCAATTTAGATGAAAAAATTCTAGATTAGGTAAGAGCTAATTTGAAAATTATATGGCTTGATCACATTTTATGGTCTATTAATAGAAAGTATTTATTAATGAATGAGAGCCTTACAAAACAAGATAGAAATGAGGAAAGATTCTTTTCAAAATGGAAATATTATTTTTGAGAAAGTTTTGTTAATTTCTATTTTATTTTGACTGAAAGTATGTCAAGGTATATATATGAAGTATATGAATTTATGCTAAATCTGAAAAAGAATATCATGAAACTTACCTTGGGATACAAATATATTTTGATGGCCATAGATCATCTTATATGATCTAAGAGCTATCCAACTGAAGACATTAAATTCAGCGCTACATGGGAGGTAACCCATAATTTTTATTTCATTCTGTTTGATTTTTTTTAAGCTCTATTTTTCTTACAATTTTGCAGTACTTATTTCTGTATTTGTTTTTTCGAAAAAGTGCTAGAGGAGGAGTGTAAGATGAAGTGAAAAATTAAAAACGAGGTTGAGGTGATGTCTTTCTAAGCGTTATCATTTATGAAAATATTATTAATGCTTAACTTTGCACATATGCATGCTTCACTTGAAAATTATATTTTCTGCATATTCTATTTCGATTTTTCTGTGTCATTGAGGACAATGTCATTTTTAAGTTGGGGGGTAAAGTATTAATTATTAATTTATACTGTAGGATGATTAAGAACATGTGTTTGCATTTTATTCAACATAGAACAACAATTAAAAAAATAAAAATAAAATAAAATTCGGAAAAACTATAACATCTATTTTCTGGTTTTCTATCAAGAACAACAGACTGTCAAAAACAGCAGACAAAAAATAGCCTGAAATTTGAAATTCTAGAGACCTTTTTTTCACATTTCAATCCCCTAGACATATATTACTGAAATTCAAAATTACAGCTATAAAGAGGATAGTTTTGATTTATTTTTGACAAATTTATTGTTGCTAAAAATATAACTGAAAATAGAAAACAGAATTATCAGAACTATCTAATTTACAAATTTCTTACATCATATTGCATGCATGAAAAATTAAATCAATTAAATTGATTGATACCAAAAGATATTAGGAAGATTATTATTGAGTCAAAAGAATGATCTAGTAGCATGAAATGTTGGAACACTCCTTGGATACATGATAGATAACATGAATTTGATTTTACATATTTTCACTTCATGATCTTGATAGATAGTATTTACTTGATGTGACAATTTGATTGATCATTTGAGTTTAATAAAGATTTTTGCACCTTGATCTATAAGACTTGTGAGGAGAAATCACTTATTTCGAAAAAAAAAGAAGAGAAAGCAATGTGAAAAATCTAGAAACGAAGAGTACACATGGAGGTAAGACATCATTCTCATTGTCGAAAATCGTGCATAGAAAAACACTTGCTGCAAAATAAGTGGATAAAGTGAAAGCCTTGAAAATGAAGAGTACACGTGGAGGGTGTGAGACATCATTCTCATTGTTGAAATTTGTCTATAGAAAAAGTTACTTATCCACTATATATATAAAATAAAAAAAAGAGAAGGAAGAAATATAGTGCAAACTTCAAAAATCAAGCCATAGAAAAAGAAAAATGTAAGATCAATATTATTCTTAGATAAGTATTGATAATTGAAACATCTTGTAAATATCTATGAGTGAAAAAGTGATAAAGATGTGAATAGAAGAAATGAAGTCTAGATTGTTATTCTAAGGAGTGCTTAAACATTTAAGTGCTTGACATCATTCTTAAATACTTGATATAAGAATCCAAAGTGTCTAAAGGTGCATCATTTCTAATTGTATTTTTATGTATTGAAATATGATGTTCAAGATTTGTAAATTTTTTATTTTTGTAATTCCATTCCTAAGGGACTAGCAATGATTTAAGTTGGGGGGTGTGATAAGTCTTTATTATCATGAGTTAATAATTAGTAAATAATATAGTTTTAGCCTTAACTCATGATAAATAGACTTATATTTGTGTTAAAGTGTGAAAAGTGGTTTTTAGTTAATTAACGTGATTTTTTGGGTAATTATGTGATTTTATACGAATTTTTATGATTTTTACAGTCTTACTTTTGAGATAAATGAAGAAAAATAAATAAAAATAAAACAAAATGAGGGGGACCTGCTGGCCAACTGGGCCCGCAAGCGGGTCGGAAGCTCAGTCCGGGAGTAGCCATGAGTAGGGGCTCGAGCGGCTTGGACCGATAGGGCACGTGTGTGCGCCACTCCCCTTCCACGTCACTAGTGGCCAGCCGACTGTGAGGCAAGGAGTGGTTGTACACACGCGAGAAAGAGACTTAATCAGAAATGTAATATTACTATATATTCACTAGAAACTTTGACGCACAATTGATGTGGGACTAAACCCGCGTCACACCTTCTCCAGAAAGGGCGGGGCAACCGGTGCAGGTTTGAATCCTCCTAGAGCCAAAACTCATATTTTTTATTTGATTATCGTGGCTTTCTTTCATATCACCGGTGAAGGATTAAGCAACCAGAATCACTGGATCATCGATGAAAATCTCATCAAAGCGATTCACGGAGCATTGTTACTAAAATTTTTGAACGATTCGCGATAAAAGGATCGCAAATCCATCAAGTAAAGCATCTCTAATTGATCGACGAACAAGCCGTCATCGAGAAGAGAACGATCCGCTAGGAGACGAGTCTCCACCTTTTGAGAGCATACCAGATGCGATGAAGAGCCTCCTCTTGCTGTGTGGACCTGAGGATGAAGCTCCCTAATACACGCCCCACCTTCATCCAACTCCTCTCCGTCGGGTGACAGTCGCTAGAGAGCTGCAAAGTCACCATTTTTCCGCTCTGCCGGGTGACAATCGCTGGAGACTATTTGACAACCCATTTCATTGATCTCTAGACTTTGCAAGGAGATCTAGAGATTGCCCACGTCGTCCTTATCCAAAGAGAGCCTTTGAGGCTGTGGACACTGCACGACGATCCTCCCGAATGCTCAGGATTCCGGTGCATCGCCGACGCATCGTCGCCGCGACGTTGGAACTCTGTTTTCTTACTTTCAACTTAATTTTTGCTTCATTTAGTGATAATTTATTAATTTTAAATTTACTAAGATATACTTCATTTCATTACGATTCTTCAAGTTTTTACATATCTTAATTTGATCAATTAAATCGTCTGTAATCACTTACGTAAGAATCGTCAGGCAGAACTCTATTTCTACCTAATTTGTGTTCACCGGGCGCTGATGTCATCTTGACGTCCGCACCCTTATTTCCCTTTTTCGTGAATTTTAATTATATTTCTTTTTTTATTTCATAGTATATAATTCATAGAAAATAATATTCTTCGAGAAAAATTCTGAATAATTACGAGATATTTAATTACATCCCTATGATCGACTTGGAAAATTACTACTATTTTTAGAAATTATATTGAATTATAATTGATATATTTGTTTAGAAATACTTCTAAATATCTAAAAAATTATATTTTTCTAGTTTATAAATTTTAAATTTACGTGATTTACTATACAATGACTAAGTCATGTTAGTCATCATGATATATTTTTGTTATAGTTAAGGGATAGTTTAGGTATTAAAATCTTCAAAAACATTCCGGGGAAGGTGCGATTGTCGATTTTAGTCCCACATCACTTGTGCGCCGAAGTTTTGTACGAATATATAGTAATATCACATTTGCAAGTAATGAGTCCCTTTCTCTCACGTACGACCACTCCTTGCCTCATAGCCGACTGGCCACCGGTGACGTGGAAGGAGAGTGATGCACATGTTCCCCCATCGGCCCTTAGCCACTTGAGCCCCTACTTACGGCTCCCACACTTCCAACCTGTCTTGCGGGCCCGGCTGACTGGCGCCCCCCCTCCCCCCCCATTTTGCTAGATTTTTATTTTTATTTCTTTTTCTTTATTTATCTCAAAAATAAGACTATAAAAATCATATAAATTCATACAAAAACACATAATTAGCCAACAATTCATGTTAATCAACTGAAAACAACTTTTCACACTTTAATATAAATATAAGTCTATTTATCATGAGTTAAGGCTAAAACTATATTATTTAGTAATTATTAACTCATGATAATGAAGACTTATCAATGGCCTTAGAGAGCATAAGGCATTTGGAGCTACCAACTTTTGATGGGAATAATCTTACATGTTAGATCTATAGAGATGAATTACATTTTTTCTTTACGTGTAATGTGAGAGAGAAAATCTTATGACCGTAAGAGTGAGCTTCGAAGAGGATGCATTACATTAGTATCAGTGAACCAACACAAGGTATCCTTTCACTTGATGGCACAAACTGAAGTAGCGACTATTGAAGCATTTCAACAAATCCTAAGAGGAAAGTGTATGTGAGAGATTATTAGACATAAGCCAATTGATGTCAAGTAGAATTTGAGCTGATGTTGTCCTCCTTAATACACCTGTCAGAGGAAGTAACAGAAAGTACATTCTTCAAGGACTTAAAACATGATATCCAAATCGAAGTCAAGTTCCATAATCCCCAAGACATGCTGGCCATTATGCAAATGACACAACTAGTTGAAGATATGAACATTTCTTTATAGTCAAACATGAAGCGATTAAGACAATACTTACCCAAGTCTAATCTATTAAGTGGTGTTAATGTAGGTCCAAACAAGCGCAACAACAAATTGCAAGAGCCTATGGCAGCAAGGGGTGGATCCTACCTAGGGTTCCAAATGGAAAGGATAGCCGAATGGGTAACATTGGAAAAAAAATATGACTACGAGATAAACTGCACCTAGTTATATAAGGGAAGGGACAAAGCGGTGCTTGAACCTCACTACAGATGAATTATAGGTGCATCATATTGAGGGGCCCTATTTTACATGTTATGAGCAGTTCTCTCCAAGGCACATTTGCAAGGAGCCTAGGTCAAAGGTGATAAAAAAAAGAAGATGAGTAATTGAACTAGATAAAATTAGTGGTACTAGACCCTACAAAGAACATCATCAAGTCTAAACCACACTTACCATCAAAGGTGGACATTGAATGCTCCATAAATTTAGTTTTCAAACTCACCAATTTAGGGACCATTAACCTTCAAGAAAAAGTAAGCATATATTAAATAACAATTTTGATTGATTGTAGAGCAACATATTTTTATTTCCACAAATGTCGTCGTAGAATTAAAAGTACTAGGGATAGATACAAGTATGGCATAGTTGTAGGTACCAGTGTGTCAATCAAAGTGAAAGTTGTGTGAAAAAGAGTAATCCTTGAGCTATATGTGACTACTATTGTTGACAATTTCTTGCCATTCAACATAGGCAATGCATACATCATCATTAGTATGCAATAATTCAAGACCTTGGGCCCTACATAAGTCAATTAGGCTCAGTTCAATATCACCATGTTGCTCAAATCAACAAAACACCTCTAACTCAGCAGATTTCAAGCATGCACCAACAACTAGTTTTTCAATATCTTCCGAGCAGCTACAACCCTACCAACCCTACAAGAGGTAGATCATGCAATTCACTTACACTCATGCACATGGCCAATCAATGCTCAATCCTATGAGTACTCTCATTTTCAAAAAAGAAAATTGGATGACTCATAAGTAAAATACGCATAGTAGAAATCATTCATAACTTGAGGTTATTAGTAAAAGAGAGATAATATCTTGAGGTTTGTGTCAATTATCATGCCCTCAATTCAACGACCATTTCGATAACTTTTTAATTCTAGCAATTGATGATTAATTAGACAAGCTACATGAAACAATGATCTTCTCTAAGCTTGATTTGAAATTTGAATATCATCAAACAAGGATGAAGATATATGACATTCCAAAAATAACCTTCAAGACATATGAGGGCCACTATGAATTATTAGTGATGTCCTTCGGGCTCACGAATGCATTAGTGACATGTTAATCACTAATGAGCCAAAATTTTAAAAGATTCTTCTACAAATTCATGCTTGTGTTTTTTATTATAGTTTGATCTATAATAGGGATATGGAGATCCACAAATATAAGTTACAAAACATATTGATGTTGCTATAAGAAAACAACCTCTACATTAACCTAAGAAGTATTTGTTCGTTCATAAAGGAAGCAAGTACTTGGGACATGTGGTTTTAGCCTAAGGAGTGGTAATGGAACTAATCAAAATCTCAATGGTAGTGGATTGACCTACTCCCAAAAATTTGAAAGAGTTGTATAAATTTATAAGGTTGACAAATAATTACCAACAATTTGTGGACAATATGACACCTTGGTAGCACACTCAGCTCAATAGTTGAAGAAAAATACCTTCAATTGGGGTCCCACAATAGATAGAACTTTCACAATCCCAAAACAACACTCACAATGATATCCATCTTGACCTTATTTTTTTATAAGATTTTGAAATTGAGTTGATGCTTTAGGAGAGGGCATAATGATAGTGTTCATCCAGCCTCAAGAATTTGTATTAGTTGTACTTTAATTGAGCTCTGAGCCTCATGAATCAATCAAAAGTAGTCTATGAAAGAGAACTTAGCAATTGTATTAGCTATCATAAAATTGCAGCATTATATTCCTGGCCACTACTTTATAATTTTTATATATTAACTAAGTCTTAAGTTTCACTTGAAAAAATGACAAATTGATCTAAAGTATCATAAATGGTTAACTAAATTGTTGAGATATGACTTCGAGATTCACTACAAAAGAGCAAATAACTTAGATGATGATGCTCTAACATGACACCCCCAATAGGTAACAATTAAAATCCTCACCATTTGTACTCACTATACTTGATGTGTAGGTCCTAGCTAGTGAAGCAAAAGTTGACCCTCTACTCCACATTTTGCATGAGATTGTGGTAGAGTCAAACAAGTGGTCGAAGTATCAAATCAATCAAGGCATTCTCTTTTATTGTGGGCAACTTTAGATATTGATACATGTATAAAAGCTTAGCTCAAAACTTATACTAACACATCATAAAGAACATACATGATTATTTGGAGTGCTGCACAATTTACTAAAGGAATAAAGTTAAAGCCCTCTCTCCAGCTAAGTTCCTACAACTATTGCCAATTCTACAAGGAATTGATGAGCTATAGAGATTCATGAGGTACAACTTGATCATGGTTGTAGTGGACCACCTTAGAAGGTCCAACCACTTCCGCCTACTAAAGCACTCTTATCTTCATGAAAGACATCATCTGACTCCACTGAGTTCCCATGTCTATCGAGAGTGATTGAGATCACATTTTCTTGAGCCTTCTCTAGTTTGAACTTTTCCAATTCCAAAGAACCCAACTACATCAGAGCATAACATATCACTTATAAATGGATGGTCAATATGAAGTGGTGAATCATATCCTAGAGACCTACCTTTGATGTTTTATAGGAGATTGACTAAGACAGTGGTACACTTGGCTACTGTGAACCAAATATTTATACAACTCTACATATCAAGCTTTTACACGGTTCACTCCCTTCAAGATTGTATATGGCAAAACCGTCCTTTGTTATTGAGGTTCTCGACTCATCCATCCAATCTCACAAAGATTGCGCAATAGTTACAAGTTCAATAGAAGATCCTTCATTAACTCAAACAATACCTCCTTAAAGCCCATACATATATGATCATTAATACAAATCGTAATCAGCAAGCATCAGATTTGACATTAGCAATTAGGTTTACTTCAAGCTGAGGCCTTACTAACTCCGCTTGTTGAACTAAAGGAGGAATGAGAAGATGGCACCTTATTTCATTAGGCCTATTAAATTCTAGAAAAAAATGATGCATTAGTAGATCGACTACCTCTTCCTAACATCTCTCAAATTCACTATGTTTTCCATGCATCGTAGTTGAAGCACACTTTGGGAGTCAACAAAGCCCGTCAACCACTATCCCCCCATTATAGATAAAGGGTTTAATAGAGTTGTTAGCCCATAAAAGGTTTTATGTAGTCATCCCTCCTCTTGCAGTAGTGAAGTGTTGATCCAATGATACCACCAATATTAGAGGCAACTTGAGAGACAACAATAGTAATATGACATCAATTCCTTAGATCCAGCCTTGAGGAAAAGGCTAATTTGGAGTAATCCTTCTCCTAACTCAAGGTGTAGGAGAAGAGGGCCAATAGTGAGGCCCCACCTCAATGGCAAAGGACCCGTGTCCCAACCTTAGAGGAAGAAGGGACTTCTAGGGACAAAGGTAAAAGAGTCCTTATAATGTAAGGATGCAAGGGTACTAAGGTTGGGGGAGAGATTGAGAGGGGGTTTATCAAGGATCACTCTAAGGTGGCTGAGGTTGAGGGAGAGCAGGGGGCCTCTCTAAGATCCCCATGACTCTATGGTCCTTTCAAGCTCAAGACTCCTATTAGATTTCCTTTTTCCTTCTCTAACATTTAGATCTTGTTTCTTTATCTTCGTACTTCCCACTTGCCATAGCAGGGTCCTTACACAACCCCAACCATCTATTTCTTCCCCAAGAAACATGGAGCCCTGACCATTTTGTGTGTGGAAAAAAAATACAAAAATAAATTTCCTCACATATTTAAGAAACTTAAGTTTTTCATCCAATAAAAAATGTTCGTTAATAAATGTCATGGAAGCATAACATAAATAGAGGGTATTCTTAGCATCTTTAATGAATAAATACCATTGGATCTTTCTTCATTCTTTTCTTCATCTTTATGGCTGATTCAACAATCGTACTAGGTGTCTAGAGGGAACAGATGCACTCACAGATTTAGTCATCCCTTTCAACTGGTTTATGCCATCCACAAGCTTGCCATGCCTTGATAGGAGGGACCGTAAGATCTGTGGGGGAGAAGCGGTGGGGACCCAGCTACTTCAAAAACTCATTGTATACATGAATAAATCAGTGATACGTGTTTTTACCACTACACACCATCTCAATTTCATGCAGCTCAATTTCTAATGCTGAAATCTGTTGAGCCATGTTGTCATAATCAACTTGTCCTTCTAATGGCTTTGTTTGGCTGAAATCCTGCATAAACATATGGAAACTTATTGCCAAGTTAAGATGATTATGAGAAGATGAGCACAAGATAATTTTCAATTAAGAATGCATATGTTGGTCCTCTCTCTCTCTCTCTCTCTTCATATGCACATAGAGAGAGAGAGGGAGAGGGAGGGTGGAAGAGAGTATTGGCATGTGTGTGAAATGTACATTGTGTTAAGGTTTTAATTTTTTCTTTACAACAAAGATTGAAAGAATATTTTAAAGATTAATCAACAATTAAAAAAATTCAAGTGAAGAACAAAATAGGTTGTGGCCAGATCAAATGGAGATGTAGAAATGGAAACGAGGTAAGTAGTGTGAAGAACCTGAGGTGCCAGAGGTTCTTTCTGGGCCAAATCATCATGTGGGCCCTCCCTGTTCTGCCCTTGCCATCTTTTCTCCTGATAATCCTAAAAAATATTAGCAAAGATTGATGGATATCAACAACATCATCTAATAAGATGCATAAATTCTCAAACCAATAAGATTGATAGAAAGAGTTAGGGAGTATTCATGGTTCTCACCTTCAAAGCATGGTGGACTTCTAGATTATTCCATGGTCCAATGTCTTCCTTTAGGCACCCTCCATGCTCAGCACAAGTGCAATCTCCACCAAGGAAATCTGGCAAGTTGCTGCTCAAAGAGATAAGTTCTCTCATCTATTGGAGATTTGATGGGTATAAGCACAAGAGTTTACCTTCGATCCACAGATTCAAGCAACTTATTTTTGAATTGGCTTCCAAGGATCTACAAAAGTCTACACATTAATATGAAGTTGAGGGGGCTCTCAAAGGGAGCGAACAAGACTACGCTAGCTCCCTCTCCTGATTATTGAAACAAATAGAGGTTGAGAAGAGAATTACTTGGATTTTTGAGAACGTTCGAGTATCTAGGAATGGATTTAGAACTTTCCACAAGACCCTAAATCCAGACCCAGCATTCACGACAAATAGTTGATGTAAGGTCTGTAACCATCAAGAGAGAGAGAGAGAGAGAGATAGAGAGAGAGAGAAATTGGTTCAATGATATTTTGTTGAAAAATATATTTAAAAATGATCATCCATAAAAGGTGAAGTTTGAGATTATGTGAAGGAATTAAATCATATGCTTTCATAATACAAAAAGAAAATATATAATTGACCACAATGATCAAGGATATGGGAGATTGTTCAACATAAGAGAAAAATAAACAGATGCAGCATATTAGTGAATGAAATCACCACTAATGTGACCAGTTTCAAATTTCACACTAACAAAAGACTCATTTAAACAATTTAAGCAGAAGTTGAATGCAAGACTGCTCCTAACAACTAGATCATGATAAAAATTGTTTTTACACAACTTTGTGGGGAGATGAGCAACACAAAGGTATGGGATAAGATTTCTATCAAAATAAAAATTATACCAAAATGAAATCTTAATAATTTTTTTATCTACATTCTATAGAAAAACTATTATGTAATAAAAAAAAAACCTACTTTTAGTGGACCTAGCTTTTCCTCTTGCACTTTCATAGGTAGCTACTTTGTTATGACATCAACAATGGTAAGAAAATTATAGAAGATAAAATATTATATAATTAATTAAAAAATTACCTCGGGATAGTAATTGCTATCAATCTTGTGAATTTCTGTGAAGAGATCTCTAGCTGTCTTCGAAAAGTTATTTATACCCTGAGAAGAAACGCACCAATCCAAAAGTTAAGGAGGCAAAAAATTGACTAAGGATTAAGATAGAACTTGACACTAACAGACATGTCACATTAAAACAAGTGAAATTACTGATATAGAATTGGACAATTGAATATGAATATGTTGCATTAAACACACAGAAGAAGTACAAGCACGAAACATACTGATGAATAATCTTTCTAGTTTGTGAAACAAAAACCATAAGTTGATTGTCAAAAGGTGATAGTTTTCTAGAAATTATTAATTTTCTACTTCAAAAGTAAATTTATATTTTTATCTAAAAAGAACCCTATTTGGGATCCAAAGTCAATGCCTAAGTCACATGGTTTTTCTATTATAATCTCGCAAAAAATGAGATCTTGTTATTATAGAAATAAAAGAGTACATTGGCATTCTATAGATTGTCATTAGGAAGTGATGCGTTTCTCCCCTTACATGACAAGACATTAACTCGGTCCCACTTTACTATCAAATATTTTTAATTAAATAAATCAGCATATAAATCATAGAAAGGGAAAGAAAAATAATAGTGACTTGATAGGATGGAGTTACTTAGCATATATTAATAGAAGTAAATAATAGTCATGAAATAATATGGTTTTTTAAATAATAGTCACATATAACAAGAAACACTTGACCGAAGACAAAAAACCCAAGTGACACTAGTTAAATGAGAAACAAAAAAATCATGTTAATGCTATTTTGTACTCTTTATAAGAACAATATCATTCATCAAAATAATTATACATTGGAGTTCTTTTAAAAATGCAGTTGTGTGATTGTAATCCTAACGAATGCCAAAGTAGCATAAGCATGATCAGAGTAACTCTCACTTATAAAGACATGCAAGGTCTCCAAGATAACTTTAATTATATTCTAAGCTTCCATAGTACAATAAAAAATTATGGGCAAGGCTGTTGATGCATTGAGAGGAATCCTATGTCACTAAGAGGAAGACTAGTTCAAATGATGACGGATTGATGTGGTACAAGGAAAAGACTCTTTGCATGACAAAAATAATGCATAAACTTTAAGAATATTAAAAAGGAAATACCCTTGATTATTGAAGATATATTAGGTAGGAGGTAAACACTAAGATGTGAAACTTTGATGTGTATGTATGAAAAAGCATTCATAAGGGTAAGAACTGTACTATCCAATAAGTAAATTATTGTAACAAGTGATCTCTATCAAAGGTCGGCAATAACTATTGTTAATTTTGATTTACTCATAAATTCTATGATTAACGAACCATATCCTTTTTTCACAATCTTTATAGATAGCATCATCCTTGTCAGGTGTACAAGAAGAAGGTTGAAAAAGAGTTAATGAATTTAGATAAATAAATTAGAGAAAATTATTGAAGTTCATTTGTGGGAAAAATGAATTCACAATTTTCAAATTGACTACAAAGAATTTAGAGAATCAATTGAGAATTACAATTAGTTGATACAGTCCCAATAGTAGAGCGCTTTCAATACATTGCCTCAGTCATGTGACGTACGAGAACTATTGGGGAAGTCTTTGACAAGAAAATTAAAAATTGAGTTGAAGATAACTTTTGACATTCCATTTGAAAGAAGGTGCTTCTAAAATTTTGAGAGTTGCCTCCATGTAACAACTCTGAGGGAAAATGTGGTTAAGTGAAATTGAGAAACAATAAAGGCAGTTGAGATGAGGAGGGTAACATCGATAATTGGGAAAGTAGGGAGAGAAATATTGAGAAATTTTTAATTAGAATCACATCATTCAATTTGAAAATGTCTTAGAAATATACAAAGTTTGGTTATGTCCAATGTAGTTCTCCATCACATCCAATGATAACAACATACAAGATCATGAATGAAAGAATAGCAGTGATAAAAATTTATTAAATGAGAAAAATTGTTCTAAAACTATTATGATACCTCAATGGGTATCGAGGTATTAAAGTCATAGATCCTAACATTGAAGATAAAAATGACGAATTTAAATTAAAAAAAATCAATGACTTCTAGAGTCAATCTGTGCTACTTAAAAATGTTACCAAGGAATCATGGATTACTAACTTCATAAATCATAGATTAGAGAAGTTGTCAAGGTTTTGGAATAAACAAAGATTACAAGTGGACAGAAATAAATAGAAATTTTTGTGGATGACTTACTAGAATGTGTTTAAAGAATGACTTTAAGTTGCTTGAACCTAAAAAAAGTTTGATTCAATAAATGAATAAAATACTATCATTAATTGAAGTATACTAATGTAGATTTTACAAGAAATAAAAGGGAATCTAACCAAATTACTAAAGATATACAAACTATAGTGATGTGGATTGACTTTTAGGAAATAAATTTGGTTTAACTCTTATGACTAATGAAAATATTAAAATATAATGTAAATATTGTATTAGCAGTTGGGTGAGGTGTATCATGTGCTTCACTTAAAGAAGCATATGAACATCACTTGCATGTCTCGAGATGTAAGGCTCTATGTCTATAACCTTCTCCCATGGATTTGTTATAAATAACAAACCCCTGTGTCAAAGTAAAAAGACTTCTTGAATTATTTTTCGTCATATGTGGTGAATAGAAGCTCTTTTTTTCTTATAGTAGAAGATTTGTCATTCTTCAAAAACAAATGAACTAGAGAAAATTCAACATGGTATCAAAGCAAATCCAGGTGTGATTGCTCTTTTCTTATTATCTCTTTATGTATAAAAGATCTATGTTGTTTATGTGAGCCTCTTCTTGAGAACTTAGAAGATCAATATAGTTTATTGAACCCTTCTCAAGACATTTCTTGATTTTCTTTTGAAGACGTACAATAATTACATTTTCTTTTCTACTTAGAAAGCAGTTGTTCATATTTCGATTTGTCTGAAGGACGAGAGACCTTAGTAAATGATGTCTCTACCACCATTATGAAAGTCAATCATGTATCATCATGATTAATGATTGAACTCTCTACCATACCTACAAAATTTAAGTTGATTGGATATAATTTCATTCAATGGTCAGAATATATTAAGTTCTTACTACTAGAGGGATGCTACATCATCTAGAGGAAACTACACCAAATCTAATGTCAAGGCAATTTAGAAAGTAGTGAGAGGAGGATGTTTAAATAAAGACATGGATTTGGGGAACAATAATTCCTCATATCAATAGAGATTGATTTTTTCTTTATGAAAACTACAAAGGATTTGTGAGGAACAGTACACATGAAATATTCAATGAAAAACAATGAGTCACACGTATATGAAAGCAAGATAAAATCTCAATCACTTACTCAAGGTTTGAAATCAATGATGGAGTACACAAGAGAACTTAAAAATCTATGACAAGAGCTTGATTATTATCTTGATCTTGGTACTACAGAACCCAAAGAAATTTCTACATTATGAAATTTCATAGAACAAAGGTGGGTCTTTAAATTTTTGTCTAGTTTAAGTCTTATTTTTGATTATATCAGACAACAAATTTTGGGACACGAAAGGAGACCAGATCTGAATGAGGTGATATCAATTGTACAGAATGAAGAGAATAGTCAAAAATTAATATTGTCTACTCAAGAGTCAGGTAATACAATATTTTTCACTAAACCAAGACATACTATTAAATCAATAGAATATCTGAATCATCAATCATCATCTGTGCAAGGAAAGAATCAAAAAAATAATTATAGAGATAATCTTTTGTGCACTTATTACAAGAAGCCCCGTCATACGAGGGAGCAATGTTATAAACTCCATGGTAAACCACAGAATTATGAGAATCAAGTGAATCAAGCTCACATGGTAATTAATTCTTCATCCAATCAAAACTTTGAACAAACAAATCTAAAAAATATTGATTCAACTCCATCAAACGAAGTAAAGAAACTTCATCTTGAATTTGAGCAATTGAAGGCAATGATAACACAACATTCACAAGCATCAACAAATCATCAAATTGGTGAGTTCCACTCTACTCTTGGTGTTTGAGCTCTATCCCAAGATATACTAAATGTAGGGTAATAGATTCAGGAGCAACAAATCATATGATAATTTGTCATATCATTTTATTACCTACACTCCATATTTTAGTGATTGAAAAGTGTCTATTACTAATGGTACACTTCTTATGGTCGCTAGTATTGGAGACTTGACTCTTAAACTTTTAAGAATCCTCACCAAAGTTCTCCATGTTCCCAAGCTTTTCACCAACCTTATTTCTGTAAAAGCCTGGTTAAAAACACACCTTATTGTGCCTTTGTTGATGAAGACATTTATGTTATCCTTGATAAGGTCTAGAAGTAGAGAATTGAAGTTATTAGAAAACGAAGAAAACTTTACATCTTGGAGGGATCTAGCCAAATTTGTCTTTGTGGAAATGGATCCATCTCTAAAATGTCATAAGGATCTGAATCACATTCAGCTCCTTCATCAAAGATTAGGCCATCCTTCCTTTGCCACTATGAAGAGTTTTTATCCTTGTTTCGAAAGGTGTCTATAAAAACCTTTAAGTGTGACATATGTGAACTGTCCAAACATACTCATGTTTCTTTTCCAATTAAAAATGAAAGGAGTGACATCCCTTTCTTTTGCATCCATAGTCCATGTCCTAATGTAGATCTACTGGGTAATAAATATATTGTTACCCTTGTGGATGACTGCACTCGTTGTATGTGGGTTTTTCTTCTTAAGCAAAAATCAGAAGTTTCAATTGTGTTGAAACGTTTCTATGCAATGATCAAAACCCAATTCGATAATCCTATAAAGAAATTCAGGTTAGATAATGCTAAAAAATACTTTAGCAATAATCTGAATTCTTTTCTTCAGAATAAGGGTATTATACATGTGTTTATACTCCTCAGCAAAACAGATTGGTAGAAAGAAAAAGTCGACACCTCTTGGAGGTTACACGATCACAATATTATTTTTTTCAATTAGAAATGAGCTTTTTTCATTATTTCACTTGAAACTGTCGCTATTTATTGTAGAGTTACCTCATCAAGGCCAAATCAAAACTCTCAACATAGCTAAACTATGTATCCATATTTCATAGCAATGATATAAGGAATTTCCCAAAAATTATAACTTTAGAACGTGATGTTGATCTTTCTCAGAGATCCAATGCAAGGTATAAATTTGACCGCCATAAAGATATCATCCAAATAAACAAGTTATCTACTGCTCACCACTCCTTTGACATCAACAATAGTCATTGTGGAAGCTATATGCCTCCTGGTTGCAATAGAGCATGATGGATATCTCAAGTTTAATGTCTTCTCTTGCTCTGAGATGTGATATTTCAGGTAGCGATCAATTGTAGTCACTTTTAACAATGCACTAAGGTCCACAAGCCCTATTCTTTCAATGTAGAGTGGTCTGCCATATTTATCAACTCCATGAAACCCATGTGGATAGCACTTTTTAACCTCATCATATTCTTCGTACTTGAAATCCTGAATAACATCACCAAAAAAATATAGTCAAGACATTATTAAAACGGGGATGATTTATTGCATGGGATGAATTCTATGAAAGAATAAGCTATAATTTTATAATATTTCGTAGATACATAACAAGACAGTGTTTCGGATATTCTATACAATTATACACTACACGTTAAAAAAATACGAGAAAAATAGTGAAGCATTAAGTGATATTTAACAGAGAAATTATGTGTAGAAAAATGTTGTATTGGGAAAATTTTGAAAACGAATAACAATGTGATAAGGAATTAAGCACCCTTATGATTCAAGACTAGATGAATTTTATCATCATGCAGGGAAATACAAGATGCCAATTTTTTTAATATAAATGTAAAGAATAATTGAAGGTCTGAAATTTCAATTCTGGCATAATGCAAAAGCAACATTAATGGCAGAAAGGGATATTAATAAATTACGTGTCAGAAGATATCAGGGTTTTTCATCTTGGGCCGACTCGTGTGAATAACATCTAACTTTAAAGCTTACAGCATTTGGTCTGATTAAAGATCTAACTTGTAAGATATGTCAGGAAGGATCAGATGGCAGTGAAGAATCGCTGCTGTTCCATAATCCTCGAAAAAATGGTCCGAAGCCATCCTACCATAAAAGAATGGTCACCAGAGGCTCGTTGGAAATTTCAGCATTTTTTAAATTTAATTGCATAATGATGCCGACGAATTTTGATGGAAAACATAGGGATTAGTGTCTGATAGATGAATATATATGCATCACATGATGATGATATAGAGTTCGTAGTATTAATGAATTTGTGGTCTTTCACTAGTAAGGGAAATTATTATTTTAAGAGGAGGAAAGTCATTTTCATTGACTGAGAAACTTTCATGCAGCATTCTTATGCTTCTAATCATATCCCCCTGCGATTATAGATGGCATCTAAAATTTATCTTCTTATATATATGATACTCAAGTATGTTTGATGGCTGATGCTTGGAAAAAGTCAATATCGTATGCAGGAATGACAGAACTGAGCGATCTAAGAATCCAGTAAGGTTGAATGCTAGACTAAGATAATTTAACATGCAATTCATAAACTGATATATCTATGACTCGTTGAAGAGCTCATAATTTTGTTTATCAAAGCATATAAAACCCCAAATATAGATATGAATAAAAATATCAATAAATCCGTAAGGGCGCAACAGTTATTTTTTGGTGCAATCTTACTTTTCCAATCACATCGACACCACAATCTTCACGCCACGTCAACATCTTTAGATACATATCCTTCGCTTTTATAAGGTCATAACCTCTCGCTTTGAGGAAGCTGTAAGGGAATTGGTACTTTGTCAGATAATACGAGACATAAATGGTCTTATATTTCAAAAAAACCTCTAAATATGGTATATTTAGGTAATGAAATAAATGATGTATTCAGCTGTGCCTTACGATACTTCATAGAAGCATATTCCTTGTAAATGATTAAAATACTACGCATTTCAGAAACTTCTGAGCCACTGCATCCAAGAAAATATGAGTTTGGACTTTACCGAAAAAGGGTATGATAATCATCATATTTCTCGGGTATTTTACCCTCTGATAGGAGTAATTCACGGAGATTCTGGACCAGGTGTTCGTAATTTGGGTCTCGGGAATCGCCAAATGTTGCTCGTAGACTACTACTCCGCCCAGTTTTCTTAAAGGCATTCTTTACCGACTTAAAGCTCCTCTTCGAGAAAGAAGACGCTTTCTCCGTTTTCAGTGGGATGTTGAAATAATTGGTTCGCTTCTGATTTTGAGATTCACCGAAGCTTGATGTTTTCCCTCGCTCCTTGAGGACATCTCCGGATGTTGCTGCCAGACCATCCTTTCCTGAGAATGTCATATGATCGTCCTGGATATTCAAGAGCGCTGTTTCTTATATTAGAATCCGGTGGGAGTCGTATGAACGAGAATATGGAGCACAAAGTACGCAATGTGCAATCGGCAGACTGCCGATTATCATAAAGGTTAGCCAGAAGAAAACATTGTTGTTTATGATGAAACATGGGATTTATGAACCGGAGACGCTAAATTGGCTCTCAGTTTCAAATAAAATCGAAAGGAATGACCACGTATGAAGAACAAAGGCACGCGAATTTCCAATATTTCTTCTAAAACCATCAGATTTCAATGTAAACATGCCAGGCGGATCTTAAATTGGACGATTATAATCGGAAGTTTAGAAACTAAGATCTCCAGATAGCCGAGAGAGACGAAGTTGAATCATCGTAAACTGTAGTACAACAGCGAGCACTTGTTAAACCGCACCGGGAGTGGATCTAAAGCACGGATGTTCAGCGACAAAATAGGCCAAGCTTCTCTCGACTAGACCTTCCGTTCACTGACGAGTTCCATCGCATCGAGACGAGTAGGAACTTGCCACAAAACACAGCAGAGAGAGAGAGAGAGAGAGAGAGAGAGAGGGAAGAAGGGAGAGAGATCGCGAGGAACGTACCGAGACAGCAAGCATCCACACTCTACACCACCTGGGCGACGCTCCTGCTGTCCATTGTTCGAGAGCATATTATTTGGTCGCAAAGAAACCAAGCCGAACGCTTTTCATATTCCCCCGAGCCACGGACAAGCAAAGGCTGCTTGCTCTTGCCAGCCTCACAGTGGGACCCACTCAAAATTATGCCATTTCTCGAGTATCCTATATCAATAATTTATTAATTATTTTTAAATAAAAGATGCACATAATTTTTTCTAGCGCCACCGAGTTCTTTTTTTAATTGAACAACGTTAAAATGTTTTTAAAATCAAAACTGAACGAGCTCGTGGTCGACCCGAACTCGGTTTTTGCCTGGGGGAATCGGAGAATCGGTACTGAAGTCCCCCGGGCGGTTATCTGACGGTGTTTACGTGGCATGTGGGAATTGGAGCTCCCCAAGTAAAGCGAAGGGCCCTCTTTGCAAACGCACACCGGTGAAGCGTGTGCTTTCTAAACCGCACTGTAAGTTTCAAAATTATAAATATACCCGAAAACTTTGCTAAAACTCCATTGGGGCAGCATAACACAGTTTCATAATCTCATTGAAATATGCTGCGAGGATACGTATTTGCGATAACGTCATGCACATGGCTACGGTACAGTGGTAGAGCGAGAAAGAGAGAGAGAGAGAGAGAACATGGAAGTGTGGTCATTTTCCCCATAAAAGAGCGGTTCTTGCAAAACAGATGATTCTCGAAGTCCGGAGATCACATTATTTGAGAAAACCTACGTAAATAAAGTCGATGCGAGGAAGGGGAGAGGGAGGCATAGAAATTACCCACCCCCCGGAGCTTCACATTATGCAACAGTTGGACGGAGCCCCAAAGCTATCCGGCGATGATCTGCGGGACCCAGATGAGGAAATCAAGAACAATCGAAGCCTGGAGACCCATTATATGGTTTTTTTTTCTCAATTGAGTCGGAAAACTTAAAAAAGGGAGGAAAAATGTGTGTATAATATATTTATAAATAGAAATCCATACCATATAGCATATAAACCTTGGTGAAAAATGCTTACATTTGACCGAGGGTGGAGAGATCGAGATCGGGGGCGAGCTCTTGGACGATATCACTGGGGGGTTGACCACATTCCTGCATTTTCTGCATGAGTTCGATGATTTTGGTGAAGTTGTCAGGCTCGTTCTCGTAGACTTCGTTGAGCTTCAGAATGAACTGGTATTGATTATGATAGCGATCGTAGTCTACTGGGCACAGCTCCTTTGAATGCTCCTCCAACCACTTTGGGTACCTTCCAGCGATCTCTTTCATGGGCTCGTGGAGGATCTCCTTTGACAACAATTGTTGCATCATAGTCTCCACAAGGGAGTCCATATCCTGCGCAAGATAATTCACACTATTTAACTGAAGAAATAGAAACACATTGGGATATTCAGTCATTTTCCGGAAATAATAATATAATTATTTCAGACAAAAAATAGGAAGAAAAAAAATGTAAAAAGAGAACTCTACTTGAGGTAGGAATATTAAAAAATCTAGAAAAATAGAAGCAGCGTGCGTTCTTTCTGCGGAACCAATTGCAACAGAAGATTTTGACCACCAGCTCGTGATCTAAGTCAAGTGAAATCATATCCAACGTGGAAACCAGATTAGGTATGATATAACTAGAGTTCAGGTATCTATTTCTTTAATCTGTAGGAATGATTCGGGGATCTCTCAAGAAGATGCTTTTAATCAGAGGAAGTGAAGTCCACAGCAAGCGAGTTACAAGAGCCACAGAAAGGAAGAAAACCAAGCCACGGTGCACAGCTGAACCAGTGAGCAGGAATATTTATTGTGTTAACTAGAGACATAAAAAACTGTAGGAGAAGCTTATGCTAAAAACTTCTAAGAAGTTCTACTGCCAACAGGTACATGAATGACTGAATCATGGCTATCAGTCAGCACGATCTACGCAAACTAAGACTGCGATTTAGACATTCATTAGTAAATATCATCGCTCAATTATATTAAGGTAAACATACTAGGTTCGGAACCCTCTGGTCCACCTGGATGAACACAGCATGCATTAAATCTCGACAGCTATAACATCATGTAAGTACAATATGATTGTTTGTAATCAGAAGTGAAGGGTGGGTCAAAAGATGTAGAACCAAAATAGGCTAGCTGCTGACAAATAAAAATAATAGCAGTCATCATTTATGTCCATAGATTATGATTCCAAAGGAACAGTCAAGCAGTGTCCGGAAGCCCAGTTGCACCTTTCATGAAACCCCATGGTTTGAGGTCGAATAGATTTACATGGTTTAGAGAAAAACTTCAAATGAAGAGAGAGTGAAACGCTTTAGAACTAAGCACAAGAGACTGACCTTGACTTACTGTTAGATGTCGTAAATCCACTTCTTATTTTTCTAGAAATGTATTTAATGGGTTGAGTAAATCCAATGATATCATCAAAGAAAACCCCTTCGTTTCTTAACGTCAAATATTTAGGAGAATCCACAAGAAGCCTGAATTTGACTTGTTCTTACCAGTCATGAATTCAATTCTTATTTCCCTAGAACGAACTTAATTAGTTGCGCGAATCTAATCATATCATCAAAGACAACACCTGCATCTATTATCTCCGTCGATACTAAGAATTATTTAGGACACTGCACACGAAACCCGCATTTAAATTGTTCCTGGACGTTATGAATTTACTTATCAGATCCCTAGAAACAATTCAATGGGTTTAGCGAATCCAATCATATCATCAAAATCTAGGACAACCGCCAAAAATCTTTCTCTGTCAACGTTCAGAATTATTCCAAACAATACTCGAGAAACCTGCACATGACTTATTGTTAAATGTCGTGAATTCACTTTTTATTTCTCTAAAAAGTATTTAGCGGAAACTCTTCATAAATCCAGTCATAGCATCAAGGACAACCCCTGAAACTCTTACCTCCGTCAACATTAAGAGTTCTTTAGAACAGTGCTAAAGAAATCTGCATTCGACTTGTTCTTAGGTGTCGTGAATTCACTTCTTATTTCTCTAGAAATCACTTGATTGGTTGAGTAAATCCAATCATATCATCAAAAACAATCCCTGTAATTCTTATCTACTTCAACATTAAGAAATATTTAGAACAATGAGAATAAATCTGCACTTGACTGAAAAAAAATCGGTGGTGAAACTATCAAAATATGGACTGAAATTCCAAGGATCTCTTTCTTCATAAAGCAAGATAATAGAGCGAAGTTTTACGAAGTAAATGAAGAAATATTCGTCTGAAAACTGCGAAAAAAATTGATGTTCAGGATTCCGACCACAAACAAAGAGGGAGTCCAATCATAAAAGAGGGCCTGAATACCTGAGTACCCGCTATCTCCTCAAACTGCTTCACGAAGTCCTCCATGATGCCCTCCTTCTCTAGATCCTCGATGCCCGGGGGTCCCTGGGCACCCAAGGTAGACTCAAGTCCCATGAAGGCATGTTGAGTCTGCTGAGTCAGCATGGCAAGGGCCTCTGAGGCATGAGAAACGTCTTTGGGGGGCGCCCCGCGGGCTCTAGGCAGCTGCCTACCCTTCTTCTTCGACTGCCGAGCCGGTGACAGGCCCATCCCCAAGCCCAGACCCTGGACAGGCGCTAAGAACGCCGAGGAGGATGAAGCCGAACTCGGTGCTTCCTCCACTCCCACTCTACTAGCTTCCACGCCGCTGCCGCCGCTGGAACTCTCAGCGGCTCCTCCCCTAGAACGAACACAAAATTCGAAAAATAAGAGAAATACTGAACGTAATCTAGGTCATTGGAGGAAGGAGATTCACACCTCCGACCGGGATCTAGGTTGAGATTGCTGAAGTCATCCAGAGCACCTGCGAGAGAAGCATGAGAAAAGGCGAGACCAATTACAGCACTTTGCGTATGTATCGGGAGGGCTGAGGAGAGAGAGAGAGATAGCACGAAGTACTTACTATCGAGCAGGTTATCTAAATCGTCGGCGGAGGCATCGGCCATGGCGGCGAGGAATTGGGTGCCTCCTAGTCGACGAAAGACAGGGGAAGAAGAGGATGGACGCCTGGAAACTGACGTCTCTCTCTCTCTCTCCCTCTTCCTGGTTTAAATACCCGCGAGTTCGGTAAGATTTCGGGCACGGCAGCGATCCGGAATCGTTGGCCGCCGCCCCCTGACTCTGCAAGCGAGAGAGCGTGGTGACTCTTTGCTAGTGTTTCCCAAGCAGGGCCTTTCCTTGCCCATTAATGTAATATTTTGGTAAATATATTTATATATGGCATATAAATTTGTTGTCATCCGATCAGGACTACCCAATAAAATGAATTTATGAAGACTTTTACTACACACGCATTTTCTTGTTCATTGTTTTCATTGTATATTTCTTATGGGATTATTTTATTATTAAAAATAATATTTGAATATATTTAAATGACAACTCATATTATTTATGTATCACACGAAATATTATTATTGCTAGAAGGTGGCAATCTATTTCTTATGGGATTATTTATTTATTATTTAAAAATAGATAAAGTAATATATTTAAAAGCCAGCTCATATTATTTATGTATCACATTAAATCTTATCATTGCTGCCATGTTTTCTAAGTAGCTTCTTTATTTTTTAGTATACATTTGGGATTTTTTATTCCATTTAAAAATTGAAGTGATTGTAAATATTGAATTAAATGAGCATTCGAACCATGAAATGAATATATTACGGGATTATGGGATGGTGTTTTCTTACGGTTTAAATGTCTCACATATAAAGAATTAGTAGAATTTATAACAACTGGGAAATTTCCAGATTTTAATTTTATAAAAACCCTGTGAAAATCACATTTTTCTTCGCAAAATTAATTATAGACCCTAGAGTCAAAGAGAAGAAGGCGCTAGTTGACATGTACAGGGCACATGAAAAAATATAATAGTTTTAGGTGAACAGTTGTTATTATTGAATATATATTTTTTATGTGCGTATATACGAAAAGCCAGAGAATTCTTCGCCGTTCATGATGGTCATATACGAAATATAAGAGTTTTAGGTAAATAGTTGTTATTATTAAATAGATGTGGGCATATACGAAAAGCCAGGGAATCCTTCATCGTTGATGAATGGACGACTGCCCCACGCCGGGGACTGGAGACGGGGGTGGTGGCCCTCCACCATCACATTCTGGCAGGGCTAATCTGCCGCTTGACACGGGATGGTCTCCACCATGACCGGACTCCCGGAGCTCCGCCGCGGCGGTGGCGGCGGTGGCGCCGCCCTAGGCCTCTTCTCATACAATTCCCCGTGCGCCTGCCAGAGTCTGCCGTCCTCGTCCTCACCGGCGTCGGTGTCGCCGAGAACGGTTGCGTTTGTGCGTCGCTTTATTGTGTCGAAGACGAGCATCCGAGCGGTGCCTGAGCGTGGGTGGAGTGGAAGCAGACGCAGAGGCTATCGGTTGATGCGGTTAGTCGTCGTCGGCGTCGGAGCGAATCTGGATTCGTTTAACGGCGGGAAGGAATCGGAGGCGGTAAGGAAGCCGTCCGCTCCGCGCACGTTCCGATTTTCTTTCCCCGTTTTTCTTCGAAGCCATTCGGCTCGTTGGGGAGTTCAACTGTTAGTGTCTGTGTGCATTTAGGGAATCGTGAGGGATCAGGAACGGGAAAAGTTGTCAGATGCGGAGGATTTGAGCTCGCTCCAGCAGCAACAGCGCGACCAGCTTAAGAACCGCGTGGTGTTCGGTTTAGCGATCGGAATTGTTTCTGGGGGTATTGTGTTAGCCGGAGGATGGGTGTTCACGATAGCAGTTGCTGCGGCAGTGTTTGTTGCTTCACGCGAGTACTTCGAGTTGGTCCGGAGCCGTGGCATTACCGCTGGGATGACACCTCCTCCAAGATATGTGTCACGTGTTTGCTCCATAATTTCTACGCTCATGCCTCTGCTGACACTGTAAGGTTCTTCCACTACAGATGATATTTTCTCCAGAAAGATTTAGAATTTCTTTTCCACACAGGTCTGCATATTGTATTTGTATACCTTGCTTGTATGTCTATGGATACAGTTGCCTGAATTAGTTTTCAAGTAAACTGAATGAGTTTTTTGGCTATGAGTTGAGAGGACACGCTTGCGCTTTTAACAAGACTAGGAGAGGACTTTCAGAGAAACGATAGTGTCTCTGTTCTTTATCTGGCTGCAAACTTCGGATGCGTTGGGACCTCTTTCCTATTGAGATGCCATCGTAATGGATCTCGCATTGCCAGCCCACAAGTTGGAAAATGAATTGATTATCGTCTGGCTCCTATTCTACCGAACTACGAACGGAAGTCAAAATTATTTGCATAATATGATAAAAATTGACTCAAAGTAAAAGCCTTCCTCTAGACAGGCATATTTTATTTATCTACATCTTCACTTTAACAGATTGCTGCTGTTGTCTATATTTTTTGAGTCTCAATGCAAACTCTGCCACTTTTATTTGCATCCGTATGGCCAACAACAGGGCTACCTCCGCCCTTTGTCCACAAGACTGGGAAAATTCTAGATATACGCCTTTGAAGAGATGCATCGAGGCAAGGTGCTAAGTTTACTCGATTACCTTATTGAAGGTGGGGATGACTGAGAAGGCCACTAAAAGTTGTATTTTTTCAGGATTTATTGGGTAAGAACTAGAAGGGATTTTTTCCTTAGTTTCTATTTCTGTATGTGCTGTGGAACGATCTAGGAGCAGGGACTGAGTCTTCTGATATTTAAAGGTGCAATAGTTACTTCTTAAATCACTTGATATGTGAAGATGGAAATAGTAGTGACAAGGAATAAGCTGTGTTGTGGAAGGTTTATTGCAGGCTCTGCATGATGTATTTCTGAACACTCAGACCCCTTGCACTCACCGTGGTTTCATGAAAAACTTCGTGTTTTCTTCAGACACATTCCAGATTCATGTGTTGGTTGATAAATATGCAGTAAAATGATCATCTGTTCATCTTTCTAATGCATACATATAGTAAGAATTCAATTTGACTAGTTTAGATTCCTTAATGTGTAGTGGTTCTAAATAAACTCTTGTCTAAATTGTGAAGTTTTCTCTTTTTTAAGATATGGGACATGGTCATTTGTCAAGTATTGACACAAACTCATGTTATTGGATACAAAGAATAGATAGGGGGATTGGAGGGACATATGTACTTTTTACGTTTTTAACCATCCACATGGTAAAATATTTTCAACTAAGAATGTTGAAGATTTTTGGAGAGTTTGGTCTTCATAGTCCATAAATTTTTGGCAAGTTTGTCAGGACTCCCCTAACATAATACGTGTTTGAACCCTAGTGACAAGTGCAAACACATTCCACAGGTATGCCTTACGGACGCAAGTTGAAACAACTGATTACAGATTCTTGATTGACTCATTAAATCATAGAAGAAGATCAAGTATCAACTCGTGATTTCAGTTAGTTTTGAAATTTTCGGTTGGCTGGTTCAATACATTAGTGCTCGCTTCTCAAGAAGACGTTATATTGAGGTGATGATTTATTTTTTTCTGGCTGTAATTAGGTTTTTCTACTTGATTGTTCGAGGCACATGATAATGACATAATATTATACCTATGGAGGAAGGAAATAATATAGTTGTGGTTGGCGCAATCATTTATTTACTGGGAGATGTTGAGGTTACTAGAGGCTTGCAGTCCTTGGGCATTCCTTCTTTCTGGTGCCTAAGTCTACAGATGTTTCTCTCTGATAATGGAATTGCCTGCTAAAATATCTTCTTTTTTGAAATAATTGAGGTTCCACCAGGATATCTGTTTTACAGCTGATTTCTAACCTCAAACTATTCTTCCATTTGAATTAGCTGTTCTATGGATATTTTTAACTGTCACTTTTCTATGATTTTTTAGGTACCTTGGTCACATGGATGCATCTGTTACTTCATTTGCTTTTATTATTGCTACGATATTGATTTTACAAAGAGGGAGTCCTCGTTTTGCACAGCTAAGTAGCGCCATGTTTGGGTTGTTCTACTGTGGTTATCTTCCTTGTTTCTGGATTAAGCTTCGTTGTGGTTTGGAAGTTCCTGCGTTGAACACCAGTATGTATCTTCCAACTTTTTGATTGAGAAAATGCACTTTCTACTTCTTCGTGCATCCAAATTATGAAAGTAACTAGAACATTTCGATTTAGGTTTTTTTGAGAATCACATCTACCTTTGAGTTAGTTTCTGTGTACATTTTTTTGAAGTATGAATATTGTAGAAATGATAGAGATGAAAAATTGATGGATGCGACTGATTGCTTAGTCAGGAGTAAGGGACCATTTATTCCAATGAACCTCTTTAGATTTTGGGCCCGCTCTTTTTTCCAATGAACCTCTTTAGATTATTACGTATTTTCTTCGAAGCTCTGTCTTGAGTAAAAATGTGAAGGGACTCTGACAAAAGTGACTGAAGAACAAATGGACGGATCTATGAATTTGTATTTATTTCTCTGGTTGTCATTTGATTACACCAATGACCATCTCATGCGAGTTGCATGTTTTCTATGCAATGGGATTGAAAAAATGGTGTAGTTGCCGGAAGTATACAGCATTGGGTAATGATGAAGATAGTCTTAAGGTCTGCCTAATTCTTATTAACGAAAAGAGTGATCCAATGTGGGAAGGTTGATAATAAGGCAGCTTGACATTTTTATGATGCAGCTGTGCGGATTCTCATCTCCCTTGGCCACTGATAATCACCCACTGATGTTTACATGAAATTTATTTTTACCGCTGCTGCAACCTTCTGTCTGCCGCTGCCTACTGTTGCTCCGCTCATGTTCTCTGGCAAGAGAGCAGGGTGTGGCAACGAAAGGCAGTGGGAGCCAGTGGCTTGGCAGGAGAGTTAGTTTTCTTTTTCCTAGGGTTTCTTCCCCCTTCTTCATCTTTACCTTCTGTGTCTGCTAAAAGCCCCCAATCTGGTCAAAAATTGGAAGACTAATTGATACTTGATTTCATCAATTTCTAACGGGATAGGATTTCCTCCCTTGAAATGGATTAAACAAACACCTTATTATGATCTGACTCAGCTGACGTTTCTTATTTTTAGATAATACTATTTCCATTAAATCAGTCAATTGTTCCTTTGACACTCTGCTGGCCTCATTATCTGTGATTGGAAAATATTCAATTGTTTTAATTAGGATATATTTTTCTGCCACTTGCGATTTGAGCCTTTGCTTCTTCTGCTCAGTTTCTGCTGAAAATGTGCCTTGGTCCTAACATAGTCTCAAATGGTAGTCTTTTTCCTTTTTACAAAAGAAACTTAGTTGTTGATGAAACCTTATGGCTAAAGGGCTAAGTCTACTGGCCACTCTCTGGACTAGCTATTTGGCATAATTAATTTTCAAAGTGGAAACAGAGAACTGATCTGAAGTTGACTTTTCATAGTGGGCTGTAGATGGAGACAGGCAAATGATGCCATCAATAAATATTTTTTTGGTGTGGTTGATTGCTAATTTTAGTTAATGCTTAAATGCATTATCATTTTGTATGAAACTACATTTTTTAAGTTTTATGGCTTTTCACAAAACTAAGACTCTTTTCTTGAGGTACTTTCAAGGCCTAATTTATCCTTCAATTGGACAGAATTAGGAGCAGCTTGGCCAATTCTTTTTGGCGGTCAGACTCACTGGACAGTTGGCCTTGTTGCAACTCTCATTTGTGCCTGTGGCATCATAGCAGCTGATACCTGTGCTTTTCTTGGTGGAAGGGTGCTCATTTTTTTTAATGCTTTGTCCTTCTTAATATTATAACTGTCTATTTCTTTGTGAAATGAGATCGCCTTCAGTTATGAGCAAATTTATTTATCTGCCATAAGAAATTTATCATAATTGATGGATACTTGGCATAAAATTTTGGAAGTGAAGGCTTCATTGGGTGTTACTTTGTTATTGAGCATTCTTTTATTTCTCTTTTTGGAAGAGATGAGCTAGCGGCCACCACTCTCCAAAAAGAATGCAAGAAGATACTGTGTTGTTACTGTGCATTATATCTTTACTTTTTTACTATTTCTAGATTCGAATCGTTTTTTTTAATTCCTCAGTCCTGTAGCAACTAGTTCTTACATTCAAATCAACTCACATGACATGTGAATAAAGCATTATAACATTCTTCCACTTCAGCTGAATTGACCACGTACTATCTGCCATCCTAATGTACTTTTCTCACAGGTTCTCACAAAACCTGTGAGAACCACCACCTCTCATTGTTGTTCTACTTGATTAGGAATATCTGTAAGGGATTTAAGAGAGAAATCACGACTTTGAAGGTTTTGGGTGCCCTGGGATGCACTTGCATTCGAAATCCCCTCATCTATAATTCAACTCGAACTGTCTTAAGTCATCTTGCACCAGTTGACCTGTGACTCTTGGTATCGCATCAAATCTGTTTCGTCATCAAGGATCTGAAAAAGATTCACCGGTTCAACATTGCTTTACATCTCAAATCATGTGCTTAATTTAGATTCAGTTGGGCCGTAGTGGCCTCCGTCTCTCTCCAGTCCCCTCTCTCCCACACACATACTCCTGCGTACTTTGCCTCAAGATTAGTCCTTGACAACCTGGTTTGAAGGGGAAGACATGGTCTCAAGACCAGCCTTCAAGCACATATCAACTGGCATCCTTGCATATTGTTTGCTATGTAATATTCAATCCATATGTGATCTCGCTTCGCAACCCATCCATCCTCGCATGTTTTTATGCTTCCATTCAAACTCCATTAACCCTCTCTCAGTTCATTTTTAACGTTCTTGCTATCCAGTACATTAATTGGTTTCAGATTATAAGAGTGTTCGATAACTGCAAATTACTTAAAAAGGCATATATTTGTTAACAAATTTAATGATCTCAGTTTGACTACCGGTCATTAATCTCGTCAAACTGCTTTTTGAATCTTTGATCCAAGACAATACTGGATTCATGGGTTGATTCCTAGTAGATTGATTGCATTGTTTGCCATCTCCATCGTCTACTGGTGAAAAGATCCCATACTAAATGGAGTATTCTTGGAGGTTGCCTTATTTTGCTTAAATTTCTTGGAACGTTCATAGGTACTCTCAGTTATCCTGGAATCACATTTTCCAGCTAACTTCTTTTACGTTGCTTTTGAGTATGTCGCTATAGATCTGTTTTGGAAAAAGGAGTTCTGTTCGCTCCTTATTTCTTACCTGTAGTAGAACATATGACAAAGATGTCTTCTTCTTTCCTTGCTGAAAGTTACTATTGCTTGACTCCCTGTGTCCACACAATAGACTGGACAACCTGTAAAATCTAATTGGTATAGTTAGTGTAGGGCGCTTGTCGTTTGAACTGTATTGATAATATGTCTTTTTCTTTCAGGCATTTGGGCGAACACCACTCACAAATGTTAGTCCTAAAAAGACCCGAGAAGGAGCTCTTGCTGGTCTCACTGGCTGTGTAGTCGTCTCAGTAGTGTTATCAAAGATCTTATCTTGGCCTACATCTTTGTTGAGGTATTGTATAGTTTGTTTACTTTCTTTTTACAGAAATAATAAACGTCCACCAAACTATAATATGGATGTCATAGTCATGTTGGTTACCCACTAAGAGATTTGATTTTTTTTCTCCTCATCTCATCGTAGAACGTATCAACTTTCCTCCAAATGTCTTTTCTTCTAAGTTTATCATTATTATTATTTAATTTTTTTGATTTATTTTTAAAGTAAGTTGATATGGGTTAGTATTAAATTCAGTCGTGAATTGGGCTTTTTATTTAACCTTTAAAATTTATTCTATCTCAATGCAATCTGTAATTATGAACATAAAAAATGGAAAATATCTCTTAGAATTCCGATTTTGAATTGAATTTCTTCACAGGAATTGCACATTTCTTTTCAAAGTTAAAAGCATTTCAACATGAAAGATCATAAACTTGTGATATTTGGGAGTTTGAAGGAGAAAAAATAAATGAAGGACCGCCTATCATTAAAAGATCGCAGTCATCAGCATAACCTTGTAAAAATCACAGAGACAAGTGGGGATGACTATCCATACTACTGCAAGAATAATCGATGAACCCTAAAAGATCATGCATCTGTTTGGCATAAATTCGACATGAGGATGAGCCATGGAGGGTTGTGAAGCCTCCTCTCTCACAGTGAAGATGCCACCGCCCATCAAGCCCTCCGAGAGATAAACCCTAACACGGAGCTCCACCATGTCTCAACACCCCCTTCTTTTTCACCCATACCTCGCCTTTTGAGCATCCGGAGCGCATACCAGATGAAGAAGGCTCGTGGTTTCATTTCCTATCTTTAGCATCTTTTGTGGATATCCTCTGCTTTGGTCGTCTTCGTTCGTACGCATTGGATCCTGATTTGTGTGATTTCTGGTAATATCACATCAGCGCGTCGGCGTTTGGAGTGCTCACCTTCGTGGGGTCTTTATTTGGGGACCTCATCGAATCTATGATCAAGCGTGATGCCGGGGTCAAGGACTCTGGATCTCTCATCCCTGGACATGGTAAGATCCCTGGATCATTACAGAATATAACGCCGAGAATCATCTTTTTCTTAATATAATAATAATTATACTTATTATTATTATTATTATTTTGACCCCCTTCCCCAGCTTTTCTTCTCTTCTTTTCTTTTTTTTTTTGGTGGTGAAGAGATGGTTCTTCTTGCAGGAGGGATTCTTGACAGGGTGGACAGCTACTTGTTCACTGGGGCGCTGGCGTACTCCTTCGTCAAGGTCGGGTTGCCCCTCTGTGGCGTCTGAGAAGCAGAGAGAATGCTTGCTATATGTGCAGATCGAGAAGACGATCGATCGATTCCTGTACATTTTTCTTCTTCTTCTTTCTTCTTCGTCAATTCATGATCTTATCAGATACCAGGGAGCCTTGATTTATCTTCTCTCTGTCTTGAAGCCGTGCTGCCGCTGCCGACTCTCGCTCTGTTGGGCCGGAAGAGCGGCCCCCCGATTCTCTGGTGGCATCTGAGTCTCCTCGGCCCATTATCTTCCGCCTATCTCTAGAGAGAGAGAGAGAGAGAGAGAAAGAGAGAACGCGTTGGTTGTACGCGCCACACGAGAGAGAAAATGTCCAGAACAAGCTCTCATTCATGGAAGGGCGAGGAATAATGAGAGAGAAGGTAGAGAGAGGCGCAGAAGCATCTTAAAAAGGAGGGGGGGGATGAAAAAGTGGTTGATGACAACAGCCCAATGCTTTTTTATGTCCATCTTCAAGCTTAGCCTACCAGGAAACCCTCTGCGCGGGGGAACGTCGGAGTTTCTCTCTCCTCCCCACTTCCTCCGTTACGACCGACAGTTGGTGGCCCATCTCTGTCTCCGGCCTTCGGCCATCGATGGTCCCTCATTGACCTCCTCTCTCCTCTCTCCGCCGTGGTCCCTCGCCATGTCAAACCTTTCCTTTCCCACAGAGATAGGGAAATGAAGGCGGGAAGAGAGAGAAGACGAGACAGGCAGATTAGGGAGAGACATTCGAAGACCGGGTGCCGGTTGGCCAAGTTTTTAGAGAGAGAGATTCATGGATTTTTATATCTAGAGAGAGAGAGGTGGGATTATTTCTGTAGGGAAGGGAATAATTATGCGAAGATAGATGTAGAGAGAGAGAGAGAGAGAGAGAGAGAGAGAGAGAGAGAGAGAGAGAGAGAGAGAGACATTGCTAGAGGAGATGAAACACAAGGCACGCACACACACTTATACACACACATATATATGTATATATATATATATAGAGAGAGAGAGAGAGATTGATAGATGAAGAGTACGAGTTACCTTGATTATGGAGAGGCATGCATAAATAGGGAGAGAAAGAGAGAGAAAACCGTACGGGCATAAGTACGTGTAGTGAGAGATAGGAGAGAGAAGAAGAGAGAGAGAGAGAGAGATGGCGATGGGACCGCCCCCGAATGGGACTCGAGCAGTTGACCAGAAATGAGCTCTCGATTTCTTGTAGCAGCTCGCTTACCTTTCCTTAATTAGTGTGTGACCTGCTGATCTCGTCACCCGAAGACCGGCCAACCGGATGACGTCACGTCCCGGGGGATTGAAAGAAACCACGTGGACCGCAATCGCCGTCCCAGTACAGACATCCTCCCACAACGACTGACAAGTGAAGTTCAAATGTTAGAGCACACGGTCAATATCTTAACTATTAAAAGTAACAAGACAGTTAGAAATTAACCGCCCCTCAACCGCCCCGTGGCAGCCCACTTCCCCACCCCTCTCTCTCTCTCTCTCTATAGGATCTGCTTGAGGCCGACGGAAGGGCAAGACTTACCAGTAGAGAGAGAAAGACAGAGATAGAAAGAGAGAGAGGTTTGATGGGACGGCGGCGCCAACCAATGCGGTGGCGTGTCCCTTCGCCAGCATGTCGGGACTGCCCTTGATCCATCTTTTCAATGCCAGTGCCCGTTTGTCTGTGATGGCGTCTTCCGGCTTTGACGACAGTCCCACCCTCCTCTCTCTCTCTCTCTCGTGAACCAGTAGGGCTACCTCGAAGACGAAGAGGGAAGAAGACTCTGAGCAAGTGGGGTGCGCATCCTCCGCTCATGACGATCCACCAAATCTCATATTTCCCACTCTCGATATATATATATATATATATTCCATCATCGAGGTACCCACCAATTATTCGGAATTAATTTGTCTTCGGAGGATCAAAAAACTTTGGAAAAGAAATATTCAAGAAGAAATATTCTGCGCGGCCTGCCTGGTGGCGCGATGATTGCCCACCAAGAACACACCCCCACCACCACTCGACAGGAATTCCAATCTGCCGAGCCATTAATCCAAGAAAATTAATTAATTATCCTCTTAGAACACGCGCGCCCCCTTCCATTGATTGAGCTCTGCATCTGTTTCATGGAACACACTACACTTTGAAGGGAAGAACCAGAGAGGAGAAGACAGATACTAAGTTATTGAGCCGGGAGGTTAATCAGGGCCGAAAGTCAACGAGGATGAGGAGTTCTACGAGTCGGCACCTGTTAAGGGTGGGATGGTTCGGCGCTTTTGATTTGATCTTCAGCATCTCCAGGCCGACACGGAGACGAGCTCTGCGCGCCGCCAGGAGAGAGACAGCGCCGCCTGCTTCTTCTCGGCGTGGAAGCCGTTGATCTTCAGCCTCTTGACGAGGCAATCCGCCTGCATCTCGGCGAAGCTGCTGAAGGGCGCCGGCGAGAAGCCGGCGGCGGCGAAGTCGCCGCCGGACGCCCGGTACCTCCCCGCGACGGCGCTCTGTATCCTAGGCTTCACCAGGTACTGCTCCATCTTGTTCATGGCGTCCGGGTCAACGCCGGCGGTGGCGATGGAATCCAGCAGGACAGCGCCCGACTGCAGCGCGTGGAAGAGGCGGCGGGGTAGCGGGAGCTCGGCGGCGGCGGCGGCGGCGCCGTGGTCCACCGAGACCACGATTCTCGGCGCCAGCTGCTTCACCAGGCAGAGGAGCGCCGCCGGCGCGGAGAGAGAAGGGCCCAAGCTCGCCGGTAGGTTGACGGCGACCGCTTCGTCCCCACGAACCATCTCCAGGAAGCTCGCAGGGTCAACGGACTCAATGCTCCGGATGTTGATTTCGAAGGGGATGTTGAGTTCTCTGGCGAAGTTGGAGAGGTTCTCCCTGGTGAGAGAAAGCTCGAGCGGGTGATCGGCGGCGGGGGAGGCGAAGGCCGTTATCCTCAGCGACGGTGGGGCGGCGACGGCGCCGCCCCCGTCCCGCCGCTGGGCGAGCTCCTGCATGAAGGACGACCACTGCCCGCCGACTCCGACCTCGAAGTCAACGATATGGATGCGATCACAGCCGCTGAGTTCCTCCAGGAGGGCTTGTGCGCAGGTGAAGTTGGAGAATTGCAGCACCGGAGACACCTCCGAGAAGGATTTGTAGGCGCTCAGCTTGAGCACGAAGTCCAGGGGAGTCGACAGCGCTGGCGACGGCGCCGGAGAAGAAGACCCGGCGGCGGCGGCTCCACCGACGATGCTATGGAGGGCCTCCATGCAGTAGAAGGTGGATCTGACGAGGGGCTTCCCGCTGGGGGAGAGCTGGTGATTGAGCCGCGCCAATATCCCACGCGCAGTAGTAAAGTTCCCGGCCTCTACCATCTCAGCCGCCTTGAACAGCTGGTCAACCAGCGCCGCCTCCGCCGCCGCCGCCTCGTCGGCCGGCGGTGTTCTCGATTTCGTGGGAATCTGCAAGAAGTTGCGGTGCCCGGGAAGACCTTGGGAGCTCTCCATATCTTGCTGATAAGGCGGCTGCAACGGCTGGAAGAAGGCGGCGCACTGGAGCGACGGCGGCGGCGGCGGCGGCTGCTGAAGCTGCTGCTGGTTCAGAAGGAGACCAGGGTCGAAGAGATGGAGCTTCTCCTCCATGCCCGACTCCGGGAAGAAGCCGCCGCCAGGCGGCATAGAGAGAGGGAAGGGGAAGCTACTCGCCGGTGATGGCGATGGCGATGACAGGGGGCTAGGGTTTGTATTCGCACCGAACCAGGGGACTCTCAGGTGAGCAGAGTTCGCCGGCGGCTGAACCCTAATCTCGCCGTCCCCCTTCGAGGTGGGGAATCCTCCCCCGAATGAGCTGAATGGAGCTGAAGAGGAAAATGGGTAGCCGGCCATGGAACCGGGCAACCCCATTCCTGGTAAATTCTCGAAACCCAGCACCGGATCGACAGCGATCCCAGCTCCTCCGCCGCCGCCGCCGCCGCAGCCGGCGTTGGCGCCACCGACCTGGAACTCCACCGCCGTCTGCTGCAGCAGCATCTGGTGACGGTGGTGGCGCTGCTTCGGAGCTCCGGTGGAGAAGCCTTCGACCTCCCCCATGATGCACCTCAAGAAGGAGGCCTGGTCGTCTCCAGGCAGCGGCGCTGCCGGCTCGGAGAGCATGGCCTCCCAGTCCAGCGCCCCAATTTCGAGCCCTGTGGGGATGGGCAAGAGCTCCGCCGCCGCCCATTCATCCCTCCGGCCCGGAGCTTCGTCAGCGGCGGTGATCAAACTGGTTGTCGGAGACCATTTCCTCCCGGGATTGTCGGAGACCGCCGCCACGCCGGTGGAGTCCGCAGAGCCACCGCCGGTGGACGCGGATGTCGGTGGGCTAGGGCTTCTCCTGTGATCCAGAACCGACCTGGGCTCTGTCCTCTCCTTCTTCCCGGTGCCCACGCTGTCGCCGCTGTTAGTGGAACCAGGGACGGCGGCGGCGGTGCTCTTCCAAAGGACCTCGTTGCCCTGGAGATTGAAGGGCATCCCCCTCATCACCAGAAGAAAACGGAGGGGAAGAGGGTTCCCTTCCTCTCTCTCTCTCTCTCTCTCTCGACCCTGTCCCTCTCTTTTCTCTTACCTCCTGGAGAAGGGGATCACCTGGACTGGGGAAGCATCTTCATGAAACTCCATTCCATCTCAGCTTGCAGCGGCACCCAGAGCAACCCGCCGCTTGGGTCTCCCTCTTTCTTCTCTAATACCCCTCCTCTCCAACTGCCCTTCCCTTCCCTCGTCCTGTCTCTCCCTCTCTCTAGCTTTTCTTCTCTCCTCTCGTTCCTAGCCGTCTAATCTATCCCTCCCATCCTTCCAGACCTCTCAGCCTTGTACTCTCATCCTATTTTGTGTATTTATTCGCCTCTCTCTGTCTCTCTGTCTCTCTCTCTCTCTCTGAAACCAGTTGCAGCAGAGTGGTCCTGTGGAGAAGATGGAGACAGGGAAGGGAGTGGTGAGGCTGCCCAGCCCTGGTCTTCGTAGCAGTCCTCCCTCTCCCTCTCTCTCTCTCTCTCCTCTCTTCCTCTCTCTCTCTCTTCCCGCCCCGGTTGCGTGCAACATAAAAAAGGTCATAAAGCAGTGTCCATTCTCTCTCTCCTCTACCCATCACCTCTCTCTCTCTCTCTCTCTTTCTCTCTGCTATCTCTGTATCCCGGGTCAATTTATGATTTTGCCCCTCTAAACTGTTCCACTAGTTTTTCTACCGCTCTACCCCAGTAAATATTGATTTTACCAAATTCTCATCTCCACCGCAAGCCGACATTAGCAAATTAAGTTGAAGTGAGGATTTACCAGTAAACAAGAGGACAGGAAAGGACGAAAGAGCAGTTTACAGGCCGTTAGTTCAAACTCACGTAAATACCCCGGTTCCGTACAATTCACAACTCAACGGGCACCAATATCGGTCGCATTGGTGGTCCCCACAAATATTTAGGGGATATTTTGGTCATTTCGTGCCAGACGAAGCCCTCCCCAGTCAGGCATTCCTCGCCGAGATCTCGAGAAGAGATCCGACTGCCTCATGGCAGAGGCGGCAGACTTTTCGCCGGGGATTCACGAGATCTCGCCGCTGCAACTCTTCTTATTTCCCGATGAAACCACCACCAATATTATCAATCACAAAATAAACCCTTTAAAATATATTATTTTAAATGTACGACACTGTGACCAGTTCATACTCTTCCTTGGACAGCGGCGGCGCCGCCAGGAGCCGATTATCCGAGACGACAGGGGCAGGCGGCGCCGCCGGTGCCTGCCAAATTTAGTTTGGAATAACGAGTTCCGACCCGTCAGATGGGGAAATTTAGTTGGTCCCCCTCCGCCGCCGCGGCCACCGCCCCTCCGGTGAGCAGAGTTCGATCTTGTTCTTTTCTTCCCTCTCTCTCCTCTCTCTCTCTCTATCTCTCCGTGACGACGCAGCTTTTCATGGGCTTTAGGGTGGTGGTGGTGGTGGCGCCGCCGCTGATGGGGAAAGCGCCGCCGGTGTTAGGCCAGGGCGCCGGCTTTTTAATCAGCTTTAGAGTTTTAAACCCGCCGCCGCCTGGTCGGCGCCGGGCACGTGGAATCCATCCAACTCACTCCCCCCTGGGACCCACCTCCGAGAGAGAGAGAGACCGATAAAATTATATTATTTCATCTTTTTATTATAAAATTGAAAATAAACGTGGTGCTCCTATTTTTTGACCAGATAATGCGATTATCGGAAGGATTAACTGGGCTGTGTAATTGGCGTCGAGGCCCGGTGTCTGTAAAGCCCATGAAGATAATTAGGCCCGAATAGGAATAATGGGCCGATGACCTGGAGCCGTTTAGGCCCAGTTTTTGGAGGCCCATTATCTGGTCCACGCGCGTCCCTCTGTCGCGTAGGAACACGGGAGCTTTGATGTCAGGAGATACAGCTGACGTCTTACGTTGACGGTGGTTTGATCGAACGGCTGAAAATGCTCCATCCTCTCAAGTGGTCTCCGAGCATCTTCATAAAGCGGTAAGGTCCTCCGCCGTGAGCAGACCTGACGTTGTCTTTTCCCCACTTCGCCCGCGCGGTGAGGGAGGAGGAACGAAGTGGAAGGGGAGAAGGAAGAGTACCGCGGGAGCAATCGAGCCGATTAGGTATGGTGGGAATTCGTCCGATTCTTCCTGACGTTTGTTGAAATCGGGTGGCGGATTCCGCGGAAGATTTCGCGTCTCGATCGATCGCATTTTCCGGGTCCGTCGTAGCGGCCCCGTTCAGCGGGAATATCTTGTTCTTTGTGAATCGATGACGGATTATCCCCTATTTCCTTCTGAATAATGATAGGATTCTTTCAGTAAACTTATTCGCTTAAGGCTTCCCCAGCCTTTTTATCGGATGCTGTTGATTCAACTCTGAACTTGATCGTGCTTTCCCTTGTTTACTTTTTGGTAACGTATTAAGTTTGTTCATCGCATGCAGCAACGCGCTGAAACCTCTTTTTGCTCTTTTCTGAAGCCTCCTTTAGTGTCCATTACCTCATTCCATGCGTATTTGAGTGATGAACCTTTGGCGATTGACGTACTGCGAAGAAGAAGAGGAGGCTTTTCGATATGGCCATCAATGCTCTGCACGTCTCTTTGTTCTCCACGGTGCTGAGCTTTGTCGGCTTGCAGTGGTGGACCTCCACACTTCTTGGAAGGATAAAAGCAGATGGCTTGGTTGATGAGGGAAAAGATGACGATGCAGGGCATTTGCTGGAGTTACTTCTGGGTTCGCATGCCACTATCGCTTTGTTGTTGAATTTTGTGGTCAATGTTTTTGCACTGGCAATTCTATGTCTTAAGGTAACTCTTCATCTTTTTGATATTTCGCTTTGAACTCTTAATCAGTTTATTATGTTTATCATCCAATCTCAAATCCTGTTAGACAGTCCATTCATTACTCAGCTATGATTTTTGGTCTTTTGTACATTAAAAAATTCCATTTCGTTAGTCGTGGAAGTGGAAGGGCCTTTTGAATTGGGAATCAATTTGACTAGCGAATGATTGATTATATAACCGTCAGGGGAATACTGATAGTTTGCAGCAGGTACCAGTAGGTTCACTAGCGTGTATTTAGCTGTGACGTTGTGAATTGGTATTGCGAGGAATTAAAAAATATGCAGACATGTAGAAAGATGTATTGGCATGAGAAACGGAATTTGTTTTTCCGTATCTGCTGTATGAAGACAAGTAATCTGCTACCGTGTATGATATTTGCTTTTTATCAGTGGAATATATGTTTATCAGGTTTTTAAGCAAACTCGTTAAAGCTTGTAACATAAAGTGACAAAAATGTTATGATGAGGATGTAATGTAATATCCGTATAGACCATTCAGTTATATTCCCTCCTGTTAAATGTATGTAACCCTAGTTAGCCTTTATGGTTCATCTGACTTTCTTATTGTTCATTCCAGAATTTTTTCAAGGGCATATAGACGTCTGCTCACTTAATAGATAATGAGAACTATAAAAGGAGTATTTCAACTATGGTTGATCGACTTGGGCAGCTTGATATTTTAACCATATATAAGACTAATCTCTAGGTCTGTTAGTGACGTATGGTATCTAAAAACGCGAATTGCCATGTAGTCTTTTGGCCAAGTTTTGTTGTGAGGCTAGTATCTTGAGAAAAAATCGCCTGCATTACATCATTGTATCTAATTATTAGGTACCAACCAGATCTATGATTATGATGAACACAAAATTTTCATGGAAGTGTTGAGAAATTTGCATTTATATTTATGCTCGCTTGTTTACCCTTTTAATTGTATTGGATAGACTCCATTTTGAGTAAAAAAAGGATACTGATCAATGAGATAAAATTTTCAATTTATCTACTTTTTCTTCTAATGAACATCTATTCTAAAACACATTTTTTTGTTATATGCAGACCATATTTTTTGTGCAGTTGAATTCTTCAGAGACTCGGAAAGTGGTGGAGCGAGCAGTTAATTATGTTTTCTACAAGGTGATTGGCAGTTTAAAGGTTTTTTAACAATTTTGCGCATTGGCATTTCTTTTTTTTCATCGCTGCTGAAATTTTCGTTCAATTGTATCACTATGGTTGCATATTCTTCAATTAGTTTATACTTCTAAGGTGATTGCTAACTCAGATGATTTTACATTGTGATCTGAACATGGTACACGTGTCATATATTATATTCCGATCATAATAGATGACGAGGAAGTTACAAAAAAAGTTTTTGTTGGCTTACAAGATAAGAAGACCTACTAATCCCATGGGACAGGAGAATAGGTATTGCTTTCAGAGTATGTGTAAGAGCTATGGAAACGTTTGTAAACTCGCTGCCAAAGGGGCATTGTTACCCTGTACAAACCATGTGTTTCAGTGTTTTTTCTTTATCCTGACACTTTTCTCGATGATTCTTTTTACTCTTAGAGAAGAAAGAAAGAAGAAAAGCTATGAACTCCAATTCCACTGGCAGATTCCATTCTTTGAAATATGAAAGAGGATTCTATCCTACAATCAAGAATTGTTGAATTTCGTGTACTACTAAAAGTATTTGTACTTATTTTCTCTCCTAATAACATTTATGAGGTAATTTTTCGAAGATTGTATTTATTTTTGTATTAGTTCTTCTTAAATTTGGAATCTAAAGTCGGTATTTTATTCGATTGTTGAAGCTTGCAGGCCTTTATTTTTTACTAAGCGGGGGAAGACCGACCTTCAGCTTGTTGGATTAATTTTTGTTTGTCTTTTTGCATTCTATCTTAGCCTCATTAGCAACGCCTGATTTATGTGTAGACAAGCGTGTGTCTACAGTTTTGTCACCTCGAAAATACTTGGCTAGTTTTCTGTCTGCTTAGGAACGCAAAAAGATTAGCTTCACGTTGAGAAGAGGGACACATGAGGTTAGCGGCGGGGAAATGATGAAAAATGCGCTAGGCATTTTAGATTTATGCTTGTGCTGATGGTATCCTCACTTTATTTCTCTCTTGGCAAGTACACAGAAAAGCACATATCTTTTCTCATTGTTAAAAGTGTTTCTTCCCCTTTTTGTCTTCACTCTCTCCAAATTCTAGAGAAACTTGTGGGTTTCTCCCTTGATATAGGAGCTTGAACCATGCAACAAATAAAGTAGTTTTCTGTGGAAACAGCCCTCAAATTATCTCTCTTCTTAATCATATCGACTCATTATTTATTTTATTTTATTTTGGTATTAATCTTCTAATTTGAGCCACTTCTCGGTTTCTACGGAACATGTTGAAACCTTTTTAATAGGTCCTCTCATATTGTTCCTGTGGGTGCCTAAATGCTCTTTTGGAATTCTATGTCTATGTGGATTTACATTTGTCCACATTTACATTCCATTCAGGCAATAACTATCCTTGTTTTCATGCGACTTTCTTAAATTAATTAGAAAAGAGGTCAATACTATGTGCACTATTTCATGGAAATGGTTTTTATTTTTTAATAAAAAAATCACTCTGAGCTGTTTTTCTTATGAATCTGCTTTTCGTTATGGAGATCATAGCAGGAAACAAATATGTGGTGCAATCATTTTTCAGCCATAATAGTTTAATGTTTTTTGACCTGCACATGCTGATTCGATGCTGATGTCATTAAGTAGTAAAAGACTTCAAGAGTTTTTTTGGCTTACCCTAATTTTTCTGAAGCAATGGTGTCCAATGAAATTGTAATTGTGCTCTCAGTCGGAGAATCCTGAAAAATATTGAAACCATGGAGGGTTGAAAGCTATTGGGGAAAGATTGTCCCGTATGATATACTTATCTTGCAATGTGATTTGCCAAACAGTTTGTGATTTTATTTTTCCATTGGCGTATTATTTATATTGTTGCATTTGTTTTGACAGGGTATCTTCCTTCCATTGATCATTCCACCTAATGCTTTTCAAGTGGCTATTTGGTCTGCTTGGGTTGTTACTCTTTGTACGTTAAAGGTATGAACATGCATAATATGTCACTGGCGTCCTATATTTACTCCCTCTCACCGTTTCACGGAAACATATGTTTGACCAATCATTACTAAGCTAGCTTTATGACTTATCTGCAGATGTTTCAAACATTGGCTAGAGACAGACTTGAGAGACTGAATGCATCCCCTTCTGCTACACCCTGGATGTATTTTCGTGTTTTTTCCGCCTTATTAATGGTTCTCTCCACTGATCTTCTCTGGTACTATGCCATTCTCTATTGCTTTTTGTACATATACTATTTTGTTGGAGGCTCCATTTTCGGTAGCTTTATTTTACTTCTACAGTGGATTTTTTTCTATCTGCCTGCAATTTCCATTTGCGTGGTGAGATTTAAATCTAGAATATGTTTGTTAGCAGTATCAGAAGATTTGTTGGATTCTCCATTATAACACTCAGACTCAAGGAATAATTTGTCTTTTGTGTTGACCTAATTCGAGAAAATCTTACTTGATACCTGATTCGTGGGTATAGGCGGCACTGGGTTTCATTTTCTTGATATTCTTCCAGAGTATGATGTGTGGAAAATAGCCTATGGGCAGTATGTGTTTCAAGTGGGTTCTTCTGCTTCTTTGTCCTGCATGCTTTGTTGATGGCTATCTGGTGAGAGTTCTGATCTCATCTCTAACGTTTGATAGACTGTCAGTGCAAATAAGAAGGTGATTCATTCAACAATGTTGTCTCCATTTGGAAATCTCTTGGATCATTGAACCATTCCCATAGTTCCCGCAAAAAAATATTTTCTTGATTTGGAAGAAAAACAATAACTACCACCTTAAGTTTTTTTATAGTATTTCAAGACTCAGATGGAATTGTCTTTCTGGAAAGCAGGTATGACTTCTAGTCATCGAATATTCGGAAGAAAAGGAGTGAGGTATATGTGTATAATTTGATGCGAGCTGTGTACACCAAGTTTATGTAGGCCACACCAGCAAGCCAAAAGATGAGAGGTCCCAAAATCCTCATAAGCGTTTATGTTTGTAGAAGTCCGTGTCTTGTGTGGTTATATTTGTGGAATTTAGAATCTTTTGGAAGATTAGTTGAGAAATTCACGCCTCTTGTATGGTACTGCATGTCTGTGAGGAGTGTCTTATTTGCGATTGGTATTTATTATTGGTGGCATTCTTCCAGTGTATCATTATGATGACGCGAATGTTATAATGAAAAATCACACACGAATGGAGTAATCTTGAGAAATGCACAATTTTTTCTGTGTTAGTCTCTTGACCAGTGACCTTTGATATGCCTTTTTCTGTCTGCTGTTTTCCGATCCTTTTTGTCCTCTTAATTCATCTTCCCAAAAATGTTATACAATTTTCTTTCAACAGAAAAACTTTTCAAAAGATTTTTTTTCATGTTTTCCTCTATATATACTCTTCTTTTGACTTTCCAAATGTTTTCCCTTGCATAATTTTACTACTCTAATGCCTATTTTACCTATGCAGGATGAGATTCTGTATGGTTATATATAAGGTTCTGGATTCTAGCATGTTTCTGCTGCTATTTTTTGAGCCTTCGAGCATTGCATTTGAGACCCTCCAGGTTTTGCTCTGACTTTTCTTCAGTTATTTTTATCTCCATGTACATAACCTTGTGGACGGTTCATGATCTATGGATGGTTTTGAAGAGCGATTAAAGATCTGTTTTATCCTTGCTGTGTGCTTCTTAGATTGCTGCTATTGTCCGCATGGAATCATAGCAATAGATTGCATATTTAAATTAGTTTCAGGGAATATAAAGAGCATCTTAGTGTCTCACCTTTATTTTTTTAAAACTTTTGTGTAGGCGCTTATGGTTCACGGGTTTCACTTGCTTGAGTTGTGGAACCGTCATTCAGCTGATCATAGCATGGAGTGCCTAGGGATTCAGTCCAATAAATTTGCCACAGGTAATAAAAACAGTTAAACCCTCATAAAAATAGTCTGAAATGCTGTATTAGGATGGAAACGTTAGTTATATTTATCATTTTTCTTAATTATGTCCATTTTATTATTATTGTAAGGTTGTTTAACTTTGCTGCGTCTGAAATGAAGCACTGTACATCCTAATAAATTTTTGTTCTAAGGTGTGAAGGGAAAGGAGATAGCATATATACATTAGAAGCATGGCGAATGGGTTCCATATCCTTATGGATCCAAATAGCTGATTAGCAACTATAAGGAAAAAGGAGATTGATGATGCTTGCTTCCCACGTCCCATATTTCAAGGGAAATAAATACGAACTATATGGAAGCCAGACAATGATGCGTAAGAATAACAGAGATACTCAAAAAGAGAGTTGACCGAATAAGAGCACGCTGATTTTCCTGTCCTCTGCCGATCTTCCCTGTTATTCGGATATCCTGAAATGTTAGAGACAGAAGGTTTTAAGGTTTTGAGTGACGACTAGGATATAGCAAGTTGATAGGAAGTTCAGGTGAGTAGTCTCAAGAGGAATAGTGGGTCAGTGATGTAATGAGGAGAATCAGGGAGTGGTACTTATCCTATGACATGTTGTGCGAGGATCCATAAAAATGGAATTTACTTTGAGGTCATCAGAGAACTAATTCCCGAGGACTGTGTAGTCACATGAATACCCGAGATGCTAGGCAGCTTTTCATGCTCAGTACGAGATAGGAAGATGATATCAGGGGCAATGGAAGTAACCGTAGTGTGATCGATTAATAACAGAGGAAGTAATTCTTAAAGCCGATATAAACTTGCTAAATTTTTCCAAAGACGTTTTTGATGTATGATCTGCTTGTCCACAGCTAACATAATGTCACGTACCACTATGTTGACTCTCAGTTTCCCCTTGAACTCCATCCTGAACCACAAGATCTTTCACCGTAACCCAAGTTTCATCACACATCATGGCAGAACTCTCGATTGGAGTTGTAGCAGAAGACATGGTAACATATTGGGTACCAAAGAAAATATTGGATAGTGAAGATAATAAATCTGTAGCAATTAATTTGCTCTGCATAGATGAGAGATTATGATTTATGTCGTTTAGAAATTTTCCTGCTTTTTCTTTAATTGTGCATTCTGCTTTTGAATATATGCTTAGAATGATTCGTACGGTCCAAGTTTTTCTCATATGCCCTCTTGGTGGTATAATATTCATCTAGGAATGATTCCCTCACTAGAAACGAAAATCTTTTCATCAATCTCATAGACCATAGATGCATTCGTAAGACATCTCGTTTGTAGTCTTGACATAAATAACATGCTTTAATACCAATCAAGAGCCACAACGTAACAAAATTGTCATATTTCCCTTGTAGAGTACAGTTATCATCTTTGACATCAACTAGTCCATAAGGTTAGATAAAAGTTCTTGAGCCCAGAAAGATGCCCAAGATGAGTCAACCCATTCAATTTTATGGTAGCATCTCGTTAGAATTGGTTGTACCTAGGAGAACTGACCATGCTAAGTGAATAGTTGCCCACCGATCAATAGAGATATGTGAAGTACAGCAATGCCTGTGGTACATATAACACACCGAGCAAATGAGATACAGAGAAGCACACCAATATTTGTATTATTAGTGTTGGAGTTATCTAATATTTAGTTAATTGATTGACAAGATGAACATGAAAATATACACGAAAAAACGGGTGGATGCTATGTGCACTTATATTTTTGTCTGGGGAGTCCTTTCTATGCCAGTTCAGGTGGAGAAAGATCCTACTAGGCTTGCAGTTGAAACGTAATAGCGCCAATATTTAGGACAGCTGCTCTAACAGAAGCAAGAGCAAAAATTAACTTGCCAAAATTTGTGCAACAATTGTTTTATTTATTCATTCAATTTTATCTCTTGAAACTATAAGACTTTCAAGTGAGTGAGCTTGTTTGTATGGTTGTGTAATCCATGGTGTTATTGAATATCAATGTTGCTTTTTGATCTCTCGTGTAGGCTAATTTTTCTTTTTCTTGAAGAAAATCGCGGTGCCAAATCCACAGTTTAGACATTCATGTGTTGTAGTCAAATTTCCAAAAAATTATGGTTACCTGTACCTGATTCCACTATTCATATGACCCCATTCCCATATTCAGGTGTCGTGCGTAAACCGTGTGTGCTTTGTCATAGTACAACCGTGTTATCAATGCCATATCTGGTGGTTTTGTTTCCCATGTTCTTTTGTGTTTCTGTCACAAGAACAGCTAAATTGTCAATATGACGAGCAACTACTTAAAATATGTATGCAAATACCAACTACTGCCAGCCATAACTTGCTTATTAATATATTATGTTGCAGGATGTTTTGGTGAATGGAAAGGCATTCTTGCTCGGGATTTCAGTTTTCTTCTTGATATGCTGACCTTACTAACAGCTCTGGGGCATTATTTGATCATCTGGTGGCTGCATGGCTTGGGATTTCACCTCTTGGATGCAGTTCTTTTTATGAATCTGCGTGTAAGTGATAACAAATTTATCACATTTTTTCTCTCTAGAATTCTATGATCGCCCCCCCCCTTTTTTCAGATATATGATTCCAATATGCTGTATATGTAAATAAACCTTACAGGCTTTAATCGGTGGAATCATAAAAAGAGTCAAAGGATACATCAAACTAAGGAAAGCATTGCTTTCTCTTGATGTGTCACTTCCTGATGCTACGTCAGAAGAGCTACGCACATTTGATGACGAGTGTGCTATTTGTCGGGTAATAGTTTTCCAATCCCCTTTTATTGGTTTGTTTTCAATGGAAGCTTAATTATTACTGTTTATGCTATCCCTTCCAGGAACCAATGTCAAGGGCTAAAAAGCTATCTTGCAACCATCTTTTTCATCTGTCATGCTTGAAATCTTGGTAAGAATTACCCATATTTTGTGTAGCTGGGGACAATGGTTTGTGTTCACAGGGCAACATTTTTCCATAGAAAGGGAAGGGACCCTGTTTATATAAGTAGTATGTATGTAATCTGGGGTCAAGCAGCCTGCTCTTGGATATTTTTGCTTGATGGAGTAATCATATCATCCAAGAAAGATGAATGAAGAATTACAGCCTCACGCATGCTTATTATCTCGTTTTTGCAAAGTTTAGCCCAAGGAATTGCCTTCTCCACTTGTATTGCCACTTTCATGTCATCTATTAATAATACTTTCTGGCGTTACTCCGCTCCACGGCTTCCGTTTCTGTGATCCCACTTCGCACATCGTCACCGTTTTTCTTATCAGGTTGGATCAAGGCTTAGCGGATGTCTATTCGTGCCCTACTTGCCGAAGACCCCTTTTCTTATCTAGCTCCAGAGATCATGCGAGCTCCAACACGAGGGGGGGCTCAACTACTGAACAACAGGCGCATTCGGGGTTGGACGAACACAGAGCATCTGCACCTGCGATTGCGCAGCCACAGATCCCTCCTGACAGCATCTGGAGGTCCTCTGCTGCTTATTTTTATTTATTTTCTTATCTTCTCAGAATGCTTGAGGCTCTGCCATGAAAAATCTAAGGGATCTACGTCTTATCACTGTGCTGTTGTTGCATCCATTCTCATTTAATGATAATAATTAAGATTTTGCCTAGAATATATTCACATATTTGCACTTTCCTTGCCGATTTATAAACTTACCTGCTTCTGTTCGTTCGTTGATTTTTTGGCTTGCTTCCACATAATTTCTGTTATTTTGCCCGTAATGTATGTCTTTCTGTTTCCATGTCGGAGAAGGGAAATTTATATGGGTCAAATCCTTGGAGATCTTTCAGTTCTTCATATAAATGACAGTTATTTATCTCTTCGCAGCCATCCAGCAACGTCCTACAGAATTAAATATTGTTTTCTGAGATGTAATTGGGTATGTGGTGCTAAGAATAGATATTATTGCTGAAAAATCCTGCTTTTTTAAAAGTCAATTATGGATGATGATCTTTTTTGAAACCTTTCGTCCCTTGACCTGATCATATATATCTGGTTAATGCTATGTTTCTCAGAGAGCCAAATACAACGTTTTAGCCGCGTCTCACCTTGTCTACTTGTTCTTTCTTTACTTCCAACTCTACCGCATTAGCGAGTCAACCTCGTGCTCCTTTTCTACCTGCATTTTCCAGGGGGTCGGGGGTTGACTCCGCGTGGGGACCTCACAGGCCACGCCCTGCTGCGGATGACGCGAGCACATCTGGCGGGAGGTCAACGGGCCTGGACAGAGTCCAGTTGATGATGAGACACCTGGCATCTGTGGGCGAAACATACGCCCATGGCGCCCTGGAAGACTCCAGCTGGAACATATGGCCCGCCCCTTCCCCGTCCGCGTCCCCGTCCGGGCCCTCCCCCTCCATTACTCTCAGGAACCGAAGAAGCTCTGCTGGGCTGAGATTCAGGAACCCACCGCCCTCTCCGGCAGAGAGTTCCTCGGAGATGCTCGCCATGGCAGATAGAGTCCGCGAGGTCCTTCCCCACATCCCCGATGAGCTAATAATCCAGGTACTGCTCCCCGTTGACTTTTCCCTAATGATTCCACTCAGTTTGCCAATTCTTGATAATCTCATTTCCTTGTTCTCAGGACCTGCGGAGAACCAATAATGTTGCAATGACCGTAAATAACTTCCTCCCATCGTAGAATCGCTTCAATCCCTTTCCCTGAGAAGCTTATGTACAGCCTGTACATTTTAGGCCGGGCTGGGGCTGCCATCACTCCCCTCCCCCCATTTCTTGCCCACAAGATCTCCCTTCTATATATATATATATATATAGATGCCCATGTTTATCCCATAAGCTTTGTAGAGTATGATGATATATTTTTTTTGTGAGTGTCGTCGCCTGTGCCCTTCCTAAGGTTCTTCCTACTTACCTGTATCGAATAATGTCTTCATCATCATATAGTATGTGTCTGTCTGCTTGGCGCAATGGCCGGTGTAGACACCCCCCAACCCCCCTCCGTGCACTCACATGGATCTGTAATTTTCTTGGCTATTTCCTGTTTGGGTATGGAGTAGTTGAAATATGATGTTTTCTCTCCGGAATGTGGTTCCTTAAAACTAATTTATTTTTATTTTTATTTTTTTGAAACTAGGAATTAGGAATACCTAATAAAGTTAGAAATACTTTATTCTTCCTCAGGGTGAAGAATAGAGGTTTATTTTATTTTATTTTATTTATTTATTTATTTAATCTCACACTTTGTTCTTCCTAATGGGTGATGATGATACCTATGAACTCCTGGAGGACAGGTTTAGTGGGGCCTAATGAGGGCCTTAAAGGGAAATAAATTAGTTCTCATTAAATTAATTTATTTTAATGAAAATGAGCAAGACTGCCCGTACTATTTACAGGATTTTTACGATCATAATTAATATTTCAACATGATAATATCTTGAATAATTAGGTTAATAACTAATGCCGTGGTCTTGCCCCCTACATCATTCCCTTGCCGTAGTCCGGATTCATTAAAAAACAATTATTGATATAATAATATGACAAAAATATTAATAAATTTATCAATAAAATATGGAGATAAAATGTCAGAATTTAATAAAAATAATTAGGTGAGTGACGTTCAACATTCCACGCCAGCAAGCGCACTTATTTTCCTATTCAGTTCCACGGTTGACCGGCGGTAGCCGGTTTCGCTTCCTCCCTCTGCGCGTCGGTCGAGGAGAACGCCTCTTCGTCTCGGTCTCCCCATGTGACAGATAGATAGCCTAATCCGACTTCCTCTCACCTACTTTCTTATATCCTCAAAACTAGTTTTCTTTCAAAATTTGATATTTATCCTTTCTACCATATATTAATGGAAAATTAGTGCACAGACGCAATACGATTATTTTATAAATAACGTAAAAATACAATTTGTTAAAAAAAGAGTATTTAAATAGAAAGATAAGTATTGTAGGAATAGATGCGAAAAATGACGTGAGCCTTTCCTTCACCCGAGTTCTCTCTAACAGCGACGTGTCCTGCACTCCTCTCTATCTCTCTCTCTCTCTATCTCCCTCTAAAAGCGACGTGCCCTGCACTCTTCTCCTTCTTCCTTCTCTCTCCGTCTCGGCCAAGAAACCACGAGGTCGCACTCCATCTTCTTTCGTCTTGACGAGACTTGAAGTTTCTTGTCCCCTCCTCTGCCTTCTTCCACCCTCCGTGCGGTTCCGGGGGGCATCTTCTCTGATCCCCATCTGCCGGCTGCTTCTCGTCTGGTCTTTGAGGGTACAGCCTCCCCTTGATTCCTCGGTCTCGTTTTTCCAATCCGACAACGGGTAAAGCTTTTTCGGCGTTTTTTCCGCGGCGATGATAAACTTGTTTGGATTGTGATGGCTCCGTCAATTGATTTCATGTCTAGCATTATTCTCTCTCACGATTGAGATTGTTCTTGTTCGTGATCCTTGTGTAACCGGTCGACTTCTTCACCGGTGTGCGACTTCGCCGGGGAGGATCAGTGATCAATTCCCGCCCCTCTTCGTCTCGTGGTTCACGTTTTCGTATCCCTCCCTTTCGAGCCTTTTTTTTTTAATCCTTCGTCCATCGTCCTCGTCCTTCTTCTGATCCTCCTCCTCCTCCTCCATCTTCTCCATCCTCTCCTAGCCTCCTCCCTTTTAAATAATCTTCTGATTTACTGCTTTGACCGCAGGAGGGATGGCGAAGAGCTCCTTCAAACAAGAGCATGATCTCGGTATGCGCGATGCATTCAGCCACCCGTATCAGCTCTATTTTCTTCTACCTCATTTACTCGAATGTCTCATGAATCCACTCCGAAAAATTAAATCATAGCCCTAAATAATTTTCAGCGAAGCGAAGTGCAGAGTCTGCGAGGATCAGAGAGAAGTACCCTGATCGGATTCCGGTAAGAACCCGTCGTGGATCTCGTTTCATTATCCCTATGAATTGACACAACTTTCCGCCCGTTCCTGGTTCTCCTACTTGTCATTAATATGTCCCTCCTCTTCCTCACGAATTTTCCCTGGCTGATTGTTCAATTCTCAATATGGTAGCCCTTAATATCCCAAATCGTGTAGAGATAGATATATGTCCCAACTCTAGATAGGACCCCAAGATCTTATGCCCCAAACTCCATGGCTCCGTGTTTTCTTCTGGATTGAATGGACGTGCATGTTGTTCTTCATGTGCAGATGAATCTTCAAAAATACCATCCCCATAGAAAGGGGAAAATCGATGTAAATCGAAACGTTCATCTGTTTCCGTTCTTGGGGGCATTCTCTCTCTCCTCCACATTCTGCAGAAGCCTGCCGAGCTTCCTTCTTTATCCACCAGGGGCGCTCACAGCCATACTGTAGGAGGCCATGATTGCAAGCTTTGTCCAACCATCTTCCATGGTGTTTTCCATCTCCTCCCCTCATACCCACCATCAGCGGCCACCATAATCAAAGCTCACAACGTCTTTTCTCGAAAGGCCGGCAAGCTTTCCAAGGCCGAGGCGCCATCTCCTTGCCCTTTTAAGCAAAAACCTCTTCTGGTCTTACAACCATTTATGTGCTTCAAGGTGATCGTCGAGAAGGCCGAGAGGAGCGACATCCCCAACATCGACAAGAAAAAGTAAGCAACGCCCTCTGGACACCTCTCTCTGTGCCCAAATGGAGACGGAAAAAAAGAAAAAAGCGAATGATCTCACGGTCGCCGTCCCGCCGCCTCCAACCTGATTGAACATCGCAGGTACCTGGTTCCTGCGGACCTCACCGTCGGGCAGTTCGTCTACGTGATCCGGAAGAGGATAAAGCTCAGCGCCGAGAAGGCCATTTTCATATTCGTTGACAATGTCCTCCCCCCCACAGGTCAACCCACCGGCTCCAATAGAGAGAGAACAGCATTGAAGAACTTGCAGAGCTTCTTCTCCTCGTTTGATATGAAGCCGGTGGATGATGGGTTCTGGGTTTTTTCTTCTCCTGCAGGGGCCATCATGTCGGCGATCTACGAGGAGAAGAAGCACGAGGACGGGTTCCTCTACGTGACCTACAGCGGGGAGAACACGTTCGGGCAGTAGAAGAAGAAGAAGAAGAAGAAGGGGGTCAAAGCCGCCAAGTGTACATGCTGTGCATACCCATTGCGGATCGGATGGCCAGTAAATAATCAAATCTCATCCCGTTTTTAACTTGCGCTAATAATATTGTTGTTGTACCTGTTGGGGCGAGTGGGTTTCATTAATCCCACAAAGACCGGTGCTCTCTACTTCGTCTGTGTGTCGATGGGGCCCAGAGCCGGCCCGACCCTGCTCGAAGCAAAGGAAAAGAACTAGGCATGCTCCTCCTCATATCATCTTATATCGTGCATGAGGAGGCTTGGGATGCGCAGTCCATGCTTTTGTAAGAGGCATCATCATATTAATATAAAGTCGTTCTCATTGGAATCCAAATCCCCGTCTATTTTTCTTTCTTGCAAGGCCCGGGGAGTGCTGGGCCCCCTATTCCCCAAGCCCATTGGCATTACCCTTGAATGGAAAATAATGCAAACTTAAAAGGGCACTTATGACCTTTTAATAGTTCAATATATATATATATATATTAAAATGGAAAATATAAAGATAAGAAATGTGAGTATATAAAGTGTCTCTAAACATAAATATTTGAAAGGAGGAACTTTTTTTCCCTTTTTGGTGTCCTTTCTCTAAAGAAGAGTTATCAAGATATTAGTAAGTGTTCTTAAAAAAAAAACACGTCTAGATCATGAATGGTGGGCTCCCAATTTTTGGGGATTTTTGAGACGGATAAGATATTTGTTCTTCAAGAGAATCACATGCTGCAGCTTACCACGAAGGGTCTGATGGCGCTTATGAATTGAGGGGTTCTTATCCCGAGCTTAAGGTCAACTTCTCCACCTCCCAGCCAGAAGAAATCGGGATCCAGCTTCACAATGGCCTCATCCAAGATCACCTGCAGCGGGCGCAAGAAGAAGGGAAAGTCAACGAGTTGGGCCTTGAAGAATGAAGCTTGGAACAGAAAGGAGGCCCGGTCCGGCCCAACAGCCCGGAAGGGTGGGTGCTCTGAATTGCTCCATAAAAATGATCAGAATAATGATAATAATAAAAGCCAGGAGGTACGATAGGAAATGATGAGGTGGACCAAAGTAGAAGTTTACTGGTATGTCAGAGACCATGCCGATGCAAGTCACCGCATTATGCACAAATCCTGTCAGCTTTTTCGATTCTTCCTCTGGTGCAAGCCTCACTACATATCAACCAAACGATGAATAACTCTTCAACAAAAGTAATAACTCTTCAAGAGAGAGAGAGAGAGAGAGAGAGAGAGAGAATATGTCGCCATATTCTGTCAAGTTTCATAAAGATTGATCAGACCATATTAATCGAAGAGCATCATGAAGATGCTAAAGAACACGTTTCACGTTGCATCATTTTTTCATCTGTGGAAGATGAGTCCGGGTTAAAGGAACCAGCAGATAGATAACTTACTGTTGAATTTCTTCTTTGGTATCTTCCCCCCATTAAGGGTATACAGGTAATTCTTAATATTCTCAGCATTGAGCTTCGCTGTGTACTGCAGGAGGTCGCTAACAAGAGCATGAAGAACATGAAAAACATGGAGTAAAACCTCAACAAAACGGCGAAAAGTAAAGAGAAAGGCACCTGAATGACGACAACATAATATTTGGAGTTGTTGCGATCACTGCAATCAGTAATGTTGGCAGGGGCTTGCGTATTTACCTGAAAAGGAAAAATAATATAGATCAAGTAAAAGACGTCGAAGAACAGTCAATCTCCCATGAAAGTTTAGGTCATCTACTGAGGGACAGAATCAGACCATGCCATCTACTAATGAACTTTGTGTAACTGCCTTGATCTATTGCACTCATTCAATCAATGGCATATACAATGAGGACAACCATTACTTTCAAGCACTTTTTCTGATATTCTTCACAGATTTCCCAAACAATCATACTCTCGACAGGGGAATAGTTCCTTGGAATCCATTTATAATCAACCCATAAGACAGAGTTTCTCCTGCACACCTATAATGAAATTCCAGACACCAGTGTCAACCCCTCATTTGCTACAACTCAATAAAAGTTGCCCTACTCCCTGAATTTGAGGGCCAAATCTCTCCCTGTAAATATATATGCATAGATACCTCTGTTCTGATGAGAATGTTATACTCCTAGGGTCATAGCAGTTCGGTTGGTGAGAGAAAAATTGATGAATGTTTGACGCAGGACATGTGATGAGAGAAGTACATATTTATGCTTGTGGAGAAAAGAAATAGGGCTGAAGTGCATCTTCATGCACGAGGACGGGCAGGCACATTAAACGTCGTCAGTTCTAAATTTATCAGAGAGAAGGTCAAATATTGCGTCAAATAATAATAGATTCTTCACAGTTCAGATGCCAAGCGTAAATCGATGAACTGATCTTCCATCTCCCATGAAAACCAGACCCTGAAACCCAGTGGAAATGCTCTCGCTCATGGCCTCATCGCCTATCGCATTCAGTATCCACACTTACTCGTACTCAGATATAGAGTTCCTTAAATACATAGAATCGAAAACGGGGAATCCATTTCCTCGCGAATGGAGTGGACGATCCTCAAATTAGAGTTTCCAAAGTAAAGATTTCACCTCTGGACGGCGGAATCTCGGGATGCAATAGTAGTTGGCATTGGTATTTGTCAAAAAAACCAGTTCGGAACACTTGAGTATCTAAATGAAGAGCCATTTGAGGAAAATACCATGACTATGCTCTTGCACAAGTGTTCAGTCGAGTGAGCACCCAGGCATTCCATCCTGTATTCCAGGGTCCTGCAATAGTAATCCGCCGGGACCCGCCTAAACTCGAACTCCCTGACGCCAAGGGTTCTAAGAATGCCGGAGAGACGGGCCACCGTACTCTCCCCGGCGACGCCGCCGCCATCCACATCCCGATCGCGGGAACGAGGCGATGAAATCGAGACGGACGCGAGCTGCTCCGGCAAGAGACGGCGCTCCAGCTCCTCTATCCGTCGAAGAATTGAGAGCTGCGCACCTTCCAGCTCCGCCAAGGGGGGAGGAGCGGGAGCCATTCTCTCCCCCGTCCGAAGCTCCCCACGACCCGAAAAGGGAAGAGGGAGAAATCTGAAGCCAAAGCCCTGGCAGTATAATCCCCCTCAATTTTGCATTTAAACCCCTCGTTCTTTCCGAAATCTAAAAGCGATTCACGAATGCTTCGAATCTCTGTAGCCCTAAATCGTGCTCAAAATAATTAATTCTAAAATGTTAGACGCATATCTCTGTATCGTGCTCAAAATTATTCTAAAATTATTTTCAGAAAAACCAATCGACGACTATTTTGACTTTGAAAGTCTGGAATCTTCTAAATTTATCATTTTGACTTTGACCCCTGGATTTACTAATGAGGTGTTTGACCCATCTACCAACCCAATTTGCCGGCTTATTTTTACAGCAGCCTGGTCCATAGCGAGGCACATCTTCACGACCGTACGCCTACTTGGATAACACACGGTAACAAGAATTTCCCCGGAATTTCAACGTGAGCGCTGACTTCTGGGTTTCTTCCGGGTGAGCGCATTACTTATTTAATTAATAAATACCAATTCAGTCTTGCACGGCTGATCGCGTGCTAGTCAACTCTAGGTTTCGTCGACTCCTACCGCGCGTCAAAGTTGTTGGGTCACGTAAATTATAATTAATTTATAAATGAGTGGAGAGCAATTTCCCTTATATTCTGTAGATTTCTTCCCTAATAAATAACATACGACTATTCATATCTATAAATATTCCTCTCTCTCTCTCTCCTTGCCGATGGTTTGGGGGCCTCCACTGTGGGGGCCCATTGTTTTGAAGCCCAGGACCGGAGGCGTACGGCGTCGTTAAGGAGGACGTTAACGGAGGGCGTCCACTTCGGCCGTTAAGACCGACGAGGCCGTCAATCTAGACGGTCCTCGCGAAGAACGGACTCATCCGCGGTGAATGGTCTAACGCGGGAACACCCGTCAAGTCTTGTTCCCTGCGTGTCGAGACGATGGCGAAACTTCCTCCCCCAACTCTAAAACACAACAGACCATGTGGCGGGAATGAGAGAAAGGGATATATATATTATATATATGTAGAGAGAGAGAGAGAGAGGTAGATAGAGAGGGAGAAGAAAGAGAGGCAGGGCAGAAGGAGAGGGAGGGTAAAGGAAACGAAGTGGAGATCTGAGGGAGAGAGAGAGAGAGAGGGAGAGGGAGGAGAGGGAGGTGGAAATCTGAGGGAGAGAAGATGAAGAGGGAGTCGTCGCTGACGGAGTTAGGGTTAGCGCTGGACGTGAGCAGGTCGGTCGTGAAGCCGATCCACGACGCGGCCCCATCGCCGAAGGTGAAGCGGCGCACGAAGGTCTCGGTGATCGGGGTGGGGAACGTGGGGATGGCCATCGCGCAGACGATCCTCACGCAGGATCTCGCTGACGAGCTCGCCCTTGTCGACTGCAACGCCGACAAGCTCCGCGGGGAGATGCTCGATCTGCAGCACGCCGCCGGATTCCTCCCCGGCACTCGCATCGTCGCCTCGACCGACTACGCCGTGACCGCCGGCTCCGACGTGTACGTGGTCACGGCGGGGGCAAGGCAGATCCCAGGGGAGTCGCGGCTGGACCTCGTCCACCGCAACGTGGAGCTCTTCCGCTCCATCGTGCCGCCGCTGGCCAGGATGTCCCCCGACGCTATCCTCCTGATCGTCTCCAACCCCGTCGATGTCCTCACCTACGTAGCCTGGAAGCTCTCCGGCTTCCCCTCCAACCGCGTCATCGGCTCCGGCACCAACCTCGACAGCTCCCGCTTCCGATTCCTCCTCGCCGACCACCTCGACGTCAACGCCCAGGACGTCCAGGTACGCCCCAAGACCCAACCCTTCCCTCCATTCTTCTTTCCTCTCCTTCTCCTTTCTCCTCATTTGTTATGGTTTCTCTGTGACCAATGGCAGGCGTACATGGTGGGGGAGCACGGGGACACGTCGGTGGCGCTGTGGTCGAGCATCAGCGTTGGGGGGGTGCCGGTGCTGGCGTCGCTGATTGGGGACGGCAAGGGGCCGGAGGTGGTGGAGTACGAGAGGGGGATGCTGGAGAAGATCCGCAAGGCGGTGGTGGACTGCGCCTACGAGGTGATCCGGCTCAAGGGCTACACCTCCTGGGCAATCGGCTACTCGGTCGCCAGCCTCGTGCGTACGCTGCTGCGCGACCAGCGGCGGATCCACCCGGTCTCCCTCCTCGCCAAGGGCTTCCACGGCATCGACGACGACCGGGAGGTCTTCCTCAGCCTCCCCGCGCAGCTCGGTAGGGGCGGCGTCCTCGGCGTCGTCAGCGTGCAAGTGACGGAGATGGAGGCCGCGCGGCTGCGACAGTCGGCGGAGACTCTCTGGGAGGTGCAGAGCCACCTAGGTCTCTGAGGCCGGCCCTGGTAGGCGCCGTCCTACATACCTACGAATCGAAGGCTGGCTCTCCAATTTACCTTTCGACCAGGTGCGATCTCCAAGCCGCATTTTTTTTTTCCTTCTCTTTCGGCAATTCATGTTTATGCCATGTAAAAGTCATGCACGTGTTAGATGTGATGATCTCAGACTTGAAGCTCCATGATTCTAGTATGGTATGGAAGAAGAGTGGGGAAATAATTTGTTCAAACGTTTGATGCCATTGATGATTCGTTATTCATCAATGATTTTATGAACATTTTCCTCTCACTAAGTAACGAAGTATTATAGAAAATGCGTGTAAAAAGCATCGCTTTTGTAAATATGTGTATAATGATGTTCATTTATTTCGTGTATGAAAAATGTGTGCATAAAATATAAAGGCGTCAATTTGTAAATGATGGGCACTAATTTTGTTTTAGCTCCTTATGAACCCATTAAATTATTAATAAGAACTCACATATTTAGTTAATCTTATAGATATATTATTTTTTATTACTCTACCATCTAATAAGATTTTACTAACATATAATTTAGTAACATGAAAGAAGACTAAATTAGCTATGTAATCACTCAAACAAACTGACACACACTCTCCCTAGTATGTTGGTCTCTTTCTCTCTTTCATTGTTTGGAGACTATTGCCTCACAAGCACCTTGCAAGGTACAACGTGTATTAGCCCTACCCACCCATTTCTTTACCAAAGAATAATTTTGGACTTGGAAGGGACATTTCTCCCCACTATTAGCCCCCCTGCTCTTTATGTCCATCTCTATTGGGTTGACCAATAGAGAAACAACGTCGATAAATATAATTATGTACATGTTTATTTTTTGGGAAGAGATATTTAATTAGATTGATACATAAGTAAAAAAATAATTCTATTTTTTTAAAAAAACAAGTTTAATTCAAAATCATGGGGGCTTATCAATTCAACTGATTTTGGGGGGAGCTAAATCTAAACAACCCTAAAAAAACAACAAAACAATCAATCTTTCGTCATGCCTCAAGATTAATTGATTAACCCCAACTATTTCCTTCACAATATCCAAAGTGTGATGTCATTAATGCAAGTGCTTCCTTGAGCCAATAAACCATTAGATTGGGTCATGGTAATTGGCTCCAAATTCTCAACTCTACCAAGAACTATGGCACATTATAACTCATTGAATTGATTCATATTGGCCCAAAGTTTCTTTGGGACTCAATGTGCATCTAAATGGAGGGAAATTGAGAGGTTAGGCTAATGTAATGAGATGTGTGGACTTGCTCAAATCTGGATAGAATTGTAGATATTGTAACTCACTCAAGTATTATTCATCATTCAATAAATTAACTAGATCCAATAGTTCACCAAGATTCAATAAATTAATTGGATATCATAGTTGGATCTCTCTCTCTCTCTCATCAACCCCATAGTCTTTATCTCCATCTCTATTGATTCAACTAATAAAAAAAATTCAATAAATATAATTATGCACACTTTTAGAAAATAGAGATAATAGAGAAATGACTTCTATCATGGAGGAAAGTGGGATGACCTCTATCATGGAGGATAGAGGAAAGAATGACAAACAATTACTTCAACCTTTCTCCCACCTATTAAGTCTCTTAAATAAGCACAAACATTATAGTTATTTTTCCAAAATTCCCCTAAATTTTAACAATATAACTTCTAACCTTCTAACACTCTCCCTCAAGATAGACTTTAGAATAGTTCATCTTGATTATGTCATTGACAATCATGCCATTGATGATCCATGGTAACTTCGTTACTGAAATTATCTTTAAAATGGTGTAAAAAACTCATCAATTAGACTGAAAGCTACCTCAAACAGGGTCATCATTGTACTAGATGTAGCTCCTCTAGACAAGAACAATCCTACTTCAAACAAAAGCAATGTTGTACTAGATATACCTCTCTTAGACAAGAGCAGTGGTACCTAAAATACAGGCAATATTGTACTGGATACAACTCCCCTAGATAAGTGGCAATACCTCATACAAGGGTATTGTACTTGATATAATTTTTTCAGATAAGAGTAGTGTTACCTCGAATAGAGAGAACATTATACTGGATATAGCTCCCCCAATAAAAACAATGCTCCCTCAAACAAAGGTAGTGTTGTACTTGATACAACTCCCATAGACATGAGCAATGTTTGATTGGTGTTGATGATGGAAGCAGTGGCAACAACAATAGCCATAGTTGCAGTAGCTTTGGGAGTGGGAAAGCCAAATAGGTGATGCAGAATAGAGGCAATGATACCATATAAGGGACAAAACCCTAGGATTTGGGCTCTCTCTAGGACGACATTGAAGTGAGAGGGTGACATTAGACAAAGTGTGCTACCTAATTGGCAGTAGAACTAGATAAGAGGGTGACACAAGACCTAAGGAGGGTTATGCTGAACTAATGGCAGCATTGGACTGTTGGAGGAGATAGTAGTGGTAGTAGCAGCAATGACACCAAATAAGTGACACTTGATAGAAGTAGTGGCAGCATTAGTAAAACCCCAACTCAAATGCCATGTTAGAAAACACAAAAAAGAAGGGACAACTTATGTCATGGATAATAGAGAGAAAAAAATAGACAACCACCTCAACTTTTCTCTCACTTTTTGTCTTAAATAACGATAAATCTTATAGATACATTCCCAAAATACCCTTATCCTTTAACAATATAACCTTTAACCTTTTGACACATTTATTTTTTAGGAAGATATATTTAATTAGATTGATACAAAAGAAAAAAGAGAATATAAAACTTTTTAAGAAATATAACTCAAAATCATAAGGACTTACCAATTCAACTAAATTTTGGGGACCTAAATGTAAATAACTAAAAAAAATCAGAGAACAACCAATTAGCCATCATGCATCAAGATTAAATGATTAACCTCAACTATTGCTCTCACAACATCCTTATTGTGATGTTATTAATAAAAGGGCTTCCTTGAGCTAATAAAGTATTGGATTGGGCAGTGACAACTAGGCCCAAACTTTCAACTATACCTAAAATTTTGGCATGCCAAAACCCACATTGAACTAACTAATATTAGTCTAAGATTTCTTTAGGAGGCAGTGAGCTGGATAGTATTGTTAATGTCGTAACTCACTCAAATATTACTTGTCATTCAGTCAATCAACTAGATTCAATAGTTCACCAATATAGAGTAATAGACTTAGGCTTATTCCTCATTTAAAGAATTAGCCACATCTCTTAGATTTAGTATTTCACTCAGCTATATTAGATTGATAATGACATTCCTTATTAAATTTGTTCACGATGTATATTTTTTTTCTATTTTAGAATAAAATTTATTTCTTTTGTAATATGATTTTCTTCCAAATATAAGAAACTTAAGAATACATGACTCTTTAAAATTATCAAGATAATAATTTTTATATTCGAAATACTAAACATAAGTAGTACAAAAAAATTAGTGTTTGATAGTGGTATCAGACTCCCGGCCCACTGCAGTCTTATATATCCCTCGTCGTCCTCCTCTCCGGTGCGCCGCCCATCTCCGGCGCGCCGCTCTCTTCCTCGCCGGCCTCTTCCCTCCTCGGGCGGCTTCAGCGTCGCCGTTCTTCCCTATTCCGGAGTCATCGTCTTTGCCGTCGCTCTCCTTCTCCTTTCGGCGCCGCCCTCCTCGCCTCCGCTTCCGCCCCTCTCCAGGCCGCCGGCCGCTCCTCCAGGTCGCCATGCCGCCGCCGCCGCCTCCCTCTCCGGCGGTCCCTCCTTCGGCGGCGCCCTTCTGCTCTCGGCGGCGCCAGCCTCCCGACGCCCCGAGCGTCGCCTCCCGGCGTCCTCCCGGGCCAGGCTCTCCTCCTCGTCCACCTCCTCTGGCTCATCGCCCTCGCCTTCTCCGTCGTCCTCGGCCTCTTCTGACCTCTCCGACGCGCCGCCCTCCTCCGGCGGCCCCCTTCTCCTTTCGGCGGCGCTAGCCTCCCGACGCCCCGAGCGTCGCCTCCCGGCGCCCCGTGCGTCGACTCCCGACGCCCCGGGCGTCGACTCCCGGCGCCCCGCCCCACCTCCCGACCCCCCGAGCGTCGCCTCCAGACGCCCCGCGCGTCGCCTCCCGGCGCCCCCTGCCGCCTCCCGGCCCCCAGCGCAGCTCCCGACGCCTCGCGCGTCGTCTCCCGGCGCCGCGCGCCGCCTCCCGAGGCCTCGCACGTCGCCTCCCGACGCGTCAGCGCGTCGCCTCCCGGCGCCCCACGCAGCTTTGGGGACGTCCCGTCCCAACGTCATCTCGTCTCAACCGCCTCCTACGCCATCTCGTCATCTCGTCTCAACCGCCTCCTACGCCATCTCGTCGTCTCGTCGCAATATATGTCGCAAACGTTTTCACGAAGAGTTTGGCCACATGTCCTACGACGCTGTATGTACCAAGCTGGGTATCGGACTCTCGTCCCACTAGGGCTCATTATCTCTCTCTCTCTTCTCATCTCTTTTTCTTAATCTATTCTATATAATCTCATGTACTCTTCTTAGAGGAGGATTACAGATTCTAGGATTTCCTCTCCTGTGTCAACAATTAGACGCTCATAAGTATGAAAATTAACATCATTCTCAATCTCTCATTTTTGGCTAGTTAAAGTGAGTATAAATCAATCATACCTCACCTGCAGGTGAGGAAAGTACCTTACAAACTTAGGTCTTCTTCTATGATTTTGAAGAAACTTTATCCATAATAGTAAGTAAAATAGTGGAAATAATAGATAAATTAGAAGAACAAAATGATTACAATTATGGAAAGATCCCTAGAATAAGAATGTGAGCTAAATAATAGTCTTTCGAGAGTACTATCTATCTCCTTGATGCAAAACACCTAATCCCCATCTCTCCTTTTTTGTTCATGATGATTTAATACTCTCCCCCTCCTTTCCTCCCATAGAATTTATAATTCCTGAACCTCTAGAAGGCTGCTTTATGTTTTAGTTACTGAGACTGTTAGGCCCGTTAAGTCCTATTCATTACTTCTCTATGTGAGTGATACCTTGTACTTAAGGTGGAAATTAGAGATTTGTAGATGTAGTTTCAGTGTGGTCTAAAACATAGATTGTCTGATTGGATTAATAAATTATCTCATTGAATAATATTTATCATCTATTAGTGAATGGTCAACTTGAAACATTGTGTGGTTTAATAATCCAATTGAGCTCATCGTCCAATAATGGGAGAGTGACTGGTTGTGATCACTCAGTCTAAATACAATTATCAAATGTGAAATATGAAAGATTGAATGAAGATGTAATTGTCAAAAGTTCTGATCAATAAGCAACTATCCAATCTTGTCAATGATTTTTTGAAGGGAAAAATATTTAGAGAATAATTCCTTATTCAATTTTTTCGCAAGAGAGAGTGCTTGATAAAATCTTAATTTCAAATAAATTGACTCTCCCACTTCATATTGTACTATCATTCTATTGTTGTTTGTTTGGGTTTTTATTTTGGATTATGATTGAGTTAAAATGACACTTTAATGTATACAAAATCACATCTCATCCTTGTAATTGATCATTCATAAAGCCCACTTTTGTATTATGTGGTCTAAAATGCAGCAAAGTTGAAGGATTATAGTCATAATTCACTTTACATGGGGTAGTATTGGTAGAGATATAGAAGTAAGTCTTGTGCATCCTTGATAGTACATTTATAATTTCATTATTTAAACTCACCTTTTAATAGTTCCTTTGATATTCTCATTAGACTTGTTTTCAAATTATATCAAATAGTGTGTATTATAAAGTGCCATTTTATAAGGTAATCTCATAATTCATGAATAACTAATAAGATTGTTTTTTGTTGATTTTCTATTGACAAACCTTGATTAAAATAGGTAATATTCTACAATATTTCATAAGTACTAACCTTATGTAATATAGTATGTTGCATTCAATTCTATCTTAAAAGATTGTGTAAATTTTGATATTTATCCCTAGTATAATTGTCATAGCTATTTTGAACATTTGAAATGTGATATTCACTTCTCCATTCATTGTAAAGAATAATTATTAAAGTTTTAAATGAATGGTAATGATATTACTTTATAGTTTGAAACAAACTATTAGTAGAACCCCTTTAAACACAAAAATTCCTTGAATTAATGTACATTCAAGGGGGTTGACTATTTAAGTATCACCTCTATTTTACCTTAGTTTGCCTCCTCACCCAATGTACAAATCTAATGAACAAATTATTCAATGTATCTTTATCAAAACATATATTTCTTAGTATTAATACTTAATTTTTTTATAATAATATTATAAATATTTGATTTAAATATTTTTCATTTGTCATAATTGTGATTAGAATGTCATAAATAATATGACCACAAATTTTAAAATGTAAGTTTGAAATACATGATGCATTAATGATTAGAATGTGACTGAAATATTAGTGAATTATAATTATATAGCCATGAATTTATTAATGTCCCTCGTGTGCTATGAATGTCATTTTTACGGTATCTTTATTCCTCATACAAATTTTGTGGTATCTTGATCTGATTATATCTAGAGTTTGTGGTTCCATAAAATTGATATAGAAGTTCAACCACCACCAGAATCTTAACTAATATGATACTATTCAACTAAATGCTCTACAATTTACAAAAAATTGTCAACTTATATCCTTTTTATTGATAAGTAGTAAGGACTTAAGTAAGGACTGTTAAAATATTAAATACGAAATAATATGATAATGATGAATAAATATAAGATCAATTAAATAATCCCCTGTTGAAAATTTTTATGCCTTCTACTCATACACTAGTAATCACATGAGAAGAGGATAACAAAAATCAAGCATAAAGCTTCATCTTTAACCATAATTTTAGATATACTTTAGCCAACATTATCATCTGAAAATCTACTTATGGTGATATCTTTTATACTTGTTGTGGCATAAATTAGTGATTGAAATATTATTTCATCACCTGAGAGAGTTATACACATCAATCAATTAGTCTATCTAGAGTTATGAATCCAAAAGAAAAAAAATAAGTAAAAAATACAAGAAAGTTGAGACTAATAATTAATAATACATATGTTGACACAAGAAGGGAAAACCTTAGAATCTATAAATATTAAAGTAGAATATATGACTTATATAGGAGAAATGAGAGATGAGAAAAGAGAGATAGATAATAAGCTCTAGTGGGCTAAGAGTCTAATACTACTATCAAACACTCCTCCTCAAGTTGAAGTATATAAGTCGAACATGTCTAACTTGATACATGTGATGTTGTAGGAGATCTTATTAGACTCTGTGTAAAGACTTCTGCAAGCTGATGAGATATGGTAAATGAAGAGTAGAGATAAGTCCAGACATAATCTTATCTCGAATATAGTGCCAATTGATCTCAATGTACTTTGTACACTCATAAAAATAAGATTGTTGACGATGAAGATGACAATTTGATTGTCGTAATGCATAGGCATTGGAGAGGGACAACCAATGCTGAGATTGTCAAGAAGTGATCAATCATACCATTTTCTGCGTTGTCTTAGCCATGGCTCAATACTCAGATTTCACACTAGAGTAAGACACCACCCTTTATTTCTAAAACCATCATGTGACTAAGTTACCGTCGATGTATGTACAATAACTCGTAATAAACTTCTAGTCATACTTGTCTCTTACATACTTGGCATCAAAGTAGGTTACAATACAGAGATGATCATGTCACCGATAGATGAATCATCTCCTTGGGGCTCACTTGATGTAGGTGAGGACTCGTAGAGCTCCCTTCCAATGAACTCGTCGTGGCTCTTGTATAAATTGACAAAGGACACTAACTATGTACATGATGTCAAGACAAGTGATGGTGAGATATACCAGCTTACCCAACAATCCCTGATACTAGTTAGCATTCTTGAGTAAGGGAGATGAAGTGTCTCAAAACTACAAGTGAGCTTCCATGGGTAAAGTCTCTGACTTGCACCCAAGGAGGCTATCTCTTGAAGTATGTCAAGGGCATACTTTTATTGACTGAAGTCAAACTTCCTATCATGATATATATAAATTTAATCACAAGAAAATACCATAGAGTTCCCAAGTCATAAATGTTAAGGTGCTGCTTCAAGTAGGCTTTGGTATCAGAGATGTCGACCTCATTACTTCCAATCACATGGATGTCGTCGACATAGACTGTAAGGATGATAAGGTTATCTTATGTCTTATTCATGAGCATGGTGGGTCTGCAGTGTAGAAGACAAAACTGAAGGTGATGAGTAAATCACTAAATTTTGTGAACTAAGCATATAGATTCTGCTTGAGCCCATAAATGACACGTTGTAAGAGACACCTTCAATGACTCCCCTTGAGCAACATACTTAGGAGGTTGTTTTATAAAAACTTGCTCTTTGAGATCATCATAGAGAAAGGCATTAGAAGTATTTAACTAGCAGAGAGACTATGTCTGATTGATGACGAGAGAGAGAAATATGCGGATGGAGTTGAGGCAGATGACAGGAGAGAATGTCTTAGTGTAGTCAATTTCATATGTATGTGTGAAGTCTTGAGCGACTAGGTGAGCTTTGTGACAAGTGATGGAGGCATTTAGGTGATACTTGAGGGTAAACACCCACTTGCACGTCACAGTGTTGACATTAGTCGGGTATGGAATCAAATGTCAAGTCCCCCATGTGGCCAATGCAGTCACCTTTAAATCCATGGACATCTTTCATGCAGGTGCTTGTGCAACCTCAACATATGATTGTGGAAGTGACTTAGAGGTTGCAGAAAAGATAGAGGCACAAAAGAAGAGAGAAAAGCGGTCATAAGAGACAAACTAAAGATAAGATGATGGGTACATGCACATCAAAGGTACACAAGGAATTGGAGGGGAGGATGAGGAGTGATGTGAGTTAATCGTTGTATAGTAAATCATGTAAATTTAAAATTTATAAACTAGAAAATAATAATTTTTAGATATTTAGAAGTATTTCAGAATAAATATATCAATTATAATTCAATAAAAGTTTCAAAAATAGTGAAAAAAATTATGTCGACCACAAGGATGTAATATAATATTGGGTAATATTTTAGAAAATTTATGAAAGAATATAAATTTTATGAATTTTAGATTAAGAAATAAAAATAAAATATATTTTAAATTCACAAAAAAAGAAAATAAAGGTGCGGATGTCAAGATGACATCATCACCTAGTGAATGTGAATAAGGTAGAAACAGAGTTTCACTCAACAATTCTTATATAAGTGGTTACAGATGATTTAATCGGTCAAATTAAGATCTATAAAAGTTAAAAAATCAGAATTAAATGAAGAGTAGTTTGAAAATTTTAAATCAGACAAATTATCTCTAAATGACGTCAAAATTAAGTTGAAAGTAGGAAATACAAAGTTCTGATGTCACAATAGTGATACATCAGTGATGTATTGAAATTCTGAGGGTTCAAAAGGATTGTCGTGTAGTGTCCACGACCTTGAAGACTTTTTTTAGATAAGAATGGTGTGGGTAATCTTTATATCATCTTGCGAAGTCTAGATATCAATGAAATGAGTTGTCGAATCATTTTTGGTAGTTGTCACCTAGTGGAGTGAAAAAACAACGACTTTGTGATTCTCCAATGGTTGTCACCTGGTGGAGAGGAGATGGATGGAGGTGGGGTACGTGTTAGAGAGCTTCATCCTCAAGTTTGCACAACAAGAGGAGGCTCTTCATGCATCTATTATACTCTCAAGAGGTGACAACTCGTCTCCTAACATATCGTTCTCTTTTCAACGACAACTTGTTCGTCGATCAATCAAAGATGATTTACTTGATGGATTTGTGATCTTTTTATTACAAATCGTTTAGTAATTTTAGTAATGATACTCTACGAATCGCGTTGACGAGATTTTTCGTCAATGATTAAACGATTTGGCAGCTTAATCTTTCACTTGTGATTTGTAGGAAAATTATGATTTAATCAGATAAAAAAATAAGTTTTGGCTTAGAAGGATTCGAACCCTTGTTGATCGCCCACCTTCTTGAGAATGAATAAGTACTCAAATACTCTTATATAGTGATGTCATCATAATATATTGTTGTTATAAATAAGGGGTAGTTTAGGTATTAAAATTATTAAAAATATTTTGAGAATGTGTGACCATCGATTTGATCTCACATTGGTTATATGTCGAATATATAGTAATATCACATTTAGAACTAATGAGTACCTTTCTTGCATGTGTACAACCATTATTTGCCTCACGCCCTATACTGGCCACTAGTGATGTGGAAGGAGAGTGACACATACGTGTCCTCATTGGTCTATAGCCACTCAAGCTCTTGCTCATGGCTCCACCTTGACTGTGTTTCTGACTCGCTTATGGGCATGGCTGGTCAGTGCCCCCCCCCCCCCCCCCCCCCCCTTCTTTTTATTTTTTATTTTTTCATTTATCTTAAAAATATAATTATAAAAATTATATAATTTTATATAAACTCACATAATTAGCAAAAAATCACCTTAATCAACTAAAAAATACTTTTCATAGTTTAACACAAATATAAGTCTATTTATCATGAGTTAAGGTTAAAAGTATATTATTTATTAATTATTAACTCATGATAATAAAGACTTATCAAGAAGGATACGACATCTAGAGCAAGAGGAGTCACAGGAGACATGGGTTGAGAAAAGGTAAACACGGATAACGACCTCAAAAAGAGTGGACAGGAGGGAAGAGAGGAGGAATAGTTTGTAAGAACCACCAAGGGAAGAAACTTAAGTGGAGGAAACGTAGCAACACGAAGAAGAGGAGTCGAAACTAGGGAGGAGAAAAGAGACATGAAAAATGACGTCGGCCAAAGTCACATAATGATGGGTATCCAAGAGGTGGATGCGATAACCCTTTTGCATGTGAAAGTAGTTGACAAAAATCTATTTAAGAGCACAAGGGGTGAGTTTAGAAAGAGAAGGAGAAGAACTCTAGACAAAGGTGGTGCATCCAAAGACTCGAAGGGAAATAAGAAAAAGAGAGAAATCAAAGATTAAGTGATGGAGAGGAATGACCCCAAAAAAAAAAGTAGAGGGAGGTCAATTCTGGAAATAAGTGGTAGTCAGAAAGGCATCAACCTAGAGATAGTGGGTGGCATTCATCTCAAAAAAAAGTGTACGAGTGATCTCAAGGAGTTGACGATATTTATGTTCAACAATGCCATTCTAATGCGAAGTGTGAGGGTAGGTGGCCTGACGTGACTTAGTCGTTGTATATTAAATCACGTAAATAGAAAATTTATAAAATTAGAAAATACGAATTTTTGGATATTTAGAAGTATTTCTGAACAAATATATCAATTATAATTCAATAAAACTTCCAAAAATAGTGGTAATTTTCCAAATCGATCACATGGATGTAATATAATATCTGGTAATTATTCAGAATTTTTCTCAATAATACTATTTTATATGAATTTTATACTAAGAAATGAAAAGGAAATATATTTAAAATTCACAAAAAAAAAGAAATAAGGGTGCGGACGTCAGGATGACGTCAGTGCCCCAGCGAACGTGAATTGGGCAAAAATAGAGTTTTGTCTAGCGATTCTTACGTAAGCGATTATAGATGATTTAATTGATCAAATTAAGATCTATAAAAGCCAGAAGAATCATAAGTGAACGAAGTATATTTTGGTAAATTAAAATCACACAAATTATCACTAAATGAAGCGTAAAGTAAGTTGAAAGCAGGAAAATAGAGTTCCGACGTCGCGGCGGCGATGCGTCGGCAATGCACTGGAATCCTGAGCGTTCAGGAGGATAGTTGTGTAGTGTCCACGGCCTCGAAGGCTCTCCTTGGACAAGGACGATGTGGGCAATCTCTAGATCTCCTTGCAAAGTCTAGAGATCAATGAAATGGGTCGTCGAATCATCTCTGGCGGTTGTCACCCGGCGGAGCAGAAAAACGGCGACTTTGCGGCTCTCCGGCGGCTGTCACCCGACGGAGAGGAGTTGGATGGAGGTGGGGCGCGTGTCAGGGAGCTTTATCCTCAAGTCCGCGTAGCAAGAGGAGGCTCTTTATCACATCTGGTATGCTCTTAGGAGGTGGCGACTCGTCTCTCAGCGGATCGTCCTCTTCCCGACGACAGCTTGTTCGTCAATCAATTGGAGATGATTTACTCGATGGATTTGCGATCCTTTTATTGCAAATCCTTCAGCAATTTTAGTAACAATGTTCCGCGAATCTCATTGACGAGATTTTCGCTGATGATCCAACGATTTTGGTTACTTAATCCTTCACCGGCGATCAACAGGAAAGTCGTGATAATCAAATAAAAATATGAGTTTTGGCTCTAAGAGGATTCGAACCTGCACCGGTTGCCCCCCTACCTCTTCTAAAGAAGGTGACGGGTTTAGTCCCACATCGGTTGTGCGTCGAATTTTCGGGTGAATATATAGTAACGTTACATTTCTAAGCAAAGTCCCTTTCTCGCGCGTGTATGACCATTCTTTGTCCCACAGTCGGCTGGCCACCGATGACATGGAAGGAGAGTGGCGCACACGTGCCCTCATTGGTTCGAGCCGCTCGAGCCCTTGCTCGTGGCTACTCCCTGACTGCGCTTCCAACCCGTTTCCGACCCGCTTGCGGGCCTGGCTGGTCGGCAGGTCCCCCCCCATTTTGCTATATTTTTATTTTAATTTCTTTTCCTTCATTTATCTCAAAAGTAAGATTGTAAAAATTATATAAAATCACATAATTACCTAAAAAATCATGTTAATCAATTGAAAACTACTTTTCACACTTTAACACAAATATAAGTCTATTTATCATGAGTTAAGGCTAAAACTATATTATTTACTAATTATTGACTCATGATAATGAAGACTTATCATGGTCTAATAGAAGATGCCACGATTGACATAGAAGGTGAGAAGAGAGGCTTTGACAAATTCAAGAGCATTATCAGTATGAAGAATTTTGGACGTAGTGGTGTATTGAGTGATAATTTTAGTGATGAAATGGATAACCACAGTGATGATTTTAAAGCAGTTGTAGAGGACGTGGACTCAACTCACACAAGTATAGTGATCAACAAAAATGATGTAATAACAATGACCCGAGATGGAGGAAGTACGAGATAAGTCTTGTATATTGCAATGTAAAAGGTCAAAGAGAGTGGAAGAAGGGATGTCATCACGACTAAGATAAGAAATGCGGTGATGTTTGCTCAACTGAAAAAACTCGCACATAAATTTAAAGAGAGAAAGCTATTGTAAGATTTTTTATAATTTAGAGACAAAAATAGCCTAAACGACAATGTCACTAAAGAAGAAGTGGTCGTAGAGATAACAAAAAGGGCTTGAAAGTTAAAGGAGGGTTTGTTAAAAATGAGTTCATATACACCCCACCCATTTTCATGGCCCAAACAAATCTTTCATCTTGTATATAAATCCTAGAAAGTATAGTGAAAAGGAATGAATGTGATGGTATAGAAGAGCGCATAAGTAATAACACTAATGAAAAGAAAGTTAGTAGAAAAACTAAGAACATAGAGAACCTAAATGAGGGAGGGAGAAGCCAAGGTGGTACCATGACCTTTGATCGGATAGGTTTGGCCATCAACAATGGTGACAAAGAGATGGGTTGAGGTAGATTGATAAGAGGAGATAATAGTAAGGATACTGATCATATGAGTGGAGGCCCTCGAATTGATAATACACATCATTGAAGAAGAAGCAAGGAGAGCGTGTGTACTTGGTGTGGAGGGGGTCAAAAGTGAGGCGAGATTGGTAGAGGTAGAAGCGTCAGTACCATTGGTGTCATGAAAAGAATCATACTTCGTAGGCGTCAAGGTCACATGGAAGGTAGGAGTTAGAATATGAGATAGAGCGGGGGATGCCAGAGTTGAAGAAATCATCACCAGCTATGCGAAAGTGAGCTTGCCAAATTGTCTCCAACACTTAGTAGCCAAATGGTTTTGCTTCCTGTAATAGGGACAGAGAGGAAAAATATTACACCCACGTCTGCGAGAAAGACGACATGCGGAGCAGCCATGATAAGAGCCGAAGGAATAGAAGTGGTGCCTAGAGAGGAAGAGGAGTAGATGGATGTATTAGTGGTGACCCGAAGGGCTATCGAGAAGATGGGGGCAAGATAGGGCACACGATCCCTAAAGAGAATAGACCCCTAGATCTGGGATGTGATGGACGGATGAAGCCCATTGAGATAAACCCCAACATAAAACTCTTGTCGATAGCACTGAATGGTCAAGAGATCAGTAGTAAGGGGTTGATAAATATCAACTTTTTAGATGAGGGTCTAGAGGCAGTCGTAGTGGGCCTAAAGAGAGAGATTGCCTTATTTATAAGAGAGAAGAGACTTGAAGATCTCCACAATGTGACTAATGTTTGTCTGGTTGACATATATGGTCTCCATAGTGAACCACAGGAGATGGGTCGAGGTGATGTGTGCTAGTAGCTTGGCAATGTTGGGTTTGATGTTCTAAAACATCTACATGATGATGGTTGAGTCGAGTTGTGACCATATCGCATACGAGGGGTCCTGAAGGTCGAGTGGGTCCTCTACAAGGTGATGGAGGAGATTGTGAGATTGAAGGAAGAGCTCCAAGTCAAAAGCCCATGATGCATAATTGTGGCTGTTGAAAATATACGTTGGCTGAGCTAGTTATGCAATGATGGAGTGGCGAGCCGGAGGAACTGCCGAAGAAGGGAGAACAACAGTTGAAAGAAGCTCAAAGGGCTCAGAGGTAGGCAACGAAGGAGGGTGAGATGATGCCATGAGGTTGGTGGGTCTAGGCTGGAAGGCTAGGTGGTGGGGCTGGCTCAAGTAGAGTGAGTAAGTCGGGGCTTGACGAGCTGGTTTGGAGGGGCCAGCTAGGGCCAGCTGGGCTAGCTGGCTTGTTGGGAGGCAGGTGGAACCCTAGCTGCTGCAGCCGGACAGTGACGACACCTATGACGGCGACGGTGAGGGCTGGGGCACGACGGCAAGGGCGGGATGATAAGAGTGTGACAACGAGGAGGAACCTCAATGGCAGTGGCAGCGCCCTCAGCACCTGAGAGTGACGACATGACAGCGAGGAAGCAATGGCAAAGAGGGGCCTCAATGGCGACAACAATAGTAGAAATGTTGAAGAAGAGGAGAAGAGCAATGGCACTAGCAACAGACGATAACAGTGAGGAGGGCGGCGCCGAAAGTAGAAAGAGAGTGACGACAAATACGATGACGCCAAAAGAGGGAAGAGTAGTGATGCCAAAGAGCCACCTAAAGAGGGAAGAGGCCAACAAGGAGGAGAGCAGCGCATTAGAGACGGGCGGCGCACAAGAAAGGAGGACAACGACGAGAGATACCTAAGGCTCTAATACTATATTGACACAAGAGAATCCATAAATATCAAAGTAGAATACACGACTTCTATATAAGAGAAATGAGAGATGAGAAGAGAGAGATAGATAATGGGCTATAGTGGGTTGAGAGTCCGATATTACTATTAAACACTTCCCCTCAAGTTGGAGCATATGAGTCGAATATGTTCAACTTGGTACACATGGCATCGTAGGAGATGTCGAGAAAACTCTTCGTAAAGACGTTCACAAACTGATGAAATTATGTCATATGAGGAGTAGAAATAAGTCCAAACATAACTTTATCTCGAATGTGGTGACAAACGATCTCAATGTGTTTTGTACTCTTAGTATGATTTAAAAATAATTATTGAAACTTAATAACATAATTTATTCTTTGAGAATTGACATAGGCATGGGTCATACTACTTCAAAATCTTTCATAGGACAATCTATAAAGATGTTAATAATTAAAAAATTAAGAGAAATATCTATTTAATAAAAAAATTATTTCATCTTAAGGAAAATTAAAAATAAATAAATTTTAACTCCTTCTTTATCTTAGTATGACCAAAAACCCAACAAAGACATGTTAATGACTATAGATTTTTCATACTAGTTTTTTTATTTCATTTTCTTAGAAGTGATGGTCATGATAGGGTCAAACATTAATTATTTTAATTCTTAACTTCTGTAGTAGGGTCTTGATGTAGGCCAAGAGAGTGGGCACATATGTACACACAACATGTTATGGTAACACAACATGTAGGAGCTGACATTGTATGCTGGTGAGTGCATTGGCATAACATGGCATGCATGACATTTCACATATAATGAATATCAAAGTTAGTTGTTTTTAATTTACCTTAATGGTCCCTAAATTTTTTTATCATTACATTCTTAAAATAATATTTGTGCTACCTAATTGAAGATATAAGAAAAAAAAAATCACTGTCAATCCTTATATTTATATGGCTACTCTTTTGTTAGTGTATTTTCTTGTCATTGTCAATCAATTGCTCATCACCACTTTGTAGTTTGTTATCACTATTAGTGGTAACTATAACTTACTGGTCAATTATGTTCAGATATAATTATGAATGTCTCCTCAATCTAATATGATTGTGTTGTAAAATTAATCATGATATTATAATAAATATTTCAAAATTTGAAGATATTAATAAAATAATGTACTCTAAATAATGACAACTTGTTTTAACATCCTCTAAACACTATGTTGGCATATGCCTCAAAATTTTCAACAAATGATAGATTATAGATGGCTCTTATACAACACAAGATACATCAATAGTTGTCTTAGGTTTAAAAACTAGTCTTCTATCTATTACATTCTTGACCTATAATCTAGCATACAACCTATATTCTTGAACATATAAGAACAACCATTGTATCCCTTTATTTACCTTGACACATGACTATACAACAAGTTTTAAGTTACTTATCATATTCTAGTAAGATTCTACTAGTTGAAAACAATAAAAAAGGTCACAAATAGGAGGAAGAAATGAGAGAGACGTTGCTAGATAAAGAGAGGATGTTAGAGAAGAGAAAGAACCCTAAAATTGCAAAGGTTTTCCATTCTTGAAATATAGATTGTAATAATTTTTTGGCCCCCCTCTCTTCTTGATAAGAGCTACACATTTTCCCATTACATGGGCTAAAAGTTATCCCCAACATAAGAGGCCACCTTCTTCTGTTATTGGGCCAATTTTTGGCCTAAAATTGTTGAGATATTTGGCCATATTTCAACATATTGTCCCCTCTTGAGTTCTCATTTTTCATTTCAACTTCATAGAATCAAACTGTTAATTCCATCATTGAGTTGATTGATGATTCAATATTTATGATGATCTTACATCTATTATCATGTCATTTAATTCATCTAATATTTCTGTTGTCTTTTTATTTGAATTGACAAACACTTTAGTCTTTGTGTACCAATATAGTTTACAACTCTTTTTGACAAATGTGACTCATATTATATCTTTCATCACTAGAGAAACATAATTCCTTTGCTCTATATGCTTATATTTCCATTTTTTTCAAATTATGTCATCATTTGACATCTTCAAGTTGAATGTTAGAGTTCTTCACATTAATTTTTAGCCTCACTCATAAATGGTTGTGGCTTTCTCCCATAGATTACCTCTTCTCAGAATATGATGAATATTCGTGGTCCCTCCACAACTTAGTTGTGTTTTGTTCGCCCATAGAAGTTGGGTTTGGATGAATTTGGATAATTCCTTGGTTCAATTAAGAGCACTATTTTTTCTCTTCCACCAGTTGAGGTATCTTGATAATTGATGTCATTTTGATGGTTTTGTGGAGTTTAACTTTTATTGTCTTGTTGCAGTCCTTTGTTGAAAGTACCATGTAATACTTCCTCAAATAATCATTTCATGTACACAGACATAAGTTCAAAATCACACATGAATTATGTCACAGATCCATAATGCCTAATGTCTAGGATGTTCTCACATGCTTCTTATTTCTGAAAAACCTAGCTCTCTCAACTATTATTTTAGAGTCTTCTAACTCCTAAAGGAATATCTTGTAGCCATCTATTAATATCATGAAAGCCTCACCTTTGAACTCATTTATGTTATTATTAACTTCTTAACCTCTGATAAAATGTAATTTTGCATGAAAAATTCATTTGTCTAATTTTTTTCTCATTAAATAATTACATCTTCAATTATAGTCCTACCCTCCAAGGCTTCGTGTAGTAGGTTTGACTTGCTCTTATCATAGATTCTAGAGGCTCTTCCATTATGGATCTCAAGTTTTGTAGTTATAATTCTCGCAAAATATTCTCTCACATCCCTATGATCAATTCTCTATCTAACATGTGATTATTTTCCTTTGCCTATTTTTTCCTATTTATTCTTTTCCTACTCAATTCCCTATGCAGATTGTTTGTCACATCTCCTTCATTGTTTACGTCAGTTATGCTAGGTATGAGTCAAGTTTTCTGTATTTTTTTCATAAATGGCAGACTTTGAAGCTTCTTCTCTATATATGGTTACAAATCATTTTTTTATCCCTTAACTCTCTTTATCTAGGTTATCCATTCTTCTATCATTGGTCTTGGTCACTATCAAACCCTGCTCTAGTATCAATGATGAGAACCTAGCTTTGGAAAATAAGAAAAATAGTGAAAAAATAAGAAAAGAAAAAGAACATAATGCTAGGGCTCAAAAGGAAATCCTAAAACAAGAACTTAAGAGTCAAATGATAGTCTTTAGGGAGGAATATCTCTCTCCTTGACACAAAACCACTGATCTCCCTCTCTCCTTTCTTGTTCATGATATTTCTAATACTCTCTATCCCCCTCATATGTAGTTTACTTGACAACCCTGTCACTCTTGGGGCTTTGGATGGTTGCTTTGACTTTTACTTCTTCTGAAGTATGTTAGGTCCATTGGGGCTACATTAGATTCTTGTATTCCTTTGGAAGAAAGGACACTCTTGAGTAAAAGAGATTAAACACCAAAGAGCCACAAGCCTCTTCAAATATGTCAACTAAACAATGAGGTGACTATAGCATTTCATAGATGCTCTCTCTCTCACTCACTCCCCTTGCTTGCTCTCTATTATAAAAGAATTAAATATTTGAATTTATCTCTCAACAAATTACTAAAATTATTGATGAACCCTTCTACTTCTGCTAATTATTTTCAGTCCCCATCTACTAGATAGTCCCCTATATTGTACTTCAGGTTAGAGATAATTTAGCTAGCCATGGTTAAGATTAATTTATTTTAACTTATTTCATAGAAAATACTAATTTGCCCCTCAAAAGCACAGTGCATGTTTCGTTTCACCAATAGGAAGGTGTTATCGTCAATTATAAATAAATAAATGATAAGAAGTTATTACTATTGGAAAAGGCAGCTGGAGGACTAAATACTTAATTTTACAGGATAAAAAAGAGGGCGGGTGAAAAAGAGGAGGGTGTCTAACTAGAATACATCTAGTTTATTAGGAGGTAAAAAAAATAAAATGCTGGCCCAATTGACTAGTCTTGAGCAGTGGTGTTTGACCTGGTCCACATTAAATTACTTAGCTTTTTTAGTGCTAGCTGAACGTAAAGTCATGGCTTTTGTGCAACGTCGAAAGGGTCCTAATGTAGTCGGATTGTTCGGACTGTTACATAACGTAAGGCGGCTCCTAAACCTTGGTGGAAAGTGAGTTCGACTAGTCAACTTTTAGACGGCGTGCTCGGCAGATGAGGAGCACGCAGGGGTTGTGATATGCTACGGCGAGTCTACCATACTGGACTCCTGAAGATGTTGGACTGGTGGGTCCAGCGAGGGTAATGTAAAATGCCCCTGGGTTGCAACTTGGATGGATGTGTATGCGGGAAGGGAGGGGGGACGAATCAAGGTGGCTACCACGGGGATGGCCTTGCTCTGTGCGCGTTTGATTAGGAAACAAGGGAGAGAGAGAGAGAGAGAGAGAGAGAGAGAGAGAGATGGGTGGGAACGCCAGACATTGGTTAGAAGGTAGTAGGCCGGGCAAAAGTCAGGTTTCATTGCCTCTTCGTCTCTTTTGAAGGACCAGCGATGGGGATAATTCTTTCAGAGTCAACACCAGGCATGTCCCTCGCTGCCTCTGGCTAGCGCTTTGGTGGGTTGCTGTCCCATCACAGGAGTTCGGAAGATCAGTGGACTACTGCATTTCGTATGAGTATATATATACTCATATATATAGAGACAGAGGGCAGGGGGAGAAGAGAACGAGAGAGAGAGGGCGAAAGCCCATCGTACAAGCGTGGGAGGAGGAAAGTTAGGAGAACAGCTGACCCGCCAGCCTTCCTCCTCTCTAAAACCCTTCCTCACACACCCCGCCAACCCCCCAGACGAGTCTAAACCAGGACTGAGGAAGAACCCTAGGAGAGATAGGCGGAATGTCCCCGAACAGCTTCATTAACCGAGGCAAGTAAAAACATATTTAAGGAACCGGACAGGGTGATGGTGGCAGCAGGGAGGAAGGAGAAACCCTTAGCTGGTAGTGTTCGAGGAGGATGAAGATCAGAAAGGAGTAATCCCCATGCTGTCGGCCGCCGCGTGGAACCCCTCCTTGCGCAGAACGTCGCCTACTTCCTAGCAGAAGACAGGCCAAAAAAATGGGAACTTAGTCTCCTCAGAGGAATGAGAACATTTAGTGAGAAGATTGCAGGAAGAGGACAGGGACAGAGGTGAGGAGACGAGAGGGAGAGCGAGAGAGAACAAGAGATGTACCGGCTGGCGGATGGTGCTCTTCTTCAGACCGGGTTCGGACATCAAACCGAAGTGGATGTGAGGGAAGTGAGCCCACTGATAAAGAAGAAGAAATTACGTAAAGGAAGATGAGGAAGACGGAAATGGGCAAATCACTAAACCCTAAGGCTTCGAGAGGGACTGTATTACATTCTTCGCCGCAGCGCTGAAGGCCTCCCTATGGGTGATGTCCGGATTCTCGGCCTTGATGCGTTGGATCTCCTCCCTGGAGAAGGAAACAGCGATCAGATTTCAGAAATATGAGGGAAATACTAGTTTGCCTTCACCTAGCGCGTCTCGGTCAAGGTTACTCACTTGATGAACCGGTTGTAAGCTGAGGGGACTCTCTGCCTCTTCTCCGGAGCTGGAAAATAAGAACCCGGCACATTTAAAACAAGCCTAAAGCATAAAATAAAGGAGATTCAAACTAATTTATGATGCGATTAACAATCTTCTTATTATCAGATTATCCACGCAAGATTGGCTTATCGGAAACGAGATGGGATGTAAGTACAAGTGACGAGCGGGAACTTGGACTCGAGAGAGTCGATGAGCATCGAGAAATAGAAAGGCCGTATGAATTTGCGGGGAAGACGAGGAGACATAATAACTAATGCTACCGACAATTTCGCGGTTGGAACGGTGGAGTCCTAGTAGAACCGTTTGGAACAAAGAGGGAGGGAGGGAGGGAGGGAGGGAGAGAGGGAGAGAGAGAACAAATGGAAGAATGCTGATGAAGGGGTAAGGGTGCAAGTGTGAAGAACCCTTGCTTCTGGCTAGAGATAGAGCAATGCCCTCAGTGGATCCAAGAATAAGATAAGCTACAGCTTCGAAGTATTTCTCAGAGGATCCAGAGATTCACCAAAGAAAGTATCACCGAGAGAGGCCATGGCTTTGAGGGATTCTCGAACAGGAAAAGAAAACAAGAACGAGGGCAACCGAAATCATCAGTAACTGCTGACGAAAGCCTAGAAACAACGAATCGGAGAATAAAGGATGACGGAGGAGGTGAAGAACAAGCCCCCACGTCTGTTAATAGGAGGAGGCTGCGCGATTATATCCTGAGACCCTTTTACGGGGACCATGGCCTCATTGTTGACGAGGGGTTGATCCAGCAGCAACGGCAGGTGTGGGCATGATAGCTCGTCCTGGAGAAGTCCCACGAAGCCAACGTTTGCTCATCAGAAACATGATTCAGCAACTACAAACATAATCGATTAGAAGCATTTTTAGGTTATTACCAGAAGGCTCTGGCTAGTCGGGGGAAAGAAGGGGCTGGCGAAGTGAAGCTGGTTGGCGGCCGGCAGCAAGAGCGGCCTCATGTTTACTGAGAGAAGATTGGTGCAGTGCCCGCATCTCACAGTGACCGTCTTAAATAGGCTGCTGCAGGGAACACTCACCTGAAAACCACAAGGGTTGAGGGAGAATAAGAAGAAGAAGAAGAAAGGGGGGGGGGAATGGGGAGAGAGAGATAAGAGGAAGTAGAAGAATAGGAAGTTGGGGAATGAAATAGGGCGAATAGCACTATACCGCGAGGACAGTGTCGCAAAAGTTGCAATGGACGTAACAGAGCTGCTCGGAGGGCGGTGGGGAGAGGTGGTCCAAAGCAAAGCAGGCTGAAGAGGATGACATGGTTCTTCCTACCCTTTTTATGCCTCGTCTTCTTCCTCGTTCTCCCTCTTCGTTTCCCCTTTGGGTGGTTACTGACGAACGCGAGATTCTACTCCCCTAGATTTGATAGGCGATTTGATAGACCGCGAGCTCGAACAACACCGACAACCGCAGTGGGACTCGGATCTGGTCTTCGATGAGGAGAGAGCTAGGCAGGAAAGAAGTGGGGGGAAAGAGAGAGCGGGAAGGGTGGGGGCAAAGCTTGTCGGACGAGCTTATAACGGGGGGCGGAGGTATGGGCTTGTTTTTGGAGGGATCGGACGGCGGAATCTAAGCCAGTAATGGGCGATTGCCCTTTGGAGCTACTACGGTTGCTGATGCATGAATGTATAAAATATATATGGGCCATGTATTTATATAAAATCGAAATACCATCCTTACGAACACAAGCATATGATACAAGTTTTCTCTGACACCATATGAGCTGACAAAAGGACACTGAGAAGTCAAGATAGGAGTCATATCGCATACATAGGCTATATACGATGTCCATATGTATATATATATAAATAGACACACTTGTTACTCAAATTCAGAGAAAAAAATTTGCAGCGGTCTCGGTATGAATCGAACTCATGCAGAATTCATGAAGATTGCGAGTTTTAGCAGGTTTCCTCGACCCTGGTGCTACCACCAAGATTGGAAGGCCTATTCCTGCAGAATCAATCCGTAGGATCTTTCATTTATTTATTTCTCTTAGAGGCTCATCAAGGTCTCCCCTTGTGTTTGAAATGGTTCCGGGGGACGCCGGAGGGGGGGGGGGGGGGTCAGTTTTCTCCGGATCTATCTACTAGAGTAAATATTAATGGCTTAACGGGGTTCTCATCACCGCCCGTGGATGAGTTTTACGGTTTTGATGAATTACCAGAGAGATGGATGAGGTTCTTCCTGGGAGGATTGGGTCGCCGCTTAGAGCTAAGAAAACTTGAAGATAAAACTCTGCAGAGAGTGAGAGAGAGAGAGAGAGAGAGAGAGAGAGGAGTGGGGGGGCTTCGGGCAGACGCACTGACTTGGACGGAGTTAGAGATGAGGGGAAGTGGGCATTCCCGATGAGGTTGGTTGAAGGAGAGAGAGGATATGTGACGAGAGAGGATGACTAGGGGCGGTCTAGGTGTGGGGGAGAGAGGAGCGAGAAAGAGACGTTTGCATGAAGCGTTTTGGATTTCTATCATTCACCTCTTATTTTCTTTCGTATAGCACAGAGAGTGTGAGTGTCTGTGTGTGTGAAAGGAGAGAGAGAGAGAGAGCAGCTCGCTTGCAGCCGGTATCTTCTCCCTCTTCCTTATGCCTGGTGGGTAATAGCCGGAGATAATAGTGCAGTGTGCGTTTTACTAGCAGTAGAGTGGATTTACTAGCCTGCGGCCCTCTGCTCCTCCGTCTCCGTCTCCGTTCCTTTGGGGTGACATTTAGCGACCCGATGTTTAAAGCCTTTAAGAGTTTCAAAACAAAAAACTCAGACGAGGGGCTGGTTTTTCTTTCTTTTCCACATAGAAATCCTACATGCAAAGGAAAAGGAGAGTAGAAAAGCTTCCCACTTTGTATGATTTGACCGCACAACATCCACCCCCCCACACCCCCGCCCCTCCCCTTCTCACCCGCAGCAAAGGAGCAGCTGCTCCTGCAGCTCCTGCTCCTCGCAGCTGCTGCTGCACCAGAAGACAGAGATCCTCTCTCTCTCTCTCTCTCTCTCTCTCTCTCTCTCTCCCGATCTCTCTCTTTCTCTTGGTGCCTTCCTAAAAACCACTCTTCTCTGATACCCGTGTTCTTATACTACCGTTAGCTGAAATGCGTTGGTGAGATGATGATGATGATGGTGGTGATGATGATAAGTATCCTCGGTTCACCACCAGAACCAGAAAACAACCCAAACGGAAGGCAATTGGCGCCCTTCCCTGCTCTTTCCTAATCTGTGCTCGTCCTTTACCTGCCGTCAATGAACTTAAAGCCTGCAAGAAGGGTGACGTCGCCCCCTCCGTCCCTCCCTCTCTCGTCATCCATCTGGGCACGCCTTTCCGGAGTTTCCCTCTCAAGCACAGTGGAGCTTGTCCGAAGAGCCATCTTCCCGATTGAAATTTGAAGGAGTCTTCCCCACAGTGCCCCCGGTCATTTAACATCTCGGCTATGTCGCATGTCGCATGCAGGACAGTGGGGCTGCGGAGGCAGAGACCCACCGCCTGCGGCGGCGGCCACGTCATCATTCCATCTCCGGGAGCCTGCCGGCGGCGGAAGAGAGGGGGGATGGGTCATTATTATATGATTATTGCCTGGTGGCGCAGTCCAGCGGGCTCTACCGGTTGGCGTTTCCTGCGGCCGTAAGCGAGGAGCCCTCGGTTCTCCACTTCCTCCTCCACCAACTGCTGCCACACTGTAGCGGCGTTTGCTGTTTGTCTCCTTCAGCCAACCACAGTCACCGCATTCTCTCCGGCAGAGCCTCCTCTGCCTCAACACATGACGGTGCAGACTGCGGTCAGCCGCACTCCTGCACTATCCGGCTCCCTCCATCCCTCCTGTTATACATGAGGAGATTTAGAGAGAGAGAGAGAGAGAGAGAATTTGTCGGTTCAGGAGGAAGAGGACGGTGGGCAGAAACCGAGATATAGAGACAGACGCAGAAGAGATTTAATGTGTTCTGTGCATGTTATTTGGCTCTCCACTTGACTCTAGGAACATCTACCCATCCGTATCTGTGAGCTTCGAACGACGCCCCCGCATTGTCTCTCTCTCTCTCTCTCCCCTGGGTCCTGAGAGATATACAGCAAGACGACGTACGCAGTCAGATGGGCGGGCAGAGAGCAAACCCTAATATCTCAGCAGCAGGAGCAGCAGCCTCTTCGAGAGGAGGGGGGGGGGGGGGGGTTGGGCTGCACATGTGAAAAGTTAAAAGGAAAGAATTAATAATCTGCTCCCGTACAAACAATAACGTCAATTGAAAGCTAAGCGGCTCTGCCTAAAAGTCAACCTGAGTGGTCAGCCAGCGAGGCTCGAGGCTTCTGATTACCGACGGGCGGCGGGGAGACGCGCAGGCAAACTGAAAACGAGCCTCCTTGCCCCCCCCCACTCAGCTTGTCCCTACGCCGCTGCGGTGAGCCTTCCCTTAGGATCACTGAGGTCATTTCAACGGGAATTCTTCAGATTCTTTCGCCGTCGATGTGATGTTACCTGGTAAGTGCGACAACATAGAGATAGAGAGAGAAATGGCCCACATACACCGACCTGACAGTGGTACGTACGGTTTTCCCGGTCGGCAATTGGGCCGCCATGCGGTCGGAGCCAAAACCGCTCCTCTTAAACACCTCACCTTACCGCGACGTTGTGATTCAAACAGACAGACGGACACAAACTTCTCTCTCTCTCTCTCTCTCTCTCTCTCTCTCTCTCTCTCTCTCGTGCTCTACCCTTCCATTATAGGCCATACTTTAAAAGCCCAAGAAACCTTTAAACCCGACCATCTTCAAAATATCCAAGGAAATATTCATTGAATACGTAGAAACTTGCCATGCATAAGCGGAGAAATTGTACCACCGGTGTACAATGGTAGCGCAATAGCCGCTTTGGCTTTCGTGCAGTAGGGCGCCGACCGGTCTCTCTCTTCAGATTTGTCTCCCCCAGCCAGTTTACTAGAGCGGCTGATTGATGGGATAAAAGGCGTCCAAGGCTTCGCTTTTGGGCTCGACATGCACCAGGCTACGACGTACGCTCCACTGTTCTGCGAGTAGCTCCAGTAGCCTCTCTTTCAACACGCGAGACTTATCTGTGGGCTCTTAAAGGTTCGACATGATGGGGGCAATTACGTGGATCCTCAGGCATTGTGGCCGTGAAAGCTGGCAACAGATTTAGTTGAAAGAAATGGTAGACTGGTGTATACTTTGACTTTCCACCTTAGTAGATTGTCTTCTGCTAATGGGTAGTCGCTCAAGGATGGGAAGGTGTGCCATTACCCCTCCAACAGGTTGGTTAATCCCTTCACGTTAAGATAAGTATCGAAATTGGCTGAACTTTGGAAGAATGGTCCAGTCTTAGTTGAGCCGTGCAGTAACTCATTGTCTCTTCATGATCTTTCGATATGACAACGTGCATATTTTATGTGTTTTAGGAGAACCAGACCCTAAAAGCCACCTTTTTAAGGTGTGGGTTTCCGAACATATGTTCAGAACGGTATTTAGAGCAACCTATACTCTCGCTCATTTCCAAATATGTGACGTGGGTGATGACGCTAGCATTGCAGTGTTCGTGGACTAACGGACACCAGTTCAAAGCTAAAGATGGCAGGACTGCAGAGCATTGTGGTATGTTCTGCCCCATTTACTACATAGGAAACTCGTCTCACATCAGATATATGGTGTTCTAAGACGGGGTAACGTGCTTAGTATGTTTTGATTCAAAGAAAAGGTTCCTTTCTGACCGAATAATAATATAATGATAGAACATAATAGGATATGAAAAAAAGAATGTAAAATCTAAAATGATAACTTAGTGGAGAAAAAAAAGTGTCCATTATTCGTTTCACCCTTACTCATTGTCCATTAATATGAGTATATCTCATGGCGTAGGATTGTTAGTTTCGTCATTGATTGCATATCTTATTCGTTTGTTCTTGGCAAAAACCTATCTTAGTTTTACTCATGAGAGTATAATTAAAATAACTTACGTTATAAAATAGGATATGGAAATCAAAGCTAGGTCTATAATTTGGCCTGAGAGGTAGAAGTCATCAGAAAATACAAAAATCAAGCATAAATTTGGCATGATGACTAAATATTGATAATATATGAAATAATAGTAATAATCATAAAACATATTATGTATAGGACTCCCTTACTCAACTTGAGGCTCACTGGAATATAGTGTCATGATTATTTTGTAAATTTTCCACCAAAAATTGCATATCGTGTCCAATATCTAAGTTACTACACACTTTTTAACTTATAAAAGGTATCCAGACTATTATATACAAAAAACATAAAAATAAAGTTACATTATCTTTTCATGCATATAGAATAAAACATAATTTTTGAATAATCATCTTATCTTGAATCAAATTTTCATTTAAACCTTATCAAATTGTTGAAAGTAGAGTTTTTGGATTTCCTTTTAAAAAAATTCTATTACGTTACTTTTTCCCCTTGTCCAAAAGAAATATTGTGGGTTGATTCTCGTCTTGAGCAAGTGATGGCTTCATTTTAAACGGTTCTCACAAGATGAATAATTTGACATTTTAAAAGAGAATAATTTTTAAAAATTGATGTATACTTCTTTGTCTACACGCCTTGCTTAATGAAATTTTCTGTGTGATTGTATTTTTTGTCCACAAGATGTAGTCAAGTTGGGCAACTTGTGGTAATCACATCATTCCAGACTCATTCGAATTGAGTTTTGAAGATAGTACAACCCATCAAAGTCATGTAGGATAAGTTCTTTGTAAGAATAGATATTTATAGTCAGACTTTTATTCTCCATTGTAATATTTGGAAGATATGATTTTGAGTTGGATGCCATGATCTGATAGATATCCAATTAGAATAATCTCATAATGTTTAATATCTTCCCCACGTAGTGTGTTCAATTTTCCTCAATCGTCTAGAAACCTACATTTAATTTATTTACAATAAAGTTGAGCTAGTTCCTGATTATTCATCATCTCCTATCCTTTGTTGTATAGAATAATGCTTCCTAAGTGATGTGATAAATATTATATGCTTAATTCGTTGGGCCTAGGTAAAATGTCAACATCTCTCATGTTGACACACGGAAGTTGGGGTGTACAACTCAAGAACCGAGCCATGGATTTTGTAACTTATGAAATAATTCAACTAAAAAAAGGGAGTAAATTGATGTGCTTATATCAACGTTGTTTTTTTAATCTCTCTCTCTCTCTCTCTCTCTCTCTCTCTCTCTCTCTCTCTCTCTCTCTCTCTCTCTCTCTCTCTCTCTCCCTCTCTTACTTCATAGATAAGATTAAAAGCCTGTGTAATCATCAATAACCACTATTTTTACTTTTTAATGGGTTTTAATTACCCATGAAACTGCATCCCACAACCACCCCCGCCTCTCATCCCATCCCATGCAACTCCAAGGAAAGCCGACTGTAAGATGAGCTTTCAGGATTCAAAGTCGATTAAAAAAAATTAGACGTTTTTGAAATTCACATGTTTTACAGGGACCAGAGACGTAGTTATTCAAGAAATGTCTTCCATTAGTCCTCCATCGTATACGCTCCGCAGACCATCCTCTCTCTCTCTCGATCGATATATATATATATGTATTCGTGTTAACCAGTGAAAAGAGGGAGCGTGTGGACATGAGAAACACAAGGGGATGGCGGAGCTCAAAAGTCGTTGATCTTGAGAATCGTGTGGAAGGTACGCCGGAATACGCCTGAGGCGAGGAAGAGGGAGAGAGAGAGACCTTGCGTGTCTGGGAGAAAGAAGAGGACGACAAGTCGGAGCCCCCCCGCTCATACAGAAGCGGCCGCTTCGTCGATCAGGTTGTAATTAATCTTCAACGTCCCAGTCATCTGGTCCACAGATTCCCACGTCCATTCTCGGGCCGAGAGGCTCACGGGGGCCCTTGTCCGTATGACATATCAACTACTCTCCTTGCAGTTTGGACCCAAATCTAGCCCACATGGCCCATTCTCTGTCTCTCTCCCTGTGTCTCTCTCTCCACACTCCTGAGACGCACACAGAACCTTCTCTCTAGACAATATCTTGTCCGTCTAGCCTCACCAATCGAAGTGACCTCTCCTTGCGTCGCACTGACGCCATCCTCTCTATCTCCCTCAATATCTCTCTTCGGTGTGGACGTAAGAGATCACTGCTTGGGCAAAGGAATGAATGCATCTGGACCTTTTGTTGTTCTACGGTCGACACTGAGGACGACCGCCCTCCGTGCACTGGGTGACGATCGATGGTTACGGACCGCTTCGATCCGTACCGTACGGTCCGGCTGCGCCCTCGTCCTCCCCGATCTCTGGACGCCTCATTGCCCCTCCTCCCTGACCGTTCGTCCCCATTTCTGTACATATTGCGGCTGCGACTCTCCCTCTCCTCGCCCTCTCTCTCTCTCTCTCTCTGTTTCACTCTCTCTCTCTTTCTCAGAGGCTGTCTCTGTGTGTTTCCCAATCTGCGGGGACGGAGGAGAAGGCCCGGAGATGGCGTTGGGTCTGGGGAGCGGGCTAAACCCCATCGCCTCGGTGTCTCCCTCGTCGTTCTTCTCCCTCTTGTACCTCGCCATGTTCATTGCCGATCCGTGGCCCTTCGCCTAGCTCTAGACCGTGCGCCCATTTCCTCCCCCCATTCTCCACCTACTGCCTCTGCTCTCCCCGATTCCCTCTCTTTTCTTCCCCTTCCGACATGAAGAAATACCGGGGCTTCCGTCTGGGGAGACGGCTGGCTTTCATCTGGAGGTCCCTCCATCAGCCACCCTCCAAACACAGGGGCTACCTCCGACTTTCCTCCGACGGCCCTACTCACCGCAAACGAGACCCAACCAAGGAGATGGAGGAGAAGAACGCGGTCGCCGCAAGGATCGCCCACTGGGGGCGCTGCCTCGCTCAGCGGCTGTGCCAGCGGCGGCACCGCCTCCTCGGAAACCAAGCGGACGGCGACGAGAAGGAGGAGATCCTCCGCCACCGCAACGTGCCGAAGCCGCCGCCGAGGGGGCACTTGGCGGTGTACGTGGGCCGCGAAGGGGTCGACCCTCTGTACCGCGTTATGGTGCCGGTGGTCTTCTTCAACCATCCTCTCTTCGGGGAGCTGCTGAAGAGTGCACAGGAGGAGTTTGGATTTTGCCGCTCAGGGGGCATCGTCATCCCTTGTCCCATCTCCGACTTCGAGAGCGTCCGCCGGCGGGTCGCCGCCGCTGCCGGAGTCCGGTATCGCCACTCCGGCAATGCCGAGCCCGGCGTCTGGGAGTCCTAAAAATGTCGACGTCGTTAGTCGCCGATTTTCCGGGGGGTGGGTTTCTTCTGTCCGCTGACTTTTCTGTATGGTAATAACCTCTCGATCGCCTGGATGGACGGTCTCACGACGACCGAGCTTCGATGGCGGCATGATGGACCTCAGCATCTATGAATTTTCTTTTGCCTTTACCACCTCCGATCCACATTCCTGGCAAATTCCTTTTAACCCTGATGTTTCCTTAAATAGCTCTTCAATGGTGCCAGCGGGCCAGATTAGCCCTTGATTACGCACCGAAAACCATGATGGCGCCTAATATAATATAATATCCTCGATGGCGGCTCAACTTCCTGCGGCTATGTTTGACTTCAGACACCTCCCTAGAGGAGGCGGTCCCTCGCTGGCGTCTTCCCCAGTTCTTCCGCCCGGCGGGTTACAGCACCTATCTCTCTGGCTTTTCCCTGCCAGATGTTTCACAAAGATTTTCTTCGATTCGTTGCGGCGAAGATGGGTTGAGGGACGCCGTTCTTCTTCTAGAGATGGTTGACAAATTTCCGTATGGGGAAGCCAACCTTGACCGGAGGGCTTTCATTTAGGTCTTCAACGGTAGGCAGGTGAGCCTAGTCCGACCCGGCTCTCTCTCTCTCTCTCTCTCATGCGGCCTGGTCTCCATCCTTCTCTCTCTCTCACTCCCTCTCTCCCTCACACCCGGGCCTGGCGGTCATCTTCCTTCTTTTGTAGGGAATCGAACGGTCGGAGTGTATATTCCTATCATGGACTCGTTTTCGTAGAGAAGAACATAGGGGAAACTGGTACTTGTATACGAAGGTCGAATTCCCTTTCAAGCGCAATTCTCTCTCCACTCCTCCCCGGTCAATTCCCCTAACGTGTCACGTTGTCAACCACGCCTGCAAATTCATCTGCTTTCCATAAATGTCTCGACACGTGCGACATCGACGTCCTTCTACACGTGTGACCTCATTTGCACTGCATTTCCAAAGAACGGGAGTCCCACGGGCCGTCCCGAACCCGAGCCCAAGTACATGCTTCGTACATAATCCAATCAAGCCCCCGAGGGGCACCAAGCGCCTTTCTCCTTCAATAGACATGCATGATAGACGGAGAGAGAGAGAGGGAGAGAGGAGAGAGAGGGAGAGAGAGAGGAGAGAGGGAGAGAGGGAGGGAGGGAGAGAGAGAGAGAGAGAGAGGAGAGAGGGAGAGAGGAGAGAGAGAGAGAGAGAGAGGAGAGAGAGAGGGAGAGAGGGAGGAGAGGGAGAGAGGGAGGAGAGAGAAGGAGGGAGAGAGGGAGAGAGAGGAGAGGAGAGAAGGAGGGAGAGGAGAGAGAGAGAGAGAGGAGAGAGGAGAGAGAGGAGAGAGAAGAGAGAGAGAGAGAGGGAGAGAGGGAGAGAGAGGAGAGAGAGGGAGAGAGGGAGGAGAGAGAGGGAGAGAGAGAGGGGAGAGGAGAGAGGGAGGGAGAGAGAGAGAGAGGAGAGGGAGAGAGGAGAGAGAGAGAGAGAGAGGGAGAGAGAGAGAGAGAGGGAGAGAGAGAGAGAGAGAGAGAGAGAGGAGAGAGAGAGAGAGAGAGAGAGAGAGAGAGAGAGAGAGAGAGAGAGAGAGAGAGAGAGAGAGAGAGAGAGAGAGAGAGAGAGAGAGAGAGAGAGAGAGAGAGAGAGAGAGAGAGGGAGAGAGAGAGAGAGACAGAGCGAGGGAGATCTGGAGCATCGTGTGGGTCACTGCGGGTGAAAACAATGTAAGAAGAGTATATCATATCAAGCTTGAAAGAGTCTTGATTTATCTTTGCCCTTTATGTGCACTTATATGGGACACTGAGAGAGAGAGAGAGAGAGAGAAGGGGGATACCAGGGCGGTGATCATGAGTCAAGCAGGGCAGCAAGACGAAATTTAGTAAACGGTTTATATCCTGGGTAAGTTTGGTTTTTAACTTGGTTTGCTGAGTTGGGGTCATTCGAGATTACTTTCGTTTGAAGATTAAATTTTTAGACGAAAACCCCAGAAAAAGAAGTCGGGCTCTGGACTCGGAATGTAAAATTAATTAATTTCTCCACCGGCACTTATAAATTTCTTAAATTGGAACAGCAACTGTAACAAGCGGCGGCTTGTCGATAGCGGCTTTCGTTTTCGGTTTCTGAGGCAACACGTTTTCATCGTCATCGACTTGAATAGGAGATTCGAGATGAACACCGCTTGAGGCAGCCGTTCTCTCGCCTCCTCTCTCTTTCTCTCTTTTCTCTCTTTCTCGCTCTCTCTTTCTCTATTCTGTGTTGTTAGACTATGCCTTCTGAAATTCCATTCTTTGTCATCCTACTTGCAGTCTTCCTGGCGGCCCAACCCAACATGTACTTCCGAGTGACTTCCTCTCTCTCTCTCTCTCTCTCTCTCTCTCTCTCTCTCCCTAGATATATCAATCTAACTCAATCTCTTGGTGATCGTGCGATATGCAGAAACATATCCCCCACCTACGCGAGAGACTAGAAAAATGTATATGGTCGGGCAATTTGGATGTTGGGGAACCCAAAAACCACAATACTAGTGCAACCGTGACTGACGCCGACTCCACTCGTTCTCTCTCTCTCTCTCTCTAGCCCCCGGGCAGAAATTCGATTGTTCGACTGATAAAGTGATGAAGCCATGGGCACTGTGTGGCACCCTTTCCCACGTTAAAGGGCCGACAGGTGGGCTGAGGAGATGGAGAGTGGAGCA